CTATATCACTCTACGAAATCTTCATGTCCAACAAGCTAGGAATTTGTGTTTGGTACACTGGTAGTTTGTGTGGTTTTCTGTGTCACTGGTGATGGCGATAATGCATTTCAGACCAAATTTATTCTCTTTGATCTGTATCACTACAAGCTAACCGACCGTGCTTGTGGATAAACTGGCCTATAAGGTCTGCAAGTAAAACTTTTCAGCTTTTCAAAAATGTATGTAGACCATGTTGCTTTCAGAGAACATGTAATGTACTCTATGATTCGAGATTCGATCCCGTTTGGCGACGTTTCAAGTATGATAATGAATCGTTATTTTGATTTGTACGCTATAGGAGCAGCTTCACCATCCGTTTGACCGATCGTACCTTAGTCTCCAAAAACGGTTAGATAATCTATTATGTAATAGTGTTCACTATCGAAATCTGAGCCTTCAAATCCATTTGTGTCCAGAATTATCCGCGTTTGAAAGATAAATTGACGACTCGCCTTTCTTGGACTTCTTGAGACTATTTACATATTTTCAAGACCAAAAATTTTTCACTGAAAATGGCGAATCATGGCCTTTAAAAAAAGTAAACTCGAATTATACTTTAGAATGCAAACTACAGATATACAGACTTTTGTTTGACATTTCTTTAAATAGCATTCTTTCATCTTCAAAATAGCAAAATACATATTATTCTCTTTGAAAGAAAATAAAAGCATTGAAGGTGTAAGATGTGAGGTAGTTAGATTGTAGATAGACATAAACTTTGAGTAAAGCTATAACCTGTGGCAGAGAGATAAGGTTATGTAAATAAACATTATACAGGTCTGATAATACATTTCTTCGGAATGAAAAAAGTTTAGACATCCTATACAATGTAAACATTTCATAGATTTAAATAGTTTCAACAGGTGAAAGGCTCAAGGCAGTAAAATTTAACGTCTTAATTAAAAGATTAAAGTCTAGGGGCATGTATTCCCGAAACGATCTTAGCTCTAGGATGTCCTAGAATCAATGTTAGAAGATAAGAACCTAGGATCGTTTTGAGAATACGTGGCCTGTTTCACATAATCTAATTAAAAGTAAATTACAATTTCTAATTAAAAACTGATTTATGGATATAGACTTCTATTTATATACTCATTATAAACTGCAAACTTCTTATAGATTTCATAGAATAGTAATAAATAGAAGTTTATATCCATAAAACTGACGTTTCTTAATGTGCTGTGATACTTCTAAATTAAATTCTTACAAGGATTAGATTACAATTTCGTTTGGTTATTTTTTTTTTCGCCATGCCCCCTCCCCCAGAAAAAAAGGCTGGCCCCACTTTCATATTTTATAATTATTTTTACATAGTGAAAGAATTGCCTGTGGTCACTTTGGAGAATTTTGTGGCTCATCGCCTCATGTTTTCTAGAAACGCCTCTGCATATAGTAATGCAACAAGAGAATCTCGTCAATGCGGACGAATATCAGGGATAGGAAATTATATTCTCAAATATCTTTATAATATCTCAAATTACAACAAGAAACTTAAAGAGGAAGTTATATTTTTGATTTATTACTCTAAGCATCTTTATTTTAATTCTTAGATTATTTATTGCGTATCGTGCATCATAAATAAAATGAAATGAAATGAATGGAGTTTTACATCCTACATTTTTGCACCATGTGGGCTAATGAAGACGGTCATCATAAGTGCAGAAGACCATTCAACATCCAGAGACCCGTGATCAATTTACAGTCTTCAAGATGATACTTTATTGGGTAAATTTGTAAAAAGGGCAACGTTTTATTATTCAATCTTTTCATTGAAATAGGTCACCTATATCTTATCCCAATTTTGAGACGGTTGGTGTAAACAGTCATGTGCCCCAGATGCCCAAAGACTTTGTACAGTACAGAAGAACAATATTCTAGAAGTTGATTCGACAAAGTAACTTCTGATTTAAAAAAAAATCACAGACAACTGCCACTGTGCCGAATACAAACTGCAAGCTGATCTGATATGACATATAAAACTGTCATTGTTTCCAGGACAACTGTACGCTAATTAGACACCTTAGTTTTAGATATTGTACTGAGCGATATCAGACTGACTGTACACTTTAACATGATACCAGAGTATCTCTGATGATACGCACTCAGAATTTACTGAATTCATTTCTGATTGTTAATTTTTACTTATTGCATGACTCATAGAAACTGTCATTGATATTTCTTCACTCGGAAAGTGTTAATAACCTTGACCTCAGCTAAATACGTAGAAAATAATCCACTAAGACATTCAAGAAATCGGGGCTGTCACACAGAGCATTTCACACCACCTTTACAACTGGCCCTTACAGTCTCTACAAATAGACCTAACAATGAAAAACCAAAATACACACAGAGAGTGAATTGTATTGACATTATGACTCAATATTAAATATATACAAAACTTATCTATATTGAGGATATTTTATCAATGACTTGGGAGCGACCATGCATTGAACATGTGAAACACGTCTGTATTTGTCGTCCCTTTGTATATGATTTTCAGTGAACAAATGATTTTAAGCCTATCCCTGGGAGAGATCTTTTCAAAATTTGGGTTTAGTTAAATGACAATAACGCCAGTTTAGATGTCTACCAGTGTTACAGATTCCTGGATAGTTGGGAATGGAAAAGAGTATAACCTCATACTACTCATTCTGACAAAATTAACTTCATTATAACTTCCTGGCTAGAACCTTTCGTGACAATTTCAACCTCTATTTTCGGTCAATGCTGAACCCTGAATAGATTCATAAGGATAATTTTGTTTAACGTGCATTAGCTGCTACCAATGTATTTAAAAACTGTTATTTTGGATTTCGAGGTTTGTTTTGCGGTTCGGATCGTTAGTACTTGGGTTTTGTATTTCATACCAGAAAATACTTCTACTAGAATAAATGATATAGTACCGTTGTAGTTGCACGTGATCATGAGGACAAAAACGACATTACAATGCTCCACCTTTACTCCCTTCCCCTCGTTATGTTCCCGGTTTCCAAACTTTGGTACTAGCTACGTAGGGTACCAGCGAATACCATCAGGGCGTGTCTGATAGACCAGTATAAACGTGTTTTATGATATTATCAATAGATTCGGACATATACGTTAACTATACGAACAATTCCTGGCCTATATCTGAAATATTCTATTTTGCACTGTGCATCTGCACAGTGGCCGAGCAAGGTTTACGTTCGAGAGGGAGCGAGGGGGCGAGATATCTGAGATTACCCGAATCTTTAACCCCCCCTTTGGCACTGCCACTGCTTCTGCAAGGTATGATGGGTGCTACTAACGGCAGCCTAATCCTGGATAGGGTGTCTCGAATCTAACAATTAGAAACCAAGGTAGTATGTATTTTAGAATTTTTAAAGTGAAAAAATATATCTCAACAAAAATTTAATTCAGACTGTGACAGTTTTCAATTGTGTTTGAATGACCTAGTTTATTTTCGAGTGTTATCCTGAAATTTTTGTGGTGAAACTGTCAATATTGGAGTTGCTAGTGTATATTTATAATAGAGTTAACTATAGTATAAATTATTTCACGATAAACATTACATTAGGTGGTCTTCGAGGTCCTTATTACGCACTAACAGAGTATGGTTAGGGTAAGGTAACCTTCAATAACCATACCTAGTTTCGTTTCAGCCTATTTGTCAACTACCCAGGAACTATTTTGAGTGAATTATCTCATCCTGAGGAAATCCGAAAATCCAAAGATTAAGTTTCGAGATTGTGTGACATAAATATCCAAACCGGATCCATTCATATGCACATAATGTTGGTATAAATGAAATGAATGGAGTTTTACGTCCTATCCCATATTTGGATAGTTTACCAGGTTGATTGTTTTCTTGACAGTCGATACTGTGGTGATCTTTCAACTCATCCGAATTGAAATGTTTGAACTTCACAAGGAATATCCTGTTGACCTGACTTGGAGGGCCAGACACACGATGGCAGTCTTCTTGGATAAGCATGGCATTAAGTGGTACTTAACTTGTTATGCAGTTTGGCAGTTTGACGACCTTGTGGCCCATGAAGTATCTGATACCTGTTCTGATTTTCCTATCGGTATGCGTCTCAAACGTTTGAGATATATTATAGCTAGGTCAACTACAATACAATGATACAGCAAAATAAATCGCTGATTTTATTTCAAGAAGACCAAGGTTAATAAAAGATAAATCTGTCATTAAATTATAAATCATATATTTGAGATGACTAGACAAATTTTGTTCAAGATAATCTATTAAGGCCATTCTCGATCCGTTGTCATCTTATCTTGTTACAACTATAATAACTAGTAAGTGGGTGTATAAAATAAAGTAAAGGTCTTTGCCAGGGCAGCAGCATAAGCCTATTCTTAGTCAATCTTCATACTTGGGAGATATTCAGTGCAAGTCATGTAGTGCACGAGATCTCGGTTTATTGTCCCATTAACGTTAAATATCTGTTTTTCTATAAAGATACAAGATGGATAATTCAAAACAGATAACTTAAAGAAAAACAGTCATAATTAGACAGACACAACAAGTTTTGTCTTCTCTTTCCCTTTCATCTGAAAAGTTGATTGTAAATGTATACACTTGACATTTTCTCTGTAATTTAATACCTGACCACAATGTGTTAGTCAAGAAATTCAAGAATTTTAACATTTCTAAATGTTGTTAGGGCGTCAAATTGTGGTTGGATAATAGTTGTCTGGGAATTTTTTTTTAATTGAAATTCTCAACGCAAGGTTATAAACTGTTTGATATTTTGATTTCAAATTATCTCCCCTTATTCTTCAATCGAATATTTTTTTATTCATAGCGCGGACGTTAGAGAGATATTGTCTGTATCGTTGAAGGCAATATAATTATTTTACATTTGTCTTTTTAATATATTCCCAAAGGCCTGCTATGTTATCTATTTAAATAAGTAGAAGTCAACACCAAACCGAGTATTATAAGCACTGGCCAAGGCTTAAGAACATTTCTGTCCCATCTTGTTGTTATATTCTCTTTAGAAACCGTGTTTATATTTCCAGGTTGTGACAGTGGGTTTGGTGCTGAATTATCCAAAAGACTCGATAGTCTTGGATTCACAGTATTTGCAGGATGCTTGATGCCAGATCGAGAAGGTGCTCAGAGTCTGAAAGAAGCATGCTCCGACCGTCTTCATATCGTTCATATGGACGTGACGGATGATTGGTTGGTCCGAAAAGCTTTGGAATATGTGAAAAATAACATAGGAGACAATAGTGAGTATAGTCATTTCATCACCCTTTATATATTCAGCTCATTTGACCAAATCCTGGATCTGATATTTGGAAATAGACAATCAGATTAATATTCGATAATTCATAGAATTGGTTCTCATCCTCTAAGGATTTGATATCTCAATTCCAGAGACAATACGCCAAACTTAGCAGAGAATTTTTGTTCTGTTTACTTCGTAATGACATGGACTCTGTGGTTAACGTAATCCGAAACACTCTTTGCCATTATCAAATACCATTTTGCTCTACCTCTCATGCTTCTACATATTCACTATTTCCAGTGTTATGGGCGTTAGTGAACAATGCTGGTGTTGCAGTATTTACTGAAATAGAATGGTGTTCTGTTGAACAGTTTACTAGAATCATGGACGTCAATGTTATAGGTGTAGTCCGGGTCACCAAGGCCTTTTTACCACTCATACGTCACTCTAAAGGCCGGGTCATCAATGTAGCAAGTTTAGCAGGTAAGGTCGCTTAATTTACGTATTCATAGCCCGGATCAAGGTACAACAACGCACCTTTCATCGGAATCTGACTTAATAAAAACTTATAACTCTTTAGATCTTTTACGTTGATAAAGCCCGCCAAATCTGACTCTGCCCAACACCTCAGACGTGATATATGGGTGTGATTTCGTCACGTGACTTCCATATATCACGTCTGAGGTACTGGGTATGGCCAGAATTGTATCGTAAATCGTGCATTATGGTAGTCCGAATCATCTGCCTCAATTCCAGCCTCTGATAGATATATTGACAACTTTCACAATAGCTAGAATAGAGGCAGATGTTATGGTTGCGTAATGCTCCAGTAAAAATGTGGATCCGGCACATGATATACAGACATCATTACCGGTTCTGTTCGGTAGATATTGTCTATTCAGCCAATGAAACGGCTGCTTCAGATTAAGACAGTGCAAATGGATGCTACATGTACTTGGTTAATCTCTTCAGCCAACGAGACAGCGGCTACAGATTAAGAGTGCAAATGTATTTACCAGTAAATAAACTGTGTGTGGGCGTCAGAGACTAAATGAAAACTTATAATAGCAATTATGACCCAATCTAATAAGACGATCTGCATCTATTCATTATTGTTCACCGCCCTTCTAATGTTTCTTTCTTTTCTCTCAAAACAAAGAGGAAAGATGCCTCTTATCACATATCTTTATCTTAGACTGTAGAGTTATCAGCATTCTTCATCTGTAATCTCATGAATGGAGATATTCTGATATATATTCAAGTATCTTTTTTCGGCGCACCTCTATGACGAAAATGCAAGACCATTTACTAATACAGTCAAACTTCTATCAAAGGTCATCGCTCCTAATCGTAACCCTTCAATCAACAACCACTAGAAATAAATATGCAATGAAAATTGTCTAAGTGAAGAGTCTTGGACCTATTTTCGTCTGACTCGTAAACTCGATGTTTAGGGGCTTTTGCATGTATGCATTTAAAGAGATTGTAAAATAACAAAAATGTATAGCATCGATTTGGAGCATTGCAATTTTAAGTCAGACGTCTGTGGTTGTTGCGATTCCACTTGAACTATCGCAACGAGTCTTCGATATTTTGAATAGTTTTTGCGATAGTGACGTCATTATACTCTTAGTTCGAGAAGTGCAAGACTGAAGTGTTTCACTGAAAATTTGAATGGTACGAATCGATGCCACCCGAGTCTTCGATGAACGGTTAGAAAACGTCCTAACGATCCCTTTAAGTAATTGATTGGTCATTATTTTCATTCAACTCACTGTGTATTTTACAACAATTTCAGGTCGATTCACTCTACCAGCGTTTTCTGCCTACTCCATGTCCAAAAAAGCCTGTATCGCCTTTTCCGATGGTTTGAGGTTGGAGATGTCTAAATTTGATGTCAAGGTGATCACCATAGAGCCAGGCCTGTACAGGTAAAGTTTATTTTGTTTGGATTGTTATGTAACAATTATCCTAAGTTAAGTGATTTAGTCAGAATGTTTCAGGCAAGAGGCCCCCATCTTCACAATGTCAGGGTATTACGAACTTCGTACCTTGACTACAACAGCCATCTTGTATCGTGGAATGCAGTGATTTGATTGGTTTTTACGCCATCGAACACAGCCAACCAGAGCCCTCGACAACAAGTTTATAAACTATTAAAGCTATAATGTTTACAGTCTGTCTGTCGAGGGTTATAATTGGCAATTTTCACGGGCGTACAATCCAATCAAATCGTTGCATTCCATGATACGAGAAAAGTGGCTATTGTAGTCCTGGTATAAGAAGAGTAAGTTCGTAATAACTTGATATTGTGAAGATCACAGCCCCCTGGTTCTAATTAAAACCAACCATTATAACTGAAGTGTTACAGTTAAAGTAATATCTTATCCTCGTTCGTACCTAATTAACTTTACTAATTATCTCTTTACTACTAAATCTAATTAAGAAAATATAATTATTGAGTTATTTTCTAATATAACAAATTTCTAATTCCAACATTCTGAAGATTGAATTATGTTCATGGAATTACTATCCCGGTTTTGTAAGTAAGACCTAAGTGTTATGCATTCAAATTCTGCCAATAACCATGGTCCTGTCGACAATACACATTAGGTGCAGTTATTACTGCTAAGGTACGATATTTTGGAACGCCATAAACAGTGACTCTAGGTTCAGATTCATACGAAACTATGTATGGTTCTTACCATCGTGTCCAAACCACACCCCTATCCGTCATACTTCCTCGGGGTTATAAGACCAAGTCAAAACCCATATTCGTGATACGAATGGTTTTTACATGGAAATAACACTCACGAAAGTAGTTCACAACCATTTGGATCTCTTCCCCGACTTCAGTCGAATTTTTAAAAAGTTATATATTTCAACAAAGCCTTCACATCACATTTTTAGCCTCTTTAAAAATTCGACTTATTTTTTCAAAATGGTTGTGAACTGCGTTCGGGTGTGTTATTTCCATGTAAGAACCAAGCACAGTTTCGTATGTGCCAGATTGGGACTATTGAAGAAGTCATTTACGCAGTTGCTACACTCCTTATTGGGATTTGCTTGTGTCCAATTCTTGTAGTCCATACAATTAGCAAAGTGTATCTGGGCAAGTCTGGTCTCATCTTGACTCAACGAAAATCATTCTTCTATGTGTACCAACGCCTTTGTACTGTATTCAACACACCTGCCAAGCAAAAACAGGTTAATTGCTATAATTAATAAGACTATGAGGAAATAACGCCTCTAGTTGTTATTATAACAGATTACCGTGTGTTTTTCTCTGTTTTGGTTTTTTTTTTAACTGAACAGTTGCCAAAATAAACGGAAGTTACATCGTGCATCATTGACTATCTCATCAAGTTATCATATAATGGTAAATACAGACAGCTACCTAATCTCAAAAACTGTGCTTACTTGTTCAAGAGACGTAGATTGTTTATCGTATGTTTGGCAGAATGGCAGTTTCTGCGCATTCAGGCCATACGAAACAACGCACGTGTCCTATATTTATGTAGTTCCTGCGAAATATGATCACAGAAAACTGCCCTTGTGTCAAGCAATCTGATGATCAGTTGTCTACGATAATTTCATATGGTCGGAATGTCTGATTCGGAGTTTTCAGGTACACTGACTACAAGGCTTCCGAGGAGTGGATCAAACGAACCGGGTGGAACTCAACAACCGACGGGAGTACACAAAGTTAACACATAAAACTATAAAATATAAACATATAAGCACATCATAAAATTAGTTTATTTACAATATGTCATCGTACTACCTCGCATCTAAAATGACATTATGCCGGAATGGAAGCCCAGGTATCTAGGTAATAACGAGCCATAAAATATAAATTTAAATTAAAAATATAAGTAATGTAAACATGTACAAGTTATAAATCTGTCAGATGATATTTAAAATATAAATAACTTGGTAAATAGCTCGATGTTTGCTTTTCAAATAATCTTAATATATGTTTCCTCAATATTCAAATTTTCTTAAAGAGAATATCAAGGCCTACTTTACATTTTAAAGGGGAAGTGTGTATCAGCTTCATAAAACAGGATTTATGACTAAGAAATGTCTACACATGACCAATGATATTGTGAAGTGAATTTTTTGTAAAGGGGTATATTTTTTCTCGAATTTATGAAAATTTTTATATCAAAACCTAGAGTAATTTGTCCCTTAACTGATCTGAAAGTTTTAACTAAAGTAAAATCCCGCCGTTAAAAACGCCAAAAATATTTTTGTAAGTTATTCGTAAACCTTAAGCTTCTATCTTTAAAACGAACACTTTAAAATTCAACCTACAGTTGCAATTCTAAATCGAGATAAACCTTTTATTTCCGATCTTTCAAAATCATTCGGAAGTTTCTTTGAAGCTCATCTTCCTGCCTCGTGACTTATGTTCATTGATGAATTAGGTCACGGTGAGGTCAGAACATTTACATCATTACAGTATATTGCTCAATAATTTATGAATGAATCTATAATGACGTCATCGACTATATGAATAACTGAAGTGTGTCACGTCTTTTTGATACAAATATGGGCAATTCAGGGCCATTTTTGACCGATTTCAAAACTTATCTCCGCAAAAGGAGGGAATGTCCTTATGATACATGATTACTTGAAAAGAAAATTCTCCGCAAATTTAACCTCAATATCGACTGCACCTTGCTTGCTTCACACCTACGAATCTACTCCGTACAAGGGCAAAATTGGAGCGGGTGAAACTGCACATCGATCTAATGTGACTTGTGGTCTATCATTTCTTCATTTTCATGAATAATCATTTCTTAAAGGGATTGTAAAGAGGTTTTCTAAATTTTGTATGTGTATTGATAGCATCAATTTGCCTCATTCCAATTTTCAATCAGATGTCGGTGGTTCGTGCAATTCCACTAAAACTAGGCGCTTGATGACTAATCACTTGCTGTATCACATCACTTTGCGATTCTTGACGTAAAACGCTTTGGTTTAGAAACGTCTGATTAAAAAATGGAATGGCGCAAGTTGATGCTATCAGTGTCTCCGATACATAATTTTCTTTAGAAAACCTCTTTACAATCCCTTTGATCTTATAAAATGTCTAGGTTTCAATGTCAGTTGCCAAATATATCTGTTATATTTATAAGCCAAAAACAAGCCAAATCATCAATACGATTAATTTGCTATTCCAATAAGATGCCCTGCTTGGATTGACCATTTCATTTCTGAGAGCCCCAGTGATGTTTCACTAAGTGGAAGGGCCGAGTTGGGGTCACCGAATTTTAAGGAAGGGGGTGGGGCTATACCTGACAATTAAGAACTCAATGATAAGAACGCCACTGGAGAGCCTATATATAAAGTGGTGTGTTATTTTCAGTATTTGATTTTGATCATTCATTCATTCATTAGGGTATGTCATGTCATTAGTATTAAGAAATCTATCAATGACTGGAGAATGTATGAAATGATAATAGATCGTATTTATGATTGCAAAAACCACCTACATTGGAACAATCAATCACATGAAAAATTTAACAGATTTGAATTTATAATCAGGCGTATATCCAAATTAAGCATAGACAGTCACAAACAATTTTCATTGATGTATTTTGGATGTTAGAACAATGTATGCTCTAATGTTACATCGTGATAATAACTATTATCGCGATAAATGAACAGCATCGTAATAGTAGCATCCTCATCGTGATGATATTATGTTCACGATAAACAACCTCTATCTATTTCATGATAACAACCAATACAGTACTGATAACCAATATCGCAGTAATATCATAAAAGCAGCATTAATCGTAATCAGCCACATACATCGTAATAAGCAACATACATCGTATTAGCAATTCATATCGTGATAACAACCACTATTTTTGTTATGTTTAACCGATATTTTGATAGCCCATTGAGATTTCAACCCATCTCGTGATAATGTAACAACCAACTCATATTTGTACATTTTACCACGTTAAAATGTACTAATCAAGACTATTTTTTATAATTTCAGGACACCAATCGCTAATGAAAACTACCTGATAGACCAGAACAGAAAATCATGGGCTGAAACACCAAAAGAAATACGTAATGATTACGGAGATGAATATTTCGATGCATTTTTACAAAATATAACGGACCAAATGAAACGAGCACGACCGCACGTGCATGAAGTGACAGATTTGATGGTGCGTGCAGTTGTGACGAAGGACCCACATTATCGTTACGTACCATATTGGATGACGTATTTAAGATCTGAGCTCATTATGATGCTCCCTGTGTCCATTACTGACAAATATTTTAAGGCCATTTCTGTTAAGTGTGACACACAGTCCAAGAGACGTGAATCCGAGCGAGATCGACCCAATGTTAAGGAAAATGGAAAAAATAAATAAAATTATATAATTGTTTTATAAGACGAAATCCACATTATATAGGTCCAGACAAAATGTTGGACCAGAACTCGCAATCTTGGTTAATGCTTAATCGATTCGATCTTCAATTTGATAATCAATGTCATCATAATGCAAATTTCAAAATTTTCATGTATTATCATATATTTACGTAAACGATGTTTATTTTGGGTTCAGTTATGTCAAAATTTCTTTATGCTTTGTTAGCCAAATAAAGAATTTGTTATTATTTATTTCAAAAACGAAAATAATTTGAAAACAGACTTTTGCCTTAAAATTCCCTCTCAATTTTCTAATCTTTACAAGATTATTCACAAAAAAAAGTCTGTGATCAAAATACGGCTTGTTCAATTCAACTTCATTTTCACACAGAACGATTGAAATAAACCGACTAATATCTAGAATTGTGTATTTCAATTGGCTTCTGTATTCTCTAAATTGCATATTTACCTGGAGACAAGTATGTATAGTAGTCTTAATGTCAATTTCTTCAGATATGAACTCTTGTATTTCCTAATATATCCTAGCAAGCTCAATCAACTATACCGTGCGTACTTAGCACATCTTGGATAATAGGGCAATTCATGCAAACCTTTTTATATGACGACAGTAATAGCCTACACTTTAAAAATGACATTTTTAAGCTTATATACTCGTCTTGGTGTTTTGATGTTTTTATAAACATATATTATTCATGTATATCATCTTAATTGTTTTGTTTATATATAAAGTTTTAGAATAAAACTCGTTGTGAAAAATAACATTATGAATTCGGTCACGGGTTACGTTAGTGGGCGTAATTAGGTAACAAATGAGAGTCAACACTGGTGCATAAATCCATTCATTGTAGATGATAGATGTTGACCTGGTATCCCAGAGCAAAACTTTACAATGAAAATTACTTCTATTGTCTTCATAGATTAAAAAGAGCGAAGACTTTACGCCCAACTTTTTTTATGTCCCATAAACGAGTCCAATGCAAAGACTTGTATTTTTGTAAATAGTTTACGGACAAACTGTCTTGCAGTTTGCAAAGTCTGTGCAAGGGAGGTAAATCTTATATTCAGACCACAGTTAAAACGTCACACGTAGTATATCATGTATTTGGCTAATTGTAAATTGGAAGACAGAGGGCAAACTGTCTATGAAGTGTTATCAGCCAATAGTCAATTCAAGGGAGGTAAATCTTATATATTCAGACCACATTTAATATATTTCAGGCAAGATCTATTGGAGTGGCTATATTATGTTCAATGTCTTACAGTATAAATTGAACTGTAGATCACTAACCTGAGATATTATAACAAGCAAATTTCATGTTTCGTTATTCGAAGAGCCTGGGCCTAGCTGCTGCATCAATTTACTTAGTAAGAAATAAAACACTTCTCATTATAAAGAAAGTATACATCAAGATTTATAGTATAAATAAAGGGAATACATAAAGGCTAAAATAATCACAGAAACAATCATAGTTTTCCAGTTCTCTTTCCTTAAACTTCCTAACTCTTTTTGTTGAGTTTTTAATTTCTCTTTTAAAGACGACTCTTCTTCTACCAAAGCCTCTCTTTCTGTCTCATTCATATATTTCAGTCTTAGTGATCTTTCTATTGCATCCAGACGTTTCTCACTTTTTGTTATTTCACCTTCAATGGTTTCTATCTGTTTGACTATACTCGGCATTTTGTGTCTTTGGGGCACTTTTCAAGATAGTGAAAAATAAAGCGATATAAAAAAAGTGATAAATTGAAAAAGATAGTCTAACTGAAAAAAGCCCACACGACTCCACTGATTAAGTAAATGAAGTCAAAGCCAAGTGACAGCTTAAATTTTTTAGCACATTAACTTTCCTTCGAGGCTTCCAGATCTTTCTCCTTGTGGCACTAGTCTCAGAATATCGTCCTGGACGTTCACCAATTTTCACTTTCACAGCAAATTATTATTTGTGTTCTGTCGCCTAGTCTTTTCCAGGATTTCACTATTTCCACAATGCTAAGAAAATCGATGACACATTTTTCCACTTTAAATCAGACCTAGGGAATATGGCAACTGATGGAACTCCAAAAGGCGTCACAGAATGCCCATTCCACACATGGAAACCGGAAAAATGTTATCAACTTCACACGTGTCACTGTTTACAAACACAACCTTTGACCTCTCACAATTTATTCCCCTTTAATAATAACTCTTTATCGTGGAGTCTAGAAAGGTGGTTCATTGATGTCAACTTCCGGGAACTAATTCTGAAGATTTTTTTCCTGAAGTTTCGATTCCTTCAAAGTGAAAATCGGATCAATGAAAGAAAATGGGAAATTCAAACAGTAGTAGTGATACAGATGAAGACAGGGGTGGTGAAAATGTAGAGGTTTGTTGGCATGACTTTCTGTATATGCAAGCAGGTTCTTGTTTTTTTTTGACAGAGGACTGATCAATGAGAGAAGAGAGGGCCGAAAATGTTGGTTAAAGTTTTCTGTGTTTTCCCCTGCTTGTCATTTTCCCCGGCTTGTCACTTTCCATTCACCTACCCATGGTCAATAATGGCAATGCTGAGATATTACACTGGATGAAGTGCACAAAGTCATCTACTGACACTGTCTGACCACATTTGTAGATTTACATTTTCATGAACCATTTGTGAAATGACAGACAAAATTCAATTCTGAGCTAACCATGGTCTGAGAGTAGATGCTAATAAAATAAGTTGACAAGCCATTTAAATTGCTTTTATGCAAAATGTGTCATTGATGTAAACATGCATTATGCTAGTGGGATCAGCAATTAGCTCAGTCAAATTCAAGAGTATTTCTGAGTTAGAAATTTACTTTGAATTTATGGAATATTTCTTGCTATGTCCTACTTGTGAGGTTCTTTTTCTTGATGCAGCTCTTTAAACATACTGGTCCCTATGTTATACTATTTCCTACGTGTTATGTGTAATAGCTGACTTAATTTGGATTTTTCAGGATGATGATGGATTTTCTGATGGTGAGAATGAATCAGGTAAATATTTTATATTATTACACATTGATAAAGGAAGATGTTTATTGTTACATGTATCAGACACTCAGACAGTTTGACTTTATGAGACAGTGTCTGTGCAGAAGCACAGACTATTCAGATTCACTAACCCAACTGTTCACATGCTAATACAAATAGCATTATCAACATGTCATTCTGATTTTGGTTGCAATTGTCTTTAGTGGAATTACAGAACATTTGATAAACCCTTTCAGCTTTGTGAAGAAATAGTACATATTACCATGTTATTGTGTTAAATGTTTATATTTTGTAGGTACCAAAGAAGATGTGGTTTCAGCTGATTTAAATAATCTATTTGATTCTCAGTCTTTACGAACTCTGGCTTCAAAAATCAGGTATCTCTAATATAATTATAAATAATACTTTAAATGCCCTCTATTTGTGTGATGCATAAACCTGAATTAGTTAGTTTAGTAATTCATAATAGATTATCAGGATTTGGTGATATTCTGAACAGAAACTTGGTTTAAGCAGTAGTTATCCATCAGCAGTAGACAATAATTCAAACAGTAAAAACATCCAGGAACATGTGGAATGGTTTCAATTACTTTCTTCCCTACCCTTCACTATTAATGCTTATATCATTCCATGTTTTGTAGAGAAGAGATACCAGCTAATGTTCTTCACCAGCATCATAATTCTATTGTTAGATGGCTGTATGACAGACCAGAAACACAGGTAGGTGTTCAAAAAAATCTCTTTCAATGAATGATGTTCAACGAAAAGGATCCTTGTCTGCCTCATACATGTGATGTAGGCCCATTGACTGATGGTGATTCATAAAGGTAGCTTTGAACAGGTTCTGTCTGATACAATTCTGGGCTCAATGGAACGGACAGAAACAAATAATGCAACATTTTTTTGTCTGCAATTTTGAATTCCGTCTGCACTTACTTTTTTTTCAGGAGCATGTGGAACTCATTCTGAACTCTGTTCTAATTTGTTTTATTGTACATCCAGTTGATTCCAAGAATTCTGAAGCCTTCAATCTAGCGGTCCAATGATATTAATATTGACCACAAAAACTTCCTTCTTACAAGATCAAATCTTGCTTATTGACTCAATTCTCCATTTAATTTACAGGAAACTGTCCATTATACACAGTTCACTGATATGTTGATTTCAAAAGGAGCCACAAAAGCTGAAGCAATTAGAGTGAGTTTTACTTTGCTTTGAGAAGATATTTTCATTCTACTGACATGTCGGACCTATTAAAGTATCTTAAATTGGAAATATTTAATCTATAGTCCGAATGTAAGGGTACAACTAAAGCCAATGGTAAAAAAAAAATTGAAAAGTGGACTGTTTTTATACGGTTTTTAGCAAATGAACCAAATGAAGTCGTCTGAATGGTTCTGTTTTGTACTGTTAAATGATAGATTCAAAATGCTCATCCTAATTGATCTACTGAAGATAATTGAAATGGATTCTGATTGCAGGTTATTTACAATGTTTTGAATCCAATATGTTTTCCAATTGTAGATATTCCAACAGTTTGATACTGATGGTAGTGGAATGGCTGATATATCTACTATACTGGACTCAGTTGACTCGTGGAGTGGTGGGTCAGTGAAGGGAGAAATTGGTTTAAATATCAGAATGTTACAAGCTTGTACCTTAACACCAGGTATGAGGAGATATATTCTAGAAATAGATCAATTATTGACTTTGACTATTATGTTGAATACAGGGATATAACCAATTCATCACTTGTTTCTCCACTTTTGTTATATAATGATAGAAAGTAAAGTCAGATTTTAATTCTGAAGAATTCTACAGGAAGCTGAACTGTTCAGGAAATATTTACACGGCTATATTTTGAAACTATGACTGCTTCTGTCACCTGATATATCTTCAGTAAATCCATTTAAAATTGCACTTGTACAGACTCGTTAGCAAAATTACCAAGCTTCATTAAACTCCTGAAAGTTTACCCCTCAAATGGATTACTTGAGATATTCTTTTGATGGAGCACCAGGAAAATATTGTCTGTTTTTCCAGGTTTTGTTGATGTTTATTCCGGGGATAAAAATCCTATCAATAACCATGGTGAAAGAATTCTCAAGGTTTGTGTTAAAGTTGTGTTAATGGATCTCATCGTCTAATCTTAGTAAAAATGCATGTATATTATATTTTCCATGATCTGATTGGTCAACTATAATTATAACCAACCTCATTACCATATCTTTAAAACCAGATGATGATGATAATTCAGTTAAATAGAAATATCAAAACCAGTATTTGGTATATTATTCTAAGATTTCAAAATTTTCTATCCTTTGAAAGAAAGAAACAATTATATTTTACAAGGATAACAACTTAATATCACAGCTAAGGATCCTTTCTACCATTATATCCTTGACCTAACCTCTTGGCATTGATCTTTCCTGGATTATCTGTACTCATTTACAGCTGGGTGGACTGGAATGATGAGTGAAGATGACTTATTCAAGGTCATTATACTTTCACACACGGATCGAGATTGGAACCCACAGCCACCATTTGAGTACGGTTTTAAAGTTACTAATATTTAGAATTGAATACCCAGGTTAAAATAGCATGTTTATTTATTTTCAGTATTTATTACGTAACCGTGGAGACAGTAAGTCACTCCCATTCCCGTTTTTAAATGGTTTTAATAATACTGGAAACATGAGACTTTCTGTTTTAAAATCTACTTTTAATCATCTTAAAAATCATGGTAAGTAGAGAGTAACTTTTGTCTTTTAAGAGAATAGGCTATTAACACTCTTCCATGCTGATGTTTACATGGTCTTTGGTGTCAGTAATTAAGATTAAGCAGGCCAGATTTATGTTGTGTTGATTACTGCTTAAACTATCCAAATATTTAGCAAACTGTTCTTGTCTTTGTTTGGAATGGGACCCTTATGTGTACAAAAATCAATGATAGACTAAATATTGGCAAGACTATAATGATAAATATGAATTTTTCCACATTTTGCATTTCCTTTTTTTGTAGGTAGTGAAAGAGAAGAACAAGAACTAGGAGAAGGGGAAGAGTTACGTCCCATTACAAAATGTTATACATCAATAGAGGTGTCTACTAATACAGCAGATGCTTATAGGTTTGTTATTTTACATATCCTTGACTTCCCTCTCCACCCCTTCATTTAATAGAGGTGAAGTGTCTACTAATACAGCAGATGCTTATAGGATTATTACTTTACATAGCCCTACCAGACTCCCCCCTTCCCCACTCTGCCTCTCCTGTACACTCAATAGAGGTCAATAGAGGTCTCTACCAACACAATGTGATGCTTATAAGTTTGTTACTTTACATACTACTTGCCCTGCATTTTTAACTCATTGCAGACTGGATGGTCTGTATTAGCTTTCTCGAACAGCTTTCTATCTAATTTCATCTTCCCATGTGCACTTGATCAACATCAACATAAATGTCTATGTATCTCTTGCTAATGGATTACTGAAGGTTACTGAAAAGTGAAATGGTTAAACATTTAGAGTGTTCCATATTGCTTGATTATTTGACAAACTATGTGGGCATAATGTGGTTTTTTATTAAAACACATATATCAGTAGGACATGTTAAAATGGCTTATTGTGAACTAAAATCAAACTTTATATCCATTTGTGTTTATTTTTTCAGATTGACTAATGGTGATCCCAATACATTTTGGCAGTCTGATGGCACAGCTAGAACACATTGGATCAGGTATACAATTTTCATATTTATGTATACATACTTTATTCGATGAAATGTCAAGGGTCTTCAATGTGCACAGCCTGTAGCACTCAGGGCCTTTGTTTATCATCCCAACCATAGGACTAGATTTACTTTTAAATATCGAAGGTATAATTACACTGGATTTTGGGTTATCAAGCAAGCAGCTCTCTTTGAAATATTGACAGATATGTCAGCAGTCATTTTGCATACTAACTTGTTTTACAATTATTTTACATGTATATTTAAAAATGAGAAAAATCCAATATGTTCCTGAATGATTAAAATAAAAAAAAACAAATTTTGATCCCAAGGCCAGTGCTTCAAAGAGTTGTCCCAGTGTTGGCTTTATACTAATAAAATCTAAAAAAATTGTCTTTGTATTCTAGGCTACAGATGAAGAGTAATGCTGTATTAAAATTATTAACAGTAAATGTAGCTTCGTCTGATCAGAGTTATATGCCAGAACTAATCACAGTATCAGCTGGTAGAAATCCTCGATCATTGAGAGAAGTCAAAGAAATCAGAGTGCCTAGGTAAACAGAGCTTTTGTTTTTAATTTTCATAGTCAGTTAGTGAACAAATTATAATTGTTGGCAATTTGTCTTGTTAATATGTTAATCCACAGAAAATGGATCATTTTGATATAAAATTCACACCTATAGCTGTTTTTAGTACTTAGTCCCCCCCTGATAAGAATTCACTTGCAGGAATTAACTCACAGAACAAAGACTTTTACATTTACTCTTGTTACAAATTCATTATGAAAATAAGATGACCTCTAACAAACCACAGAAAATCTTAAAATTGATTATGAGAATAATCATGAAATATATCGCTTTTAAATTGTTTTATTTCAACAGTAGTACAATTGGAGAAGTTGTTTTATTGAAAAATGCTAAAATTCATTATCCAGGTAAGTAGGATTCATTTTAACTCTAGAATTTCTTTTATTAACTCTAGAATTTCTTTCATTAACTCTAGAATTTCTTTTATTAACTCTAGAATTTCTTTTATTAACCCTAGAATTTCTTTTATTAACTCTAGAATTTCTTTTATTAACTCTAGAATTTCTTTTATTAACTCTAGAATTTCTTTCATTAACTCTAGAATTTCTTTTATTAACTCTAGAATTTCTTTTATTAACCCTAGAATTTCTTTTATTAACTCTAGAATTTCTTTTATTAACCCTAGAATTTCTTTCATTAACTCTAGAATTTCTTTTATTAACTCTAGAATTTCTTTCATTAACTCTAGAATTTCTTTTATTAACCCTAGAATTTCTTTTATTAACCCTAGAATTTCTTTTATTAACCCTAGAATTTCTTTTATTAACTCTAGAATTTCTTTTATTAACTCTAGAATTTCTTTTATTAACTCTAGAATTTCTTTCATTAACTCTAGAATTTCTTTCATTAACTCTAGAATTTCTTTTATTAACTCTAGAATTTCTTTTATTAACCCTAGAATTTCTTTCATTAACTCTAGAATTTCTTTTATTAACCCTAGAATTTCTTTTATTAACTCTAGAATTTCTTTTATTAACTCTAGAATTTCTTTTATTAACTCTAGAATTTCTTTTATTAACTCTAGAATTTCTTTTATTAACTCTAGAATTTCTTTCATTAACTCTAGAATTTCTTTTATTAACCCTAGAATTTCTTTTATTAACTCTAGAATTTCTTTTATTAACCCTAGAATTTCTTTTATTAACCCTAGAATTTCTTTTATTAACCCTAGAATTTCTTTCATTAACTCTAGAATTTCTTTCATTAACTCTAGAATTTCTTTTATTAACTCTAGAATTTCTTTTATGACACCTTAGTTTTACTTGAACCGAGCAAAGAATTCTGCTTTCTCCTTTAAATTAATAAACAAGTTGATAAGTAGATATTAGCTATCAATTGGAGACCAATCAATTACAATGTCTTGGGAAACCTTCTCTCATTTAATACATGTGGATATTATATCTACTGTTTCTATTTCTAGTGGTACAGATCAATATTAAGCGTTGCCGTAGTGATGGTTGTGATACTAGAATCAGAGGGTTAAAGGCTGTAGCTTACAGGTAAATCTTTTTACAACATACAAAATAAATATAACAAAGTAGATACAAAGTAGATACAATTTCTATAAGACTTATCTGTAATTCATACAGTAACAAGACAGACTGAAAGTTACTGTGTAACTTGCTGATTTTTACCAGCTGTCTTTTAGATATTTGATTGGGTTCCATTAGATCTTGGCATATCTCTTATCCTTTGACAGTATAAGCCAGTTGATAACAATAAGGTAGAGTTCGAATTCATCTTGGTATATAAAGAAGCAGTGACGGAGCCATGTTGACGTCTGATGGGGGGGCAATATCTGAGGTTGCGTGAAATTTTAACCTTGTTATGAGATTCATGCTCGAAAAACTTGCGTTCAAAGCTCCAAGGGGCCCCTTTGGCTCCGCCACTGTAAAGAAGTCTAATGCCAGCCTAGTACTTTTAAACCTGTGTCGCTTTCAACATTTTCCACCTCATCTAAATCAGTTATTTTATTCTGATTCTATTCTACAGAGTAGTAAAAGAACCAGGAATCAGTATACTTGACGCCTCAGCCTCCTGGTATTTACAGATTTTAACATCACTAGTTACTGCTACCATACCACAGTCACCTTTTCTACGTGATTCTGTAATCAAACATACCAAGTAAGTAACAGGAATTAATCATTCTTTATATCATTTCTATGGTTACTAGGCAAATCCTTGAATTATAATGTAATTGTTCAAATTAGCATGAGATAAGGGTTTTAACCGTTTATGATGTTGAATTTAGTTATGAACTATTTGACAGTTGAAAACTAGGAGAAACTTTAGACAGTTGCTTCAAACCTTCGAGAGATTGCGTCATCCACATATTAACTTTACCAGCTTAAAGAAGTCAATTTAAAATATCTATTGCTTTTTCAGATTAAAATCTTTCATAGGTTCTCCTTAATTCAACGAAAAAACAAACAGGGAAAAATTAGACTGTCACTTCTAGGATTTTATTATCATTTTCATGTGTTCACACACCTTTAACAAAACAATAGATTTTTACTTTTATTTCAATGTGGATTAGTAAATTACAATCTGGTGACTTTGTTTCAATATGTTTTGGAGCCTGGGACAGCAAAGTCAATATTTCAAAAATTATTATAGAATATCTCATAAATTATAACATTAACTTATCATTATATAATTTCCATTTTTAATTGTTTGTTAACATTAGATATATTTCATTTACAATGTGTTATATTTTCCAGGTCAGCTTTGGATCACATGCCACCACTGTCCCTCTGTGCAGCCAACTATGATAAACCACAGTTTCTCAGTCGCCATGTTTTAAAGGAACTTGATACGTTTATAATGGACATGTCTCTGTAAGTCTTAGTTGATGTGCATTTTATTTTCTTGTAATGTGAAGACTTGACGTTTCAAAATGGATTCACAACTCTGGACTTTCACGCACTATTTTATGATTTTGCTATCATTGTTAAATGTCTTATCACAGTCTTATCAAGAGTTATTAAAAATTAATCTGTTAGTGAAGCTATTTGTGAAATTAGATTGTTTTAGACTGAGATATTAGCACATAAATGTTATGTATTTGTCGTCACACGATTAAAAAGGATTATCTTTACTACCATTGTTAAACACTAAAAATGTAAACAAAACACATAGATCTGTGTTCAATGGGATAAGAGATTGTTTTTAAGCTATTATTTTAAAGTGATCCTCCCTATTTGTTACCAGTTTGTTGTGAAAATCATTAAGTTAAGAGCAAATAGTCCGACCAAAGTTAGTAACAAAATATTTTTAATATGATCTATTGTAGAAATGAAGACAAGGTTCAACCAGATGGACTCCATATTGTTTTGTCTTTAAACTTAGCTCGTGGTCATGTGGCTCGTTTGATACAACTTCTTAAATATTTCTATGGTTAGTTGATTTTGAATTTAAATACAGATCTAGAAATCTAAAGGAAAACATTTTTAGCTTTGAGTGGTCTTTGAGTAAATCACATTATACGTAGATTTTTCAACCTGGTTATCAAATGTCATTGAGGCTGGTCTGAGGGACTGACATTAAAAACATGTTTAGTAGCTTGGATGAGGCAAAAATCCAAGGCCCTAATATGTCTGTGTTTGACAGTCTGCAGATTGCAATCTGAATAGATGTGTAATTTTTGTAATATATCAAGTATAATATATAGTTAATGAGTTTAAGATGTTTTGATAAATATCTTGTGGCTTTTTGTTGCTACTTTGTTCTATCTGTTTATTTTTAGAAACTCCAGATATGAGTTTAAATTGTGCCAAACTATTACAGTCTGCTATAGATGCTAAAAATACTTGCTGGGAAAGACTAGGTAAGAAAAGTATATACAAAGTGAGGTGGCAAACAATGAAAATTACCCTGGATTACTCTTGTAGAGTTGTAGTGACACAGTGGGTGAGATGTTCAGGGTTCGATCTCCACATAGGTTCTGATAAACAGAACAGTATGACAGAATACTCTAGATCATTTAATTTCTCATGATCTGAGCATTGAGCCAGGTGCCTAGTGTCTACAGCAATGTTTAAGAGCTCTCTGTCCTGTCAAAATAGCAAGAATGTTTATGTTGATTATTTTTAGATATTTTGAAATGCCGTGACTTGATTTGTAAAACAATATATTCTCAACTTTTATTTTTATGGTATATATAAAAACACTAGCTGAAGTTTGCTGTCAATGAATTGCTACCAACTTAGAGCAAATCTGATTATTGTAGACCAAAACATAGACCTAGATAACAGAACCTCAAAAACATGTTGTTACTCAGTTTCACGCTATGAGATCTTTAGACAAATGACCTATGTATTTTGATTTTAATTAATTCATGAGGTATAATATTATTGCCATACCATTCATCCAATATTACTGTACTGCAGGCAGTGTAGTACCAATGTCGGTGCTAGGTCATCCTGGTAATTCAGAAGACGTCTCATCATTAGAAAATGTCATCAACCATTCTGCTGAAGGAGCAAAAAATGGTAAATAAATATTTCTAAATCTCTCAGTCTATTATCTATTAATTTGAAGAACTGCAGTAATTTGGGACCTGGGCTCCGTTCCACAAAAACCTTACGATAAGAATTTGTTGTAAGTATAGAATTTTTAAATTTCAAAATACCGTACTTACGACAAAAATTGATCGCAAGATTTTTTGTGAAACAGTGTCCAGTTTCTTAGAAAATCTTACGATCAAATTTTGTCGTAAGTTTGCTATTTCTCGATAAGTTCCACAGTTACGACAATTTCTTATCTTAAGATTTTTTAAAAAAAGGGGACCAAGATTACTGAAACAAACAATTGTCCATAGTGATTCATGGATGCAAGTTTATATTCCCTCTCTTGAAAATCATTTTTTATCATAAAAACCTCAATGTGCTAGAGTAAAATTTTATTTTCTTGCTTGTAGTCTATTATACAGCTGAGAATACGACCAAAGCTGATTTATTTTTTAAAAGTAAAGATTATGCTCAGTTTACCAAATTTAGAATTAAGGTAAAAAATAATTCTTTAAATTTCCAATTTTGTCGTTAATTTTTGAATAAAATCATGAAAATTGAAGACTGGAAACAGCATTTTGGAAATTATTATCAAACTAGACTGGAAAGTAGAGTCAAACTTAAATTCCTGTGAAAATTACTGGAGGATATCCTTGCAAGTTTGGAGGTTTTCTTGGTTTTGTTGTAGATTCCACCTGGAGGCAAGTCACCAAGAAGAGGGCTGATATTTGTTTTAAATGAAACGTAAGTATTAATATTTAATTAAAACTGACTGTATGCTCTGGACAAGTGTTAAGGTGTGACCTGACTGTGATTTCATTTTTTTCATATTTAACACTGTTATTTGTTATATAATATTTATTCAAATTATATTCTAGTGAATTTTGTCTTTTGATTACTTTTTATCTTTTATTTGATGTTTTTCTTATGACCTTTGATTGTTGTTATCCATGTAATTATTTGTAATTTATTGTTTGTATAGTCAATGAGGTGCAGAATGGAAGACAGGCCTATCGGTGGGTATTCAGGATCTTATCTTGATACTCATCGATATTGTATGGCCTAATTTTTTACCCTTTTGTAACATTGTATCATTATTATTATTATTATTATTATTATTATAAGATTTTAACTATGAAACATGATGATATTGTGGAGTTTTGAAGGAGATTAGGGTATCTATACATTATCTATTTGTGTGATATTTCAGAGAGAATTTTAACTATGAAACATGTTGATATTGTGGGGTTTTGAAGGAGATTAGGGTATCTATTTGTGTGATATTTCAGAGAGAATTTTAACTATGAAGATGAAGTAAAGAAATACAGTAAATATGATAACTGGCATGAATTAGAATATAAATTTAGTGTCAACATTAGGTAAAATTTTTCGATTTCAAACTTTCAAGTGATCTTTAACCTGCACAGCCTGTAGCACACAGGGTCAATTAGGCATTAGAGCAAAGGTAGGAAAACCTGCAGTGTCTACCATTGAAATTTATCTCAATCTCTGACCTATGTAGGTAATGTAAACACAGTTGGTTGTTATATTATAGATTTGACAAATATTGTCATAGTCTACTAGAAGCTATAAGAATGAAGCTGATGATAAACTTTAAAAAATAGACTGTTTTTTACTAGCAGATTAATATTGTGTAATGTCCATTTAACAAGGATGTCAATTATAGTATTAATAGAAAAACCCAAATGTCTTCACAAAGTCAATAAAAAAACCTGTATTTTTGTGTTCAGTGGGAGAAAAGATAACTCAGCTACTTTTTTTTGGCGGTAAACTAATCAAACTCTTTAATTTAAAAGTTTCTCAATGCAACAAAAATAGATTGTAAAATGTAAACTAATTATTTTTAGGTCTGCTGGTTTTGGAGGGAAACCTGATAACCCTGTTAGTTATTTCTATTTTGATGATGACTGGTAAGGTGGCCATTTTTTACTTTAGTTTTTAAATAAACAATGTTTTTTAATTACATAAGTACATATTAGAATATGGTAATAAATTGGGGCCGCTTGATTTGTGAGTTCTGGACTTATGGAATCAACCAGCTATCCAATAAAACAAAGTTGGAATGGAGTTCGGTGGCAGAGCCAGGTTTACGTCCGAGGTTGCCAGAATTTCTAACCAAGTTATGATATTTTTGCCCGAAAAACATGCCTTTGGGGCTGCGAGGGGAGGCCGGGGAACCCCTATGTCCCCCCTTTGGCTCCGCCACTGATGGAGTTGAGAACTCATTCCAAGTGTGCCAAATATAAGTAGGTGCAGACAGAATTCAAAATGGCAGAGACGGAAATGGATGTGACAATTCCGCTTTCATACCATTGGATTGGGGGCAGAATTGGAAAAGACGGAACCTGTTCAGAACTGTCCAATCCAGCGCCAAAAAGCCTTACTTTTGTACAACAATGAAGTATAGTTTTACTTCTTGGAATGCTATTGGATCAGATACTTTATTTTAGTATAGCAATAATCATGAGAATAAGTTTTCTAAATGTTTTTACTTTCTATACTTTTATTTTATTACAGTGATGAAATTGATATCACAGTAAGCTGGTACCCCACAGGAAAGGTATAGTCATATTTCAAATATATCGGATCTTTTCCTATTCAGATAAGAAAGTTAAAATTGTGCCACTGCTGGTCCTGATGATAAATATTGCTGTTCATTGTTCCATCCCATAGGCGTAGGAGACAAGGCCAGGGGGGAACCCCCAAATACTATCTCTTTGGGCAGCGACCAAAAAACCTAAAAAAAAAAAGAAAAATACAGGTAAAATTTGTGGAAAAATTTCAGGCAAACAAGTCTGCCCCCCTAACAGGTCTTCGGCCTGTACGCCGGGCCCATGTCCATCCCTTATAAAACACCCATATTTGATTAACAATATTTTTATTTTACAGGTCGTGTTGGTAAAGTTATTAGAACCTCGACAAGAAAAAGCTGATAGACTTGGTTTAATTTCAATCAAATTCTTTGGTTTTACCAGGAAAATTCCTAACTTGGATGAAGATAAATCAGTGAGTCGAGTTCTTTAAACAAAATTTATTAAAAACCATTACCTCATCTCATGCTGATGGTTCGTGTTTAGGATACACAAATTCAGGGTTAACTTTCTGATTTGGTCATTAGGCATTAGAGCAAAGGTAGAAAAAACCCACAGTGTCTACTGAAATTAATCCCAATCTCTGAACTATGTAGGTAATGTGAAAGCCAATTGACAGCGTTAAATTTGACCTCAGTAGGTTGGATGGTTGGTTTATAATTTGGTTTGAGTTTACCATTTTATGGACTCAATGTAAGAAAGGCACTCCTAACTTATTACCCAAAAAATAGATTATTATTATTAAATGAGTCTGAATTTGATTTGCAAAATAATGTATTGTCTTTTCCAGTCTATTCCACAACTAAATCCTGAGAAAAGATCCAGCTGTTCCAGTCTAGAAATTGTACAATGTGTTTTAGCCTTCTTGGTTGATCTTTCTGTAGACCAGGTTAGTTAGTCACTAGTCGATCAGAATTAGAATATATCCTTTATTATAAGCTACAAATACATTTTTAGATAGAGGTTTACAATATAGTCTTGGAAAGATACCTTGCTACCTTTTGTGAGGTCAAATTTTTAAACTAAGTCACCAATGTACATCATGCATGTATTCCCATTAGGATAAGTACCGTATGGCCTTCCCTACAAGCTGTGATAAACTGATACTTGAACAAATATATTTATCCGAATCTGAGATGTTTCGAAAAATTAAGCAGTCCAAACACCTTTAACTTTAGTCTAGTGTGTTTATTACTTCTTAAATTACTTTTGAATAATTTAGACTGTTTATGGTTCTATTTTGAACATTCTGTTTATGTGCACAAAATCTTGATATTGATAATATTTTCTAGGTTAAAAAGAAAGGAAGGATTTCTAAAGGAGAATATTTAGATTTTCAAGGTGTAGAACTAGATACAATATGGTCTCTGTATCAACTCTTTCAACAGAGGTAATGGTTTTATAGAATTCGTCTCATCTATATATCATCACACTCGTTTCTGAAAAAATAAACTTGGTGTTAGTGTAGAATGAGAAATATCATTGATTAAAATTGATCATAAGATTTTTTGTGAAACAGGGCCCTAGTCTGGATTGTTAAATGCTCATTTGGGAACTGCAGGGCAGGCTGTTGGATATCATATTGTTTCTAAATCAAATGAGGGCATTATTGAATATTTTCTCTTGTTGACTATCACCTCAGCCACTAATGCACTGGGGCTGCTAGTTTGATTAGTTATTTTAAACCTAGTCTGTCGTACTAAGAACTTTAGAGTGTATTTCTAATATTTGTATAATTTATAGGATTTTTTATAGCAATTACTAACAAATGCGCAAAATGACTTTATTCTGATTTTTTCCGCCTTCAGTGACAACCCAGAATGGCAGTCTTGTAGTATAACCATACTGAAATTATTACATAGTTTAACACCAGTCATACAGCCTCATTCAGATTCAGCTAAGGTAAACCAACATTTTAGATTCATCAAAACTTAAAGGGATTATAAAGAGGTTTTCTTATATTTATACTGGACACTGATAGCATCAATTTACACCATTTAATTTTCAATCAGACGTCTGTTGTTCCTGTAAGTATGTAAATGCTCAATGACTGCTCTATTGCAAAAGTTGCTTATCAAATATCAAGTGATGTCGACATCATGAAATGCTTAGTTTAAGTGGATTTCAAGACCAATTGGAATAATGGAAATCAATGCTGTCAGTGTCTATGATACAATAATAAGTGACAAAAACCTCTTTACAATCCAAAATATTGCTGTTCAATGTTCCATGTTATAGACATAGGAGACAGGGGCAGGGGGGAACACCCAAATACTATCCTTTCGGACAGCGACCGAAAAACCTGAAAACAGAGAAAAGAAAACAGGTAAAATTCGTGGGAAAATTTCGGGCAAACCAGTCTGCCCCACTAATGTATTCTCACAAGAACAAGAATTCTAAAACTATGATATCATGTATGTTGTTTTATATTCCAGAGAACATTTGATGAGGTATTCCACTATCTATGTAGTGTGATAGATAACAATGAAATTAATAAAACCAGTCCTATTTATATATTAGCAGAACAACTTATAGTAGATGGTAAGATTATATCTGGTTTTCAGTTGTTTAATGTTGTACACTGTGGTATCCACTACTTTACATCTTGCTGGCTGTATTTCAGATTGTGGTGAACTGTTATCTGCTTATAGTAACACTTAACTCCGTGTTGTACTTCACAGGGAGGACCAATAATGTACAGTAATAGAAACATAAGGCATCACCTAAGCTTGCTATTGACATTGTTACTATTGTATGTATATAGACACCGAACATCATATAACTTAAATGTTTTGTATTATTGTAGGTGCTTCGTTATTTTTTCCGAATAAGGAGATGAAAAGACAAAGATTATTTACTATGATGAATAATGTAGAGGTAGGTACTAAAAAAACAAAACAATAATATCAAGCTGAATAATTGAATAGAGCATCTTCACTCATATTTCCAGTCCACCCAGCTGTAAATGTGTACGGATAATCAGGTAAGGATCGATGCCAATGAGGTTTGGTAGAAAGGATCCTTTGGGAAAGTTTATAACCTTGTAAAATATAGTTGTCTTCTCTTTTCTTTCTTTCTTTCTTTTTTATCTCTAAGAAAAGAAATTATTATTTGTAGAACTTGACAACAGCACCTTCTGTAGCCTTGGTGTTCCAGTCTCTCTGTCAATTTTTTAGTGCTGTTGATCCACAAGGATTCTTAGATCTACCCAAACAACCTACAACGGTAAGATTTAAAATTTGCATTATTTTGTCTTTGAATTTCTTTTTGGATTTTCAGATTTCAGAGAGGTAACACATCTCAGAGTTCAGCCGTGCTTTATTCCTTCTAATGCAGTTCCTCATACTTTCACATGACAACAGGGGCAACAACTCTGTCTACATGACTATTATAATGTCTTGTATTGACCATAATGTGTCCATAGAGTTTGTAAAAGTTATTAGATAGCCAGTTCTTGTCCCCATTTTTAAAAAAAAAAAAAATGAAATGTGAATATACATGAGAGGTTCAGATGCTTTTGATCGATCACTCTGTTTTACTTTCTGTTTCGGCAACTGATTGTCTCATAATAACCTTGAATCCAAGTGTTGCTGTATCAGTGATATACCAGTGAATCTTCAGTAATTATTTTCCATTTTTTCAGACATTTAACATCAGTACAGTGCTAGATGTGATGAAAACACTGATATTGGTTGCTAGCCAGGAACACACCTATACCAGTAAAGATAATACAACTAACGAACAACTGACTTATCTTATACAACTATCAGGCTCTTTACAATCTAGTCTACTGTCTTGGTGTTCTAGACTACTTACAGAAGAAGATGAAAGCGTTAAGACTGTTGCTGTTAAAATTATTACTGAATGTAAGTCTCTCCTTTGTTATTATGCTTTGGAAGTAAGAATAACCTAATTTTTTTGAGACATTTTAACAAGTGACATTTTACCTTATAATTAAGAATATAGTGTGTACCACTTCTAACTTCTAACTAAGTTTTGTCACTGTGACAATATGCACACTCCCTGATGAAAAAATCAACATTTTTGCATATTGCAGACACCATACTGGTTTCTAAAAATTTAAATTTAACGAAAGTGTGATACATATATTCAAAATGATGATATATTACAGATTCTGTACATGTAGCCAACAGAGCAGTTGAAGTGGTCAATATTTTAATCAGTAAACCTACAGATGAATTGGTGAGTTTGTTTTCTTCTATTTTTTTTTCATTTTAATTGTAATGTAATAATGTTCAGAAAAGGTTTACTTGAAAACTATTTATATTTTAGGAGTCTCAAGTTATATCTACTTTGGTCCATTAAGAAGCATATCAGTCAAACTGAGGCCATTAATCATTTGAAATTTACCAACTTCCTTCATTAGGGTTTCGAATTGCAGAGATAAATTCTTCTAACTTGTAGGTCTGTGGCTCTATTCTGGGAACTGTATGACATTACCTGCTATTGATTGCCCAATCAGGAGATGAAAACATAATAACCCTGTTCATTTCGTTTCATTTCATTCTGAATTTCAGGAAAAACTTGCGAATGATCTTCAGCCTCCATTTTTATCTTCAATAGTCAGACAACTGGTATGTATTTTTTTTATAAAAACTTTTTGGTTCATGCGTTAACTAGAAATTCCACTCTTACAACAAGCCAGGACTTGCACACCATGTTCTCAAACATGTGGTTAGCGAAGGAATGACAATATAGGAGGAACTAGGTAAGGCCAGAGTTGTCAGGCATAAGGCGGTCAAACTGTTTTTTTGTTATTTTGCCCAAGATAATACATACTTATAATCATCAGTTACATGTTTCAGTTTCTGTTAAATTCCAGGTATTGATATTAACGTATTTGAGTCCAAATCTGGAATCTTCTTCACAAGTTAAAATTCTGAACAGTTTTCTTCCTGTATTGGTTCATCTAGAAACAATGGCTAAACAGGTTCCTCAATTATTCTCTAAGGTGGGTATGAAAGCCATTGAAGCCATGCTTGCTTATTTTACTGAATGTCCAGTATAGGTCATAGCAGTGTCTGTGATATTTTTAATACAGTATCTTACTGATAATGATGTAGGTCATATATAGACACAGCTTTATGGAACAACAATCACTGGTTAAAGTTTTATGCAACGTTTCGACGTGTTTCCCCCGTCGTCCTCAGGCACATAATGTTAAGAAGTGATGGGCAAACTATATATACATTAATTATTGTTCCATAAAGCTGTGTCTATATATCGTACTCACAATTGCTAAATGCCATTCTTTAATGATGTAGGTCATTGAGATTGAAGTAGAATTTGTATTAGAGAAAGCACAATATTTGAGATTATGATAATAATAATAATAATAATAACTTTATTAGAAACACAGTTGTACAAGGCAGTCTTCCCTGGGATCTTTCTACATATAACTACAATAATATATTTACAAAATGATAACGTAATAAAAATTGAATATAGAAATAAAATAGAAACTGAACGCATGAATATTAAGTATGACATTAAGGTGATTCAAATATATGTAAAAACAAAATGAAACAAAAGTATTACAAACTTTGAATGTATAAAATGATAGTTATATGCCAAAGAATTATTTTGGGGATCGATAGCTATCTGACTAATACATTTACTCTCTTGCTCTTTAGTTAGAGGTCAAATTTATAATTTGGCACCCATATTGTTGTGTTGATTAAAACGTTGAATATTTGAATTGTAGCCAGAGCTGAATGAGGGCTGGTCTGAGGCCAAGTCTGATGATATCGTGTTACGAACGTGGGAATTAGAATCGCCTCATAATTACGAGAATAATTCACATCTCTCTCAGGTATGTGAGCTATTGTCATTTGGAATGATGTCTCTTTTCATGAAATAGCCTAAAACATGACAAAAAATAGTATAATAGTAGCCTGTAATATAAGAGATTGGGGTGTTTGAAATTAACAAGTTACTATTCAACAAAAGGCACTGGCTCAGGTTTAAAGTTTTGTGTTAGGTTAGAAGAGCATTCTTCTTCGCATCTGTTTATTACATGGGTGATATTAGTTTGTGTCTATGATTTGCCAACTCAGAAAGGGAGGAGCATTTTATTGGCAATGATATAATACATTTCAAATACTCAGAATTTCTTTTATCTTATTTTTAGACGTTTAGCTGTCCTGGTGCGACATCATTTGTAGTTGATTTTGATCCCAGATGTGAAACAGAAAGAAGGTAAGCTTGTATGAAGTATTTTGATAGATTTTTGTAGTAAGTCTGATAAAGTTTGTTAAATTTGAAGATTTTTTTTTATTAGAAAAGGCTCCAGATGGAGAGGAGAAATATCAAACCTATATCTTATTTTCAAAGGCTCGCTTTCCCAAATAGTTTTATTTTTTGTAGAATTTTGTAGGAAGCCTAATTTATGTGACATTTAAATTTTATCAAATTTTTTGAAGAATAGGGCCAGATGAGGCTAGAGGCAGATCAAAAACCTTGAAAATATACCAAGTAATCTATGTTGAAACTCTGAAATGCTGTTGAATTGAGGAACCCAGTGATGTTAAGTGGTAGAGGGTGCTCCAGTAGAGTGATCATGACCTACCTAAAAGGCATAGTAGATACAATGTCATTTTGTATTTTTTCTGTTCTTTTAGATATGATTACCTAGAGTTTACTGATGGTAAAGGAATGAGCAAGAAACTAGATCAGAAAGTGGGATGTGGGAAATGGTCGAAACAAATAGTTTTTAGTGGACCAAATCTACATTTTCTGTTTCACACAGACAGTTCCAATACAGAGTGGGGATACAAATTCACTGTCACAGCCAAAGGTACCCCCGATGCCCCACTGTCATGGCCATGTGACCTTGAACTTGGTTTAGCCAAATTATTTGGAAGATTGTGTGGTCTGGTGTTAAGTTCTAATCCAGGTAAAAATGATTTTTGGTGACATCTCGACATCACTGGCCTTAGCTTTAAAGAGGATTCAAAGTCACTTATCTACAACACTAAAATCCGCTAACCTTTTGTTATTCATTAAACAGAAAGATGTTCAACAATAGACCACCTCTAAATCAGCCCCGTCATTGGGGTGGGGTAAGTGGAGGCTGGGCCCCAGAATGTTAGAATTAAGCCACAGCAAAATCTTCTTTGTTTCAACAAAGATTGATTCATTTATAGGGTAGCCTATTTGTACAAAATCAAAAAGATATAGATTTTGATATGTTCATGGCACCTCAAAATTGTTAGAAATGAGTTCTCTGGGCCTTTAATTCTACAAAGTCTGAGCCCCAGCACCAATTCATTCCTGGCTACAGGCTGCTCTAAATATTACCTATAGATAGGTGATATCTGGTGTTAATAAACTGACAATGATAAGGGTACAACAGTGAATCATCCTCTGGAATATCTATTTCTGAATTTTAAAAAGTAGCATTTGTTTTCCAAACTTTTATAGAATTTTATTTTGTTTCCAGTAGTACCTAAGAATAGTTTACTATTTGAAGGTGAAGATACAGTAGAACAGGATATTTTACGCAGTGAATTATGGACGTCATTATTCCGCGGAGGTTACATGGTTGGCAAGTTACAGAGATCTTTATCTTGTAAAATTGTAAGTATAGGATAAAATTAGTCCAAGGGTTGTTATATTTAAAAACTGTATCCCGAGGAAAAATTATTAAAGACCATAAAAAAATCCAAAGAGAAATGTTTTACTGACTCATTTATTCTGGTTTTTTCTTTTGAAAAAATATTCCAAGGGTGAACCTAGGAGGGTGGTTATGATATATAAAAGTTCTATTAGAGAATAGTGCTGGTGAATCGATGTATTGCTATGTATGACATGCCACGTATCATGTATCGATACTTGGCTATACCTTTCATTCCATAAAAAAGTGCGGATTTTTTAAAGTTGTTTTATGATCAAAATATTTTTCACTGAAATTGTTAGAAACTTTTTATAAGAAAGTGAACGCTAACCACTTCTATCAACTATTTTACCAAATATCACAGTTATAAAGTTATAAATTAATACATATTGAAACTTTGAAGGTTTTTTTGTTGTGAACATTGAAGAGGCCTTTTCCAGCAAAGGGATGCAACCTTTGACTACAAGTTTCAGTCAGTCCTCCAGTAAGAACCAGTGAACTAGAATATTTGGGTATGCATGCTTAAACTAATGACAATGAAATAAAAATTAAAAATCTTGATATAATGATATATCTCCTACTGTTTGTGTTTTTATGTTTTCAGACAACTGATGAATCCAGTCAGATTTTAACCTTCCTGACAGAGCTTATTAAATGTGATACTAGTTTAACTAAAGATTTTATGAAAAAGTAAGTTTTTTGATTATCTTATTGGTAGATTCTGAAACTATTAAAAGAATACTTGTAATAATTGTCTATGATATTTCTATAGTAATAATAATAATAACAGAAATGTATTTCATACAGTTGGATTCATGTTTATTTTTTTTTTATCAATTTTCTATTTGAAGATGTCATCAGTCGAAGCCGAACTCTCCTGATATTGGAGGTGAAGATGTTAAAGAAACTATGATGTATATATTCTCAGCTTTGATCTGGCATACTCAACAACTTCGAGAAGATCTACATAGATATTGTAAGTGGTATAACTAACAAGATACCTCGATTCGACTACATTTCTGTTATATCTGAATTGAGTCAAATGGCAATAATAACTAGCTTGAGGTTGAATTTCACAGCATTTGTCAGTCATAACTGATCAGAGCTAAGAATATCTGACTTGTTTCTAGGGTCAGGGGTCTTGAATTTGGCACATTTGCCTGTTGTATCTTAACAGGTCTTATTAGTCTATCTTTATGATCTTTTTAAGTCAAAATGTAGTTACTGATTTGGTGGGTTTTTAGAAACAAAGGAAAATGGCCACATCTCCTATTCTTGAAGATCTTAAAAACAGGGATAAGAATGTGTGAAGACATCATGTTCAAAATCTAATGTGTTTTCTATGTATTTCCAGTAAAATCAGAAGGAGAAGTGAATATAAGTGAAGGTATTATACAAGCCTATCATGTTGCTGATGCTTTGAGATTCTACATGGTAAGTGATGGTCAGATTTTTACCTCATGTGAATGACTGTAAAATTTATGACATCGCTTTTGCAGAAACCATTAAATGTTTTTGTGGTATTTATGTCATATTCTGGTCACACATTTCTGGAAGTACTAGCAGTGTATTCTCGAAACGATCTTAGTGCTAGGATGTCCTAGGTTCTTATCTTCTAACATTGATTCTAGGACATCCTAACGCTAAGATCGTTTCGAGAATACGTGGCCAGAAGTCTTAGGTCCACAGAGAAAGGCTAGAAGATCTTTTGAGATTTGATTGAAATCGGAAGGAAATGATTCATAGAAAATGCCACTTGTTTTTTAAGTTCTGGTATATAATTTTCTATTCCAGGTTAGTCAAAGACAGAAGTTAAATGCTGAAGATGATAAATCATTAGATCAGTTAGATCCAGGTAAAGTCAGAATATACTTCATAGACTGTATCGTATAACTAACTTTTTGACAAGCATTTCGTATTGAAATTTAATGAGCTATGCCAAGGTATTATCCAATGGTGACAATCCAATTTGCTTACGCTTGAACTATCCTATTCTGTTTTGGTTTTCAGTTTTGTAAACCCCACATATTAATAATAATGTGTATATTTATATAGCCCTAAACTCCACACAATAGTGGGCTCATGGTCCTTTCAGAAACTGGTGAATATAGAAACCATAGTCTACAATGTATAAGGACTAACAAGTGTATATACAATTTTGTATTTTTCAGTCAATAGTTATAAAAATAAAGCTATGTATCTGTTGAAGTTTGCTGGTCTCAATAAAGTGCAGATCAAGTTTGAGGTAGATATCTTTATATATTTATATTGACTATATACTCATAGACTTGATTTCTGGTTATTTTTGAAAGGTTTCTAAGAGAGATTTGAAAGATAAGACAGTTACCAACACATATACCTTTACCCTAACATTTTCAGGAATTCCAAAAACCACATATCTGTGGCCTGTGGAGCTGGAATTGTCCAAATAGAAGATATAAATGATTTTTCCATTTTATATACAAAATCTATAATCTTTTTTAGAATCTCTGTAGCATTGATGTTCTACTTTGCCCACTTTGAACTCCTTTCTAGAATTTTTTCTCTATTTATTTTGATAGAAATACAGCAAAAATCTTAGCAAGAAAATTGGAAATAAGAAAAATGAAATGAACTTAGTAAAGGTAATACTGGTTTTAGAATTGTATTGATTTTTAATCACATGTTCAGACCATGTATTGTTGAAATGATCATAGTGCTAGGATGTCTTAGAATCATTGTTAGAAGATAAGAACCTAGGACATCCTAGCGCTAAGATCATTTCGAGAATATGTGGCCTGCTTTTTGAACCAGGCTTTATTTTGCAAGGAAAGCATGAGAATCTTATCTCAAAAAACATAACATATTGATTTATACTGTCATCACAACAAGTGATTTTTATTACATGACATGGCCTTGGAGGATGCCCCTAAAATACTTGCAATTGTGGCATGTGTTGTGCACGTAGAGGAAAGCTGTGTCATCCATTTTCATTTTGAACCTTTTAAGATGGTCCAGCCCATTGATTTTGTTGGCTTGTGTACTTGATTCGATTAAGAATTTTGTTTTTCTCCTAGACTGAGGTATATGAAAAATATCCATCATTTAGATTGGTTACAGAGTTTATAATGGACTTGGCGTGGACCACAGACAGGTACAGTCTTATTTACAATCTTCTTGTACTGAATCCGCAAGGCTGTTTGTCATTCTGTATTTTCCACACAGATGGCTGTAAAGCTTTTTTTTATGATTCTTGATTACATTCTTTGAAATGTACGGTAGGCTCATCGATGGAGCGATGGATGTTTACATGGTGCCGAGCCGAAGAAACAATTGGCTTTATAAAGCTCTATATCACATGACTATATCTGCTTAACAAGAACTCTTCAAAAGGCTTTGTATTGTATTCATTCATGGTTTTCAAAGTATTTTTAATGTTGGAAATTCATTTTAAGTCACGTTTGTGTAAACTTCTATACTATGTTTCTAGGGTACAACAAATGTTAAAAGAAAGATCATCCTATGCTGCAGCAGTTGGTGATGTTTATGTTTTTATATCTCAGTTAGTAGTTACCTTATCACAACCCAACCCATTTCAGGTACGTTTTTATATATTTGGATTTTTTGTTTGTGTTTTTATAACAAAGGGCAAACAGAAATTTTTTGTCAAAGAATATTTTGTTTACACAATTACTGAAATTCATGTCATTCTAATTTTGTGGAGATTTTTGGAAATTAAAACATTTACAGGGAATTTTAACCTGTAATTTTCATCACCTGTAAAATTTTATAAATTTTCACAGGTGTTCATAGGTATAAGTTATAATCCAAAATGTGTAAGTAGTCCTGATACAAATGACACAGTGAGATATAATATTGATGTACATTCACTGAAAGTCTTTAACTTTTACAGACAACTCTGGTGCTATTCTTTCAAGAGATGTTCAGCTATCAGGATAACTTCCCCTTGCATTACGCCAATGGTTTAGAAGGTTGCGGTCTACAACAAGAAAGTCGAGTGAGAACTACGTATTATTCTCTAGGACGGAAGTTAACTAAGTTATTCAAACAAACACAACAACATACACTAGATAGGTAAGTCAGACTGTTTGATTCAGTCTATATCCAGGTACTGTTTTCTTGGATGAAAATTGATCCTGTTGAACAATCAAAACATGATTTTAGAACTGATTCTCTTGATTCAACATCTTACATGTCAACCAAAGTTTATAAAAACACTTTAATCAGAATTTATTGTAATGGTTAAAATTAACATTTCAAACAGGACTTGCAATTAATTTATTCCATACAATTTTTGGAGAAACGTGAACCAGAGATTCAGGCGTTGTATAGAGTGTGGTAGTGTGGAAATGTCATCAACATAAATCAACTAGCTTTGGACATTATATTTCTGAATTATTTGTTATTTCTTTAATAATTAATCTTGCAAATCTCTCCAGAAATCGGTAATTTCCTATCAGATTGATGTATTTCGATGCTGAAATCCAGAGTCCGTACTTGTGACCTAGGCCAGTGCTTCTATAAAACCTTATACCAAACAATCTATAATGAGCGTGTAATTTGGAATATTTGAAATTGAGCTAAATGTATGATTATTTTCAGTCATGTTGTTCCAAGCTACTTGTACATCCAGTCTTGTTTGTTACACTTGTTAGACATACAGTGGAAGGTAGGTTTATTTGTTTACAAACTATGTGTCCCTGACATAGAAAACCTGGCCAGCGGTGGGGATGGGTAAAAAAAACAACAAGACATGTTTGCTTCAGCTGAAAGATTCCGCAACATTTTGAAAGCAGGAGAAATTTCCCTCATTGTAAACTTCATCACGTTGCCTGTTTTATCAACGTTATCCTATTATAGGGAATGTAGGATTGTCTATTTTCAAGCATAAATATATAAATATAATTTCAACAGAAATATCTCAGGAATTGTGCTTATTTCTGATATTCTGGTGGTATACTATACCAGTAATGTTAATATTTCAGCCATATGATCTAAGTTTTGTATCTGAGATTCATCTACCACAGCTCTTTATGAAAATTGCCAAAGGTAAGAAAATAATGATTTTACTAGATTCTACACATCGTGGTTTTTTCTTATGACTCTATAGCAGCGTTTAGACAGCCACAAATCATCTGGTACGAGTACAGTTCAGCCAAAAAAGTGGCAGTGTAAATAGGTAGAGAGGGCTCGGCGCCATGCTAGTTTTAAGTGGGCAGAGTCCCGCAAGAAGAGGTGGTCTCAGTCCAGACCGAGTACGGCACAGTTAAATATCAGTGCAGTGTAAACGTGTTATATGTTTCACCTTTTCACAGTACATAGTATGATTTTATTTATTTTATATTCTAGAAACAGTAAAGATGAGAAGTTGTATTATAGGAGAAGAGAAAGAGAGTCAAGAACTAGCGGAGTATGAACGTTGTATGGCCTGGTTAGAACAATGTTCTGATGATTTTGGTGAATGGTATCGACAGAAAGCAGGAGAATGTAATATAGAACTGAAAAAGGTGTGGAAGTTGACTGATAACTGATAATATTTAAGTCATAAAGTCAACTATTAACCTCACTGTGTCAATCTACAAAATTAAAATCAAACAAATTTGAATTTAATGCTATTAACAATATCATGAAATCTTATTAGTGCAGGGGAAATGTGTTAGCTTGTCTTGTTAGCCATCAAGTCTCTTGCATGCATACTTAGAGGTTATGAGAAGTTATGTAAACATTAACTCTGAGTTTTAACATTGGCTGTAAGCACATTGCTTTTTCGAGGCCAGTTGCTTAGATATTTAATTTTTGTGTATATTACGATGAAACACCATGTTTCAAAAAGTTGAGAAAATTTTGACAACTTAAATTTTAAATGGATGATTTTCATGTTTTGGATTTCCAACAATATTTAAGGCCTCTTGTTGTTAATATGTTGAGTATAGATTTATATGTGAAATATTTAAAATGATATGAGAAAATTTGAAAAGGACATTGTTGACATCTCAGAATATTTTGTTATTTCCAGGCTATACAAATGTTTATTGGTAGATACTGTGATATACTAGACGTAGAGATAAACTGTGACGGATGTCGGAACACCCTTCCTGGCAGACGCTATCATTGTTTACAGTGTATAGATATGGATCTGTGTACAACGTGTTATTCTGGTGGCGTCAAACCAGAGGGCGACCATCAAGATGATCATGATACAGTACATTTAGTGTAAGTTGGCTTTTCCAGTTGTTCTGAAGGTTTCATGGCCATCAAGAGAAGTACATGCATAAATTATTATTATGAAGTATAATAAATACAAGAAATATGGGGGGGTAGCCATGTTACATTTAGTGTAAGTTGACTTTATGTTTCAAGATTTGATAACAATCGAAGTGAATGCATGTTTTTGTGATACATGTACAAAAATTGAAATGGTGTTATAATTCCTACTATTCAACCTCTCATTGTGATAATGCTAGCCCAATGGTAAAGGGATTTTATGGACAATGAAGGTGAGGGTTTAGGGTGTTAACTTTTCATGCTATATATGGCAATAAGTAATGACAGGTAATAGCAAGGATTGGAAGCAGACACCAGGCAGACTTTCAAAAGTGGAATCAGGCAACATTGACATTTACAGCTAAATTTGACCTAATTTGTTTGATCCATATTTCAGATTTAAATGTAACAATTGTCAAGGGTTTATAGTTGGCACCAGAATTCACTGTAATGTTTGTGAAGATTTTGATTTATGTCTTGGTTGCCATATCAACAAGAAATTTCCTGCAGAGTAAGTATTTAGATAAATAATGTATAATTTATTCCTTGTTACAAGCGTCTGTATGAGGCATAAAAACTTATACCCAGAATAATCTGGGAGAGTTTCAAAAACATTTTTTTTTAAATTTTAACTAATTTGTTTCATATCCGAAAATTGCCTCATCAGATATATTTCTAGCCATTAACTGATAACATCTAGATTGGGATAGTTTCACAATTTTAAACCTGCTTTCCTTTTACCAATGTAGCAATAATACTTAATAAAACAAAATATATAATATATATATCAATATAAATGAAAACATTCATTTCAAAAGTTTTTAAATCTTTTCATATTTCTTTACAGACATAAAGTAGAACATGAAGTGACTAAAATACCACCACTAAGATGTAAGTAAACACGGAGTGTCTCTCTGACCTCAAAATACATGTTACTGTAAGAATACTCTTTCATTTAGAGTTTAATTTATCTCAAGCTGCCAACACATGTTTCAGATACACAATCCTCATCAGGACAGCTAAATTATAATATATAATTGTACCTCACTTACTTGCTTTCACGGAATCCCTAGAGCCACTTACCTTCCAACCACGGTGAACTAATAATTGAATTTTTTATTCATTTCACAAATAAAATTTTCAATTGCATATCAATTGTTTAACAGTGACAATTTAGGACTCTCATCTCTCATCAAGTAGTAGTATAGTGGCTTAGTGAGTTAGATGCTTGCTCGCTAACATGAAAGTCCATAGTTCCATCCCACCATAGGTCGAGAGAATACCTTCAGATTTTTAAACCCGGTTTCCCCGTCAGTGATGTAGGTAAGAGGGGCTAAGATGGAAAAGTCGTTCAGATGGGACGATAAATCGAGGCCCCGTGTGTTACAGGCTGTGCATGTTAAAGATCCGTTGACAGTTGGAAATCGTAAAAGAGCAAGCTAATGCAGCTGTCTTGACAAAATTTCTCACATTGCACCCTGCATGGCGTCTTCATTAGCCCACATGGTGCAGAAAAGTAGGACATTTCATTTCATTTCAGTTGTAGTATAATTCAATTCTGTAAACATTGTGATCAGACTGTATCTGAATATTAGTGTAGAAGATGTGTTGAATTGATTTCTCTTTATTTAAATTGTGATTTGTTGGTACATTATTTTTTTTTCTAGTGAGGACATTTCAAAACAGAGATTCTCAAATGCAGGCGTACATCCATCAACACGTATGGTTGCTATTCACATCGTTATCGCTAATATTAGGGGAGATTATTCACAATGACTCGTCTAACGCCACGTCTGATTCAGATTATATCCGTCTGGCTGCCCAGTTACAGAATCAGTGTATCACTCTATGTACTGATTGTTTAGAAAATGTACCTGATGATGCTGATGGTAGGTAGCCTTTTTTATCCAGACTGAAAATGTTTTTAAGATGCAGGTTGGAGTAAACTGGCTAAAAAATGTTTAAATGATTTATCTCTGATGATTCATGTGTTATACTGAACTACCTTATATAGACAGTGATTTGAATGGATTTGTTACTATTTTTTAGATGGAAGTAAACATATCATGGAGAAAAAATCAGAGAACCTCGAAATCCGCCAGGAAGAGGCTTTCGCTATCCATTCACAAGAGAGGATTATGGGATTGCTTGGAGCCATGATTCCTGTTGAAAATAAGGTAGATAATTCACGAGCCTTCACCTGTCGATACATTTTTTACATTATTTATCGCTGTTCTGTGATCTTTTTTTTTTTTCTTTTTTTTATTTATTGTATATTTGATTTTGTGTTGTTTCAAAATGTTTGAAGATTAATTTTTGAAGTTCTAAATATATTGTTATGTTATTTGCCTGTATTTTACTGGAAAATGGTTGCTGTATTATTTTCTCATTATTCTTGATTATTCGTCTTCGTTATTACACTGAGCTAGATGTAAATGGGAAAGATCTGTATATCAAGTAAACAAGGTTTTATTCTATTTAAAGGTGCCCATCCCAGGAGTAACATATAATTTTACAACTAAGGAATTTCTACGTCTTTTATTTAAAGTAGCAAGGTAGGTCTTTGTTTTTGGTGGCAATGAAGTCATTATTTTTAGATTTAACGATTTGTTTTGGATTGTTGTTGAAAACTATAAAATACAGCCCTAATGACTAAATGTATAATTGCAACCTTTCTTTTAATCAAGTAACTGAAAAAATTTATAACCATAGATAATATGCATCCTGCGCAAACAAAAAAATCAACAAGTTGGCATAAAACAAACAGCATGATATTGATTTGTTATATTTTCTTTGAGGGTAACAATTTTTTTTTTTCAGGGGAGACTGTAATCATGAGTTAAAAACCCAACATCTAGGTATGGGTTTACTCGGTCGTTTGTTGGCCAAGACTTCAACTGAGGTAAGTTTAGTCTTATAACTTATGATAAATCATTTTTTATTTCAGAATTTCAAAACTTCATCTTTTTATTTTGTTTATTTTACAAGGACGGTAGATATTTCAGAAAAAATAGAACTTATCCAAAACTAAAGTTTGAAATCAGAATATCAGGCAGCCCCGTTGTTAGGATGGGGTCTGTGGGGACTGGGCTCCAGCAAGTGAGAATTAAGCCCCAGCAAAACTTTTTCCTGTTCAGCAAAGATTGATTCATTTACAGTGTCTTTGTACAAAATCAAACAGATATAGATTTTGATACAATTTTAACACCTCAAAATTGCCAGGAATGAATTCTCAGGGCCTTTAATACAAAAGTACAAAATCTGGCAATGGGGCTTATATCAGGGTGGAACAATTTTGGATGGAAACAAGTTCAAAAAACTGTATTGCAAGTTGGACTGAAAATTTGACGAAGATGACTAAAAATTTGTTTCATTCTTCAAGTCAAAAGGATGTCTTGTGAATTGGTGCCTTTCTTCTATTTGTATCAATAGTCTTAGACATTAATAAACAGTGAAATATATTTAAGCTTGTCATTTAAGTATGTCATGTGTTTATGTAATATATATTCCAGATTGCTGATGCTGCCTCCATTACAGTAGCAGCTAAAAAATCTCCTAAACCAGTAACATCAGGACAAGAAACTGTCAATTATCTTTTCCAATTTGGTGCCTCATGTCTTGAAAAGTAGGGTTTTAGTTTTTTTCAAAGATCTTAGAATTAAAGGAATCACATATAAAACGCTGATTGATTTACCTTAGATTGTTTTGCTTGCTTTGTTGAGAGTTAAGTCAAGTTATTGGAATACTAATCTCGTTTTTATACACCCACATATATTGCCGTCACCCATTTCCGTCCCACAATTGCTCTAGAAGGCACAATTCTTGACTGTTTTCGACGAAACTTGGTATGATTGTTTGTTATCACCAGAGGAACCCTATTGAAAATCAGAAGAATTGAAAGATATTTAGTATGAGTTATTGCCCATGTTCTTAAAAACACTCTAGAAGGCCCAATTCTTGACAGATTTTGACAAAACTTGGTAATATTATTCAGTATCGCCTCAAAAAGTTCAAAAGACTGAAGGTTGATTATTTCAAACTGGTAATTGTTACTGTACTGCAAAATATTTAAAATCAAAGCTGTCAGTAGGCGTATATTACCTTGCCTGGCAAGCTATCTTTCGACATAACAAATACAAATACATGGCTTGTTCACTGTTAGTTGTGTATCTGAAGCAGTCAGTAGCCAGTTGGATTGTCATTTTCCAGGCGGTTACCAGTAGGTGCGGTGGGTTTAAATCCTATGTGGTCGCCTTTGAGGCCATTGTCGGCACGGTGTCGAATTTTAACTTCCTCAGCTCATGGTTTTTATCAGTTTCAATTTGATCTTATTGTAGAAGTGGATTAGAGAGGGCATGTTCTATGGCTAGAATACTAGGATCTCTAACTAGTGCTCCTCAATGGAAACCTATCGTTTGTGAACATGTTTCTAGATGTATACAGACTCTTAAACAGGTATGTTGACTTCATCTGACATTTGTCGAGAATTTCATGCCATATATAGCTCAGGTGGTTTTCTGACTTGGACAAAATTTGACAACTATTACATGGCCATTTATAACTAGGTTGTTATTCTGAATTATTCCAAGAATTGATGATTATTACCTGGCTATTTATGTATTTCTCCTGATGATTATTTATTGCACATGATCTTTTCAAATTTTTGACGATTTTGAACTTTTTCTTACTCCAACCCAACATACGTCTACCTACTCATTTGAATTTTTTTATTTTTGACATTCACACATGTGAGTTTTACTGACTTTCTCCTATCATAAGGTTGTTCAAAGCTTTGATAATTGAGAATAAATACTTGCTTCTTTTAAGGATGATTTTATTTTGAAAAGTCCAGAGAAAGTCCCTAAACCTGTAAAATCCAGTGATGAAACATCAACCAGCGTAGATCAGTTATCCAGTGAAGAAAGATCATCCAGTGTAGACCCTGTAGATGAGGTTGATGCAGCTGTGAGTGTTACGACAGCTTTGAAATCATCCAGTAGTAGTGCTAAACAGGTAAATTTGACGGGTGATAAATATATCTTAACCAATAAATTGTCATTGACTGAATAGTGAATTGTTGTGATAACTTGTTTGCAATTGTCTTATATTAAGGAAAATTTATACTATCCAATAACTATAGCCTATTTATTCAGACTTTCTGAACTGCTCTTCCAAGAGAGATAACTTTCAATATAGAATTGATAGTTTAAGACCACAGTACTACAATGACTTTAATATAATTCACCTATATGAAAATGAATGTTATTTTTTAATAGGGCAAACCTGAGTTGTCGTCTATATTTGCGATGTTTGTAATGGCGGGTTTCCCTGAAGTATTAACAATTGGTACACAAGTAGAATATACTCATAAGAGTATAAATAAAAAACATGGTATAGCTATAAAACACTTCCCTGATAAATATCAAACTCTGATAGTTAATACTACTACAAGAAAGAGAAACACAGTAAGTCTGAAGTTTTCTTATGTATTTTAAATGTCTTTTAGATCAAGGTACTAAAACATCCTATCTTATCAGATGTTGGGCGGCTGACGTGGAAAAAGCGTATAGTCATTCGGATGGGACGAGGCCCCGCATGCTACAGGCTGTGCACTTTATATTCCCTCGACAATTTGAAATTGAAACAGAGCAGGCTAATATCATTCGGTTCTTGTGCAGTTTAGTTGTATGCTGGCATGTTTAGATCATACATCTAAAAAAAAATTGTCCTTGTCTCTTATACGGGTATAGGCCCTTTTGAGAGTAAAAACTGTGCATTATGCACACAAATATTTGGTATATAAGCATGAATATTCACATTCGCCTGCAAAGTTCACAATTTTCAGAATTTTATTCCAATTTATATCACCCGGTTAATTTAAGAATATAATTTTGATTGAATTTGAATGTAATAGGTAAGTGATGAATATGTGACGTGTATTAAAGAAATGGTGGAACTCTGGGATACGAATCATGTGACTGAATTCACCAGCATCGTTACAGAAACTATCGGGAAAATCAAAGCAGGTAAAATGAACAATTAAAAGTTAACATATTTTTAAAAAAATTTGACATGTCCTCGTTTTTCTACACAAATATCAAAGAAAAAATCATAATTACCACAACAGTCCATGGAAATTTCTTCAGTATGATGTGGCATATATAAATGTTATATATGAACTGTTTTATAACAGAAACAACTTTCTTCTTGTCCAATGCTGGGTAGGCTGACCTGGAAAAAACATCTAGTCGTTCGGATGGGACAATAAACCAAGGCCTTGCATGCTACAGGCTGTGTACGTTAAAGATCCCTCAACAGTTGGAAATCAAAAAGACCAGGCTAATGCTGCTGCCCTGGCAAAATTTCCCTCATTGCACCATGCATGGTTTTACCTGTCTTCATTAGCCCAAAAGGTGCAAATAAGTAGGATGTACAAGTCCATTCATATCATTTTCATTTTTTGATGCTGGTCATTGTGCACTGCATGACATTGTTGTTTTTGGTAAGGTGCAAAACAGCAGAGCATAAAACTCAAAGTGCAAAACTTTATTTATTTCATATCATCTTTGTTTCTCTTTCAGGTGTATCATTAGAAGTAGAAACATTGTGGGTATTATCACTGGCATTAAAAGTTTTATATAATTATCTACAAACCTCGACCCTACCTCTAGATGAAGAACTATTTAAACCAGAGTTGATCCAGTGTTTGGTTTATCTAGCTTGTCGTGGTACAGGATTCAACCAACAATGGTTGTTAAAAGACTTGGAGGTACAGTAGAAACTGTTCTAAGATACCACACCAGGGAATAATATGAATTGGTCCTTAAAGATGGGTTCCCTTATTTTCATAAATGAAAATGCTAATACTTATATGAATAGAAGGTAGAGGTGTTCTAAGACTTGCAAAAATACCAGTTTGTCTCACATATCTATGATTAATATATAATTAGCTAAATTAGAAGAGAATTACCAGTAGAATTTCAATGAGTGACCGATCAAGAAAGGTCAAAAAGCCTTTTTGTTATCCAGACTGTACATACATGTGGATTTTGAATTTCTATTACATTTTGTTCCTTATAGGTCCTCTCATTGATGCTGTACACCCATGACCATTCTGCTAAGCAGACTACAGTTATTAAGAAACCCATCTCACCATCAACGAAAGAGAAACCTAAGAAAAGCGCAAATAGTGATGATAGCTCAGACGATGAAGATGATGATGAAGATGATGATGATGATGATGAAGATGACGATGAAGATGACGATGAAGATGACGATGATGATGATGACGATGATGATGATGACGTTAATGATGTGTTCCATGCCCACCTACTGGGGTCTGGGGACTCCTCAGTTTTGGATGGAGATGAAGATGAAGTTGGAATCAAAGCATTTGGAACAGTTGATGATAAAACCAAATCTCTTTTTGAGGTTATGTTTTTCTCTGATCATTTCATTTAGGCCCCAAGAATCATTTTGATCTATAGACTAGCTTATCCAGTAACCTGTTACATCTTCATTCATATTGATCAAGTCACTTTGGTTGTAGATATAGCTCTGCTTGTTCAAGAGGTCGACTTCCAATCAGATTCATTTTTTCCATTAAATCATTAAATCTATAATGAACAGGATGAATACCGTATGAAGATGAAGACCTTGCTCTCCACAAAAAAGTCATCATTTTGTTAAATAATTAGACCAAATATCCCTATAGAATCTTTGGTGAAAGTTGACAAGCCAATTATTAGCAATGCGAAATCTCTGGAAGAGATGCTTTGAGTTACTTCTTGCTGTGTAAATATATATTCTGATTGTGAATTTCCATCTTCTACAGGCACTCCATGCTGTACATCAAGTACCAACTTCTGTTTTACAAGTTATATATGACATGCATGAAGGAGATACAGAGGCTGTCAGAAAAGATATTATAGAGAAGTAGGTTTTATCATAGCCGGAAAACAGATTATTTTGACTGCTAGTCGTCTCAGAGGTTTCCTGGAAAACAGAGCAATGAGAATCAAACGGCAGAATCTGAATTGAAATTAAATGTATAGATTTTTTGGCCAATCATACCTTGTATCTGAAACCGGGATTTTTTTTTAGCTAAGGCACTCAGTAATAGTGTTCACAGCTCACTTTCAAAATTGGAGCTTTCAAAGAATTCCTAGTTTGATATATTTTTGAAGGAATTATGCAAATTTCATACATATCTAGTACTTCTGAAGACTATTTACATATATTCAAGACTCAAATGAATGCCTAAAAATGGCTCATCTGTTCCTTTAACATGCTAGTATATTCTGACAATTATCCTTCAAAAGACAAGGCTGATATCAATCTATAGCTTCCCTGCCCCCTGCCCCCTGCCCCCCAAGGTTAAGAACATGTGGGCTTTGGGGATATGCTACAAAGGTGTGAGAGGTCAAAGGTGAGGTGATGATATAATGTGTACTCTACATTCTTCAACAATTTTAATTTTTAGTTTTGGAAATTCTGATGAAATAAAGAAGTTTATGGAAACATGGTAAGAAATAACAAGTTTTTTGGAGGTTTTTTTTCATCCCCTGGGTTTAGTCAGTGTTTGCTCCTTCTAGGACTTCAAACACTTATAACTGATGCCCTTGCAAACTCTGGCATGGAAGATACTTCTTCTTGTAGAGATTTCAGAATGGACTTAGACCTTAGCAGCTGATGTCTATAGAATTTGCCATCTACATAAGCCTATCAAGGTTTTCATAATTGACAGTAAAAAAAGTAAGCTTATGCTGCTATCCTGTCAAAATCTCCTTCATCACATACCTTTGCTTGTTTTTTATAAACCCAAAAGTTGGATGTAAAACTTGTTTGCAGGGATAAAGAAGGGGAAGAGAAAGAAGATGAGAAATCGAGTGTAAAAGTTATAGATACTGGAATCAATATAACATCTACTGATAATAAATCACCTAGGTAATACAATAATGCCAATATATTAGCAGAATTTACAACATTGCACACAGTAGGGTATCTTCCATTATTAGCACTTTCCAGGCAGTAGAGTATATAATACTCCATTTCAATTCATTTCAAAAGGGATAAGACTTTTGTTAATAACCTGCGATATATCTGTTATATTCAATCTTATTATTAACACTTTCCAGTTAGTAGAGTAAGGGAATAATAATCTAATTTAACTTTACATTCTTTGATGCTTTGGGTATATTGATATTGAAAGATTATATGATTTACACTGTAGCCTACATCCACTGATAGTTATTTCACATTAGTATTCAATTTATCTTTCAGCAATGAGAAGAAATCAATTTTGAGTGATGTAAGTACAGATTGTCCCATTCATCTGTGTAACATTGTCTGACTGTTTCTGCACCGATTCTTCTTGTATACGGATTTTGATGTGTCCTCTGGATCCAAAGTGCAAGTTGACTGCAGGTGGCGCTCGATTGGAGAGCTCTGAACAGTTTCCGTCGGTTCCAATTCTGCAGCCAATCAAACAGGAAAGCTGACATGTCACATTCAAAATTTTCCTATCTATTTCCTTCTCTCCATAAACCCTGACCGTCTTCATTAGCCCACACGGTGCAGAAAAGCAGGACGTAAAACTCCATTTATTTTATTTCATAAACCCTGTACATGTAGAACTCATCAATCAAGCGGCCCTCAAGTAAGAATCCATATGTAGCACGTCAAACAGGTATACATCATTCATAAAACTTTAATACAGATTTTTCAATTTTCTTGTAGTTTAAAAGAGCTCCGGTAGAAAAAGCAACAGAAGAGAAAGGAGAGCAGACGATAAGTCTGATTCCTACACAGACGTTAAACCAGGGAAAGATTGGAGAAACCAGACAAAATAAAAGTTCCGAGCTGTTAAAAAAAGAATTGATGACGTATGGTCGTTCTGGATCGAGAGATTATTTAAGTCGTGTTAATCTAGCTATGGGTGTGATATATTCCAGACATCTATTACGTGGTATACTAGCTCGCTGGCCCCCCATGGGACCCACTATTACCAGTGATCTATTAGGATGTATTGATACAGATAGAATACCTTGTATATTAGATCTACTGTATAAAATGGATGGCTTAGATAACTTTCTGCAGGTAAGTGTGATATTCTTTTAGTTTCCATGAGGTCACTAGCACAAAAGCTGCTAATATTTTAGGGCCTTTATGATAGCTACATCATAAAATGCTTAGTTTTGAATTGTGAAAAAAAACAGATGTGTGAATGAATATTGGAATGGTGCAAATCAATGTTAGCAGTGTCCCCAACAGGCTTATGCATAAAAAGGAAGAAAACCTCTTTACAATCCCTTTGAATATAATATATATGTATCAATTGTCCAAGCAAAGTACCTGGTCTTAAACTTGACTAATGTGGCCATTTTTTTTACTCTAGGTCGTAGAGAGAGTCATAATCAACTGTAATAGAGAAAGTTTAGTCCCAATATCATGTAAGGCCTGTCAATTTATGGAAGAAATGGCATCCTCATCTGTTACCAAGGAAACAGACCATCCTTACACTAAAGTCACTCAGCGTGGTAAAATTACTATACCTGGTGCTTCGTTTTTATCTGTCACTTTTGATAGTCGGTAAGTTAAATGGCTGCCATTGTTTTTGATTCCAAAAGGCTGGAAATACTAATGGTCGTCCAATAAATTTTGTAAACGTTTTGTCTTCAACAGATACCTATTGATGACATGACACGTTCAAACGAAAACAACCAAATGCTATGGAAGGCTTTAAAACACTTTGCTTTATTAAACAAAGAGTTTGTATATGTCTAAGTGACTACATTATAGATCATTGGTCACCCCAAATATACATTTATTCACTCATGCTCTTTTCTCAGTCTGAAATGTCATGTAGGTAGTTAATATTTAGCTCTAGTTAGTACTTATAGTTTTATATAAAAATATATAAATAAAATTTTTTTGCTCTGTTTTCAGATGTTCTTTAATGGAAGAAATAGATGAACTGGTATTTTATGTGGGTGATGACCCTGATAAAAAACAGTACACATTTACTGGTACAGGGAAATCAAAATGGGCAAGTTTCCAGGTGGCAGGTAGGATTTTGTTTGAGTTATAAACAGAATAGAAGGCTGTAAATGGATGGATTAATTAAAAAAAAATTTCATTTTCTCCAAGTTTGATAAGTACTTCTTAGACTGAAAAACTGTGCACTCTACTCTACAGACTTGGTTAAATTAGACCAATGTAGTAATAAGTTACAGAGCTGGCTTATTTATTAATTTAAAATATTGTAATATGTTAAATTCCACGTATGGATATTTGTGTGTATTATATTCCTTTTATGGTGATACATATCAAGTCATTATTGATTAGCAATACCCAGCACTAATATATCATCCCTATAATCAATTTTTTAGAATAGATATATTTTAGACTACTGATTTTCATTATACAAGTTGCATAACTATTGGTCTAGTATTGGCTAACAATTGGCTATTGTTATCATGTGTTATCTCTAATGGTGAGACTGATTGAAGTTAAACTCTATTTCAGGAGATACTATAAAGTACAAGTGTACTGGTGATATGTCTGAGTCTAAGGAAAATTACTGGGGGTATAAATTTGTAGTTAGTAATGGCACTAGAGACAGTTTTGAGACTGGATATACCATTCTAGACTTTGTTCTCTCTCAACCAGTCGCTTTGTAAGTATTTTACTCTAAATGTATAGATGGTAACTATCTTGCAAAACTAAGCTTAATGAACTAAATAATGATCAATTGGTTAAAAAAGGTTGAGCTAAAATAAACACTGTGGTTGCGAGCTAAAAAAAAATTCAGAAATTAACATTGAATAAGTTTTACTCTCATTGTTTTTGAATATTTTAGGTCCCTACCCCTTACTCAGTTGTGGTTACGACTAGTTTATGTTGCTTGTATTCAAACTCATACACAGAGACTACAGGCTATACAGTTACTATTGAAGGTTATAGATTGTCAACCTACAGAAAGGTAGGATTTGGTTTTGTTATAGATGTCCAACGACAAAACTGTCCAGTGTATCTGGCTATGATAAAATACAGCTTCTTTTCGCTGTGGCTCAGCCAGGGTTCAATTCTGGCAAAGGTGGATGTAATATCATTGAATTTTTAATCCAGTTTCCCTGTCAGTAGGTATTGGGGACTGAGATGTCTTCATTCCAACTATGAATAACATATTAGTCAAGGTAACTAAGGAAGATTTCAAATTGTCATATAGTGTGAATTGAGGGAGCTATTGCTGCCAAAACAAGCCCTCTTAATTAGATTTGCAACTGTCAAAAGAAAGTGGAAAAAGTGAATGTGTCTAATGATACATGTAAATGTATATCAATAAATGTAACAAGAATATATATTTTTCAGACCTCCAATAGACAAGAGATTAGATTTTGCGATTCTCTCACCACTATGGAAGTTATATGTTGATTTAACCAAAGGTGAAGAAGACCCAACGGCCATATTACCTCCTGTAGTTAGAGCTCTAACTGACCTCTTTTTACAAGTAGAAAATCTTGTAGAGGTAAATAATATAACCTTATTTCTTTTGAAATCCTTTGTCATTCTTACTGGAGTAGAGGGGATGGTTTACTCCCTTATGAACATCTTCCTTCAGGAAGGGGGTAAAGGCTATGCGCTTTTTTTCAAAATCCCTATCCTTGTTCCTAGTGAAGAAGGAATGCCCATGCTATGTTATGTTATAAATAGGTGGTGAGAGTTTACTTCTTTTTGGAAACCTTCATCACTCCGCCCAGGGGAGTTCAGGTAGGGGCCACATAATTGTCAAGGAGAGCTTACAGGCTTTTCTTGCCTTTTGATGTTAAATGAAAGGAAATTTTAAAGTTGGGTGACCAAAGCTTAACAAGCTTCATTTATGGGTTTATTTTGTGTTTTCTTTTTATGATGTACTATCATATATATATTACAGCAATGGGGATTAGAAAAAGAATATCTAGTAGGTGTAATGGATATTGATGAGGTTAAACTCAGTATTTTTAGGGTAAGAGATTTGCTCTAATTCCTTAATTGTACTCTTGTATCTATATAGTATTATTGTGGTCTTAAAATATCATGTCTGTATTAAGAGTTATCTCCCTTAACAGAGAGATAGTGAGCCTGAATAGAGCTGGAGGTCATAATTTCACTGAGTATTTTTATGTTTGAATCAAAGCTTTCTTGATAACTCAGTCCCCAACAATAGATTTTGGTTTTGTTTTCTATTGTCATAGATCTTTAACCTTTGTATTTCAGGGCTTGATGAATATTGCTGCTATTGGTCACATGATTAATTATAAAAACATGGCCACAGATTTGATTAAGGTCGTTAGTAAGAATATGTCTCCGAAATCATCATCGTAACAAATCCATTTAGCCTTCTCACTTTTAAAAAATCTAGGCTAAAAGAAAAACTATGATTTGTTAAGCGATAGAAATTTTTATATCATGTGATTAAAACAAAAACACAAGACAATATTATGGAATATAACACACTTCTTTAATAAGGTTTGGCACATAACGTTTCAACACAATATACATGTGTAGTCATCAGATGTAATGATGTATATGTGCTCCTCGCTTCTATATGTCGTTCAAATCTTATATCATGTGATTGTTTTTTACTGGTTTTCTTTAATATAATGAGTTACTGTGCTACTCTGTTTTAATTAGCATTAATTTAAGCTTATCTATCATGATAACAATAGGCCCTTACCTCCAGGGGGTAAGCCCCTTCTGATATTTTACTTGCCCTTCCGAACAATCAAGTCTGTTTAGAGCCTGGATAACAGTTAAGTTTATTATGAATATGAAGATTTTAATATTATGTGTTGGTTACTTCAAGAAATTATGGTAATTTTTCCCAAGTGCTTCATAATTTGTATATTTATTGAAATATACTGTGATTTAAATATAGGTGTACAGTCTAATAAACTGGGGTGAGGGCAGACTGGTTCAGAATCTTATTATTTGTAGAGCATCACATAGAAACACTACTTGTCTGCCCAAGGTTTTTTTTGGTCGCTGCCCGAAAAGATGATATTTTTTGGGATTTAAATATATGAATGTATAAATGTAGTATTTTATCTAGGATTATTATTATTCATTCAATGATATGATTTATTAGAAATTAAAACCCAGCGAAAGATTTTCAGGCAAACCTACCTGCCCCTAACAGGCCAATGACCCATATGCCTATGCATTTACATCAAGGTCAAGAATTAAGTTCAAGGCCAAAGGTGAAGTTTAATATTTTTCCAAGTCAAGTGAAAAGACTAATTTCAAATTGAAAGGCATGGTATTCTTGCAGATTGTCTATCTAGCTGAAAATATAAAGAGAATTCGTTTATCATTTATGTTATATAATTTTATTATGTTTCTATATATAGTGATACAATGTTGTTATATTAAAGAGATTTTTTTCTAAATTATAGATTATATTGTTTATTATGAAAGTAGGGAACTTCATAGTCCTGCGTTTCAACTTTCAAACTTTTAACTTGAATTTACAATAGCCCAAGAAATATATATATACAGATGGAAGTTTTGTCACAGTTTCACAATAGAGTAGGGCAAGATTTGTCAGGGTAATGTTACAATAAAACCCATATCTTGGTTGCAGTGACTTAACTTTCATGGCCATTTCAACACACATTCTACAAAACTGATGTCCTTCACCAGCTGCTACTTTTTCTGAATAAGAACGCGACGTTTCAATAAAAAAAAAAAACAAGGCTTTAGCGCTATCCATGTAAAACTGAGTCATAGGTGGTCTGAGTTGATCGAAAATATATAATTGAAAAAAGGTACTTTTAAGTTTGGTCGTCATTTCAAAATGGAGGCATTTGAATCATTTGCCTCCATTACGCTACGTCCTTTTCCAAGTCTACGGATCAATTCAAAATCCTTGTCTTTTTTTAACTATTCCAACTACTTAGCTAGTGCCGTTACTACCAAAATTATTTTGGGGTATTTATATTTTGATATGTACTGATGGGGGTTAACGTTTTAATGTTTATATATTAGATAACATGCCATAAACGAACGTCTAAGATAACACAATTAAAAGGGTTAAGAAGAAATTGGTTTCCAAGCAACGACATGTATCCTAAACAAAGTGGCATGGTTTTATTTTCTTAAAGTTTTCACGATAAGATATGAGGGGTGATAACCCACAGTGCCTGATACATATGGTACGAGAATTACTGGTGACTGTATTAGAAACTCGTGGGGTATCTAAATCTCTTCATGAATATTTATATTTAGGCTTTCTTAAAGTTGATAATTCCGAATCAACCTCTACAGGATAAATTTATGTCGCCTCAAAAGGTTGCGTCAACATTTCTTGCTGGTAATATAGTTAGGTATATAGGTAGGTAGATGACAAGTTAACGTTCGCTTTCAGCGGATGCTGATATCGCAAACTAGGTAGTTGTTGGTAGTCGTAATAGTTGGTAGTTGGATTGGTTCAAATTGGATGATTCTGTGTTGTTGGTTTGGTTGTTGATAATTCTTTAGATCTGATCAGGTCGAATAACATGCTGGTAATATAATAATTTGAACAGTTTTATACTGTAATAGTGCCAGAAGTTCATTCGGATACGATAATTTTGTATGATAATGATCATGCATTGTTCAAACTGGTATTGGAAATTTTGCAAAAAAAACCTGTAAAATTCAAAATATTGGAAATAGTTTTGCCCTATTAATGACATTTTTATGGGGCATGCCTTCACTTTATCATACATCTTTCGATATGTATATGATATTAAGATCTGATGTAATAGCCCGACCAGTCTGTAACTCACATTAATGTCAGCCGTCAAAATATTGATAAAACTGAAATCTACCGGTCAAAATATTTAAGAAATTTGAAACTGACTGAAATCTGATCTTTGACATGTTCTTATAATTAGACATCTTGGTCCACATTGAAGTTGAATTATTTACGAGAGGTCTCGGTGTGGTTGATTTGCCCCGCGCCTCTCCAGATTCCGAGGTAGGCTCACAAATTACTTTTTCAAAGTAGATTCTGGCATAGGGTCAAGGTTATGATGTTTCAAGTAGAGCGTATCTCTATGTTTCCTCGCAACTCTTGCCGATCTGAGACATCGTATGTGTATTTACGGTCGATATTGATACGTTAGGAAGTCAAGGGCAATAACTCTGAAACTATCAATCTTATTGAAAAAAAATACATAGTCATTTTGATTTTGAAAGTTGGTATATCTAATATCATTATATATCATTCCAATTGTGAACACGTTACGAAGGCGAACGTTATAACAATGCCTTGGAGTATTCCCAAACCTGCACCAAAGGTCCCAATCCGGAAATGATAACGTTCTATTTGGTAGCGTTACGAGTAGTTCTGAAAAGATTTTTGATGCATTTAGGGATACAGCCTATCAAATTGGATCAATTCAAGCAGAACTCTTCATCCCATTGCATAGCAAACAACGCTTCCAATCTAATGCCACAGTTACTAGAAAGGTTTGGATGTAACTGAAATTAAGCTTGAAATCTAGAGTAATTTAACCCCTTAGATTCCATCATGAGTCGAAACCCAACAGCCGTGTTTTAGATATCAGTCAACGGTTGATTAAAGCGGCGGTTAAAGTGTTAATTGATATAATTGGTTGGTAAAGGGTTAATTTGTTGATGTAGAGATTGTGTATGTTTGAACATGTGTATGTGTAAACTAAATTAGGGCGAGATAAATTTTTCAAGTGGACAGCAAACAGCAGGGGTTAATCCTGATCTATCTAACTGAGGTCTGAAGATGCCTGGAGGTAGTTGGTGAGATCTTCCATCCCGACAGTCGTACTAAATTGTCCAAAGTAAGTCAACAGAGGCAATAAAATGATGAAATGATGGTACGATAAATGGACGGCTTCTATTTCCGCTGTTTTCTTCAACCCACTTACTATGAGACTCATAGTATATGTAATATTTCATTTGTGCAATATTGGACAATCAAAATAAACCGTTTATTGAAACGATTTGCCAAATCATCATCATTTAGCATTCTCTCTATATTGATTATAATCTTTCTATGTATCTTTCATTTTCAGCAGTTTGTAGCAATCAGGGTGGATAACCTTATACCAGGCTTGAATCCCTTACGGCCTGATCCAGAATAGAAAGTAAATCTGGAACTCTTTGTCGGTTAAGTCCCGCTTTAGAAAGTTATGTTTCTAAAATTAGCTGTCGCAATGAGAACTATGTATTCTAGCTCTTAGTAGCTTTCAATAGTTATGGCAGTAGGGCATTTTCAATTAACCGACAGACCAATAGACGGGCGAATCCCATTCATGATACACATCAGGAATTTCTTTGACCAATAAAAACTCGTGCGAGTATAAACAGCACCATGTTTTTATAGATAGTATATCAAGGAGTCGTTTCACTTGATTCGTTGTTCCTTTCTTCTAGGTGGCAGTTGATCTGTTGTTTTCTAGTGTCTATTCCGCTAATCTCTTCTGATCGTAGCTGATATTTTGGAGGTGCATATACTGGAAGTGAGCTAGAATGCTGTGAAGTTAATTTAGTAATTATTAGAAAAACTTTACTAGTAATTTATAAACTTACTAAAAGTGGACAATTTAAAATTCTGATTTCATAATTGAGAAAGATTCGACTGGTCCTTTACCTTTACCTCAGTTGACTTTGGATTTGGTTATTGAGAAAATCAACAAACTGGCTTGACGTGATTCCACGCTGACAATCAAGAAGAAACTTAGAGTGTTATCAAGTGTTTGGATATTGTATAGAATAAGATAGTATATTTGCTGGTTGTGATTATATCATCTTGGAGACGACAATGGTTGTGAAATGTTTTGTATTAATATCAGTTTTAAATTTATTACCTATCCTCGCCTTGCTATTAATGGTATCAAGCAGTTCCATCAAATTCAAAGAAAAATGTGAAAAAATTCAAATAACTTATTGTTTGAACATTTATGACAATGAATTAACAAATATGCCAAATTTATTCGGACACCAACATCAAAATAAAATCGAACAAAAAATAGACTATTATTTATCCTCGGGATTTAAACAAAGTTTAAGACATTTTCTTTGCTCATTATATTTACCGCCATGTTTAATGACGTCACAGACGTTAACGTTACCTTGTCGTTCCACCTGTCATGTTGCACGTGCAGATTCCATCCATAGATTAAAGTCACGTGGTATAAAATGGTCTTCAGAACTACAGTGCCATAATTTCCCAACAGAAAATTGTCTGAATTTTACAGGTAATGTTTCATTTTAACTATCAAATTATCAAGCAAGTATGCTGTAAAGAAGTGGTATCTGGGCTTTCTTAAAGATGGGTTCCCTTATTTTCATTCATTTATGAAAATGAAAATGCTAATACTTATATGAATAGAATTAGAAGGTAGAGGTGTTCTAATGACTTGGAAAAAATCCTGTTTGTCTCACATAATTCATAATTAGCTTAATTATAAGAGAATTACCAGCAGAATTCCAATGAGTGACCGATCAAGAAAGGTCAAAAAGACCTTTTTCGTTTATTCAGGTATGATTGGTTAAAACTCTTAATTATATGCAATAAGAACATAATGATATGATTAAGAATACATGATAATTCATTAGAAACACCAATTAATCAAATAGTTTGCTTAATTTTACACTAAACAATTCGGAAACCCATCTTAAAGAGAAGACATTCTCTTTCTCGCTAGCGGAAACAAGCAATAGAGTTTTTCAATATTTTCTTTTCACCAAGAGCGATTGCTCTTCCAGTGCATTTAGCATCATTAGTCTAATACACACGGAATCGCTTATATTATGTACATACAGATTGAATTAGAGGTATTTCAGCCCCAGGTTATATATCAATCTGGTATAATTTATAGGGGATGCCTGGTGTGAAATATATCATAGTAACACCACGTGTTCACCAGGTTTCATCTGTAAACCCCTACAGCAGGGAGTGGCTGAACTTTGTTAACCCCTACAGAAAGGGGAGTGCGGATGGTGATGAGGGGCTATATTAATTAAACATAAGCAGGGATGAGAGCTGCAAATTGTAAAACCCTACCGGAGGGGTGGGTGCTAAACATTGTTAACACCTACATATGGTACAGGAGGGGTGATAGCTGAGCAACCCCTTCAGGAGAGTGGGTGCTGAACATCATTTTTAACCCCTACAGAATGAATGGGTGCTGAACAATAGCGCAGTGGCGGAGCCAAAGTGGGGTCTCAAAATTTCAAACCCCTACAGAAGTGGGGAAAACTGCACATTGTTAATAATTAATAAGGTTGAGGGCTTGACTAATTTCATTTTCTAATCCATACAAGTTGGAGGGGGTGGGGGGCTGCTCATAGTAAACTCCTATAGGAGGGAATGACCTGAACAAAGTTAACCCCTGTATCGTACAGGTATTGGTAAAAAAAAATATGTCTGTACTAAACATTAAACGCATGTTGACCATATTGGTCTTTAATTAATATCTGATGTGTCAGAGGATACAGTCATTCACATGTGGCCTTATCAAATAGTCGTCATTTCCGGTGAAGTTCTTTGATGTCGCTATGGATCCCATCTTGACCATGTGGTTATTGAATTTGATACCGTCGATTATTTTCTTTGTTCAGTTATTAGTCTCTGACTGCCATGATTTAGTTGAATCTTGCATTCAAAAATACATAATGAAGTTTTACGGTAAAAAGTCTCAATGGGGTACTTTTAAACCAAACTAAGGTATCGTCGTACAAACTGGTCCTTCATTTAGTAACCACGTTCAGTAAGCGATCTTTTCCCTCATTCCATGACCACTTGGCACTTACATTTGATTATACAAGCTCGGAGTATGGTTTGAAATTTCATTTTATATTACTACATCTTAAGACAAAGGCGCCAATCGAACCAGGTACCTCAATTAATTGCCGACTAAACAGAAACCTTTGATAGAAACATCTTTTTGATGAGCTGACTTGATCAGAAACTCTATGCAACGTGACCGAGTACATTCTATACTATTAAGAACTTCGACTACATAACCGTTCCCGACAAAATTACCATTATATTAAAGAATTGAGCGTGTAATTCGTGTATATTTTTGCGTGATTGGTATGTTACTCAGTGCATCGGTTAAGTTTGTACGAACTCCAGATGTTTCCAGTTTGTTTACCTTTAAAATTCACTCGTCAATTTTTTATCATTTTACTTTCAAATATAATTTGGTCAATATGATATCGACGCCATTTGTCTTTTACAAAATTTCTTTCTACATATATTTCGATATTTAGACGAACTTTAAATCGGCGCATTACTTGGGTCCATGATTATAAAACACATTGCGCACGATTTGAACTCGTATGATAAAAGTGTAGTAGTTCTAATCTTAAAAGCAAGAGTAATTTATTTTAAACAAAGTGTTATGCGAAGCATTGTGTTCATGGCAGTCTGTAGTCAGAATGCAAAAACATTCTAATATTCTGCCCGAAAGCAACTGCCCAACTACTGCGCTGACGACAGAGAAATATAGAAACTACAATTGTTCTACAAGAACAGCAACTGTGGTTCGTTCACGAAGATCCTTTCTACCAGCTTGTTCTAAGTCAAACATCCTGGCAAAGTGATCCTTACCTGATTGTCCGTTCCCATTTTCAACTGGGTCGACGGAAAAGTGTGTAAAGATGACTTCATCAAGAGTATCTTAACAGCCCAGTGTAATGAGGTAACGTGAAGACCAAAGCATAAAAAATCGACCAGCACGGAAGAAACCTGACTATTCTTATAAAAACCTGCTTTCTATTACAGTCCTAATCTGTTCAAATCTATTTTATGATATTCTCTTCCGGTTGTTAAACTTCAAATATCATTCGCCTGCTATCAGCTTTATCATATCTCTAGCTGTGGTTGAATCGCCTAGTTGGTGATTACTGGAACTGTAAAGGGTGTTCGAGGTCACTCGTGTAGTTGGTGATCAGTAGCGTATGGAGGGTCATTGGACCAAAGTACCTTGTAAGGGTGCCCCAAGTCCTATGTGGGGAATCTAATACTGAACCTTTAGCTTAATACACAATTTGTCAGTCAGCATTTTATATGAATCTTTATTTCCAGCAGACCACATCTGATATCTAATTTTTCTTGGCCAAGTTTAACCATTCTTCATCAGAGAAATTTTCTTTGATTTTGTTGAACCATATGGTTGTAAAGTTTGGCTGATATTATTCTAGTTTTATTTTCAATAGTTCTTATCACTTGTATCTATACATGAAATAATAAATATTGTAAAATCTTATTTTTTAACTCCACCCATCTCTTTCAGTGGGTGTGAACTGCCTTGCGTGCCCTCACAGACTGTGACTACATTGATCTTTCATTTCTTTTCCAAATTGACTTATTTTTCTGTTACGTCTCAATTTTTGGTGATGATGATGATAAGAAATAGGAGACACACTAATGATAATGATGATGATCCTAACAATGTCATTAATGATGCCGATGATTATCGAATTGATTATTGTCTACTTCAATGATGATGATGATGTTAATGACAGCAATGATAAAAGTGATGATGATTGCCAAAAGTTATTTTAATGGTGTTGATGCTGGTGATGGTGATTAAAATTTCTTTTCACTGCAGTAGTGATGATGATGACGATCACTGCAACGTTGATGATGTTAATGCTGCTGATGCTGATGACGATGAAAACGCTTTTTAATGATAATGATTATGATGATGACGGCGTTGATAATGTCGATGATGGTCAATACATCGTTATTATTGATGCTGAGGCTGATGTTGCTGATGGTGAAAATGATCAAAATACAAATTGACTACTGCAATGATGACGATAATGAACTCCAATAATACTGATGATTGGTACGATATGATGATGATGGTGATGATAAGGAAATAATGAGAATCATGGTGGTGAAAACTATGACAATGATGATCAACATGATGATGATGATTATGACCAAGAACGCCAATTTGATCGTTAATGCTGCTGACGGTGATGAAGATAAAAATGTTTATTGAGTACGGCAATGATTATAATGATGATGGCGGCAACAATAATGACGATGGCCACGTTAATAATGATTTTGATGACGATGAAAATGCTTAATGACGACAATGAGGATGATGAACTCCAACACAACACATTAATGATGATTATTGCCGTGATGACGAGAAATTGTACACAATGATAATGAAGACGTCAATTTTTTTTTTTATAAACAATATTTTATTAATACATTAAAGGGATTGGTGAACAGGCTTATACCTATATAACCCCTCTCCATAGAAGTTAATGATGATCACAAAAAAATCATTTCTTATAAATATTCACGTTTGTTTCCTTTTCAAAGTTTTTCACCTTTTAATAAACTGAATCAAGAACTCAAAAAACATTGCCTGTAGAATATCAGAATAAGTGCCATTCAATCAACATCTAACCTGTAGGATATAGATAACAAACTTTCCACACTGACACAAACCAGACAAATCATGTTGGCTCGCAGTTATTTTAAAATTTTTAAATCATTAAAGGTGGAAATAGACGAGGTACTGTGTCCGGTGCGATGTACGATGCGGGATTATGGATACAGTAGAAATAGTAGAAGCCAATCGTGTCCGCACTGTATCCAGACCCGTATCTCTTGTATTCATTTCTTCTATTTTCTACTGTATGGATTTTTCCGCACCGTACACCTCACCGTACACCATACCTCGTCTATTCGCGGTTTTATACAGTAAAGTTTTATAAATGCCAACCTAATATTCGGATAGGAAAGCGCAAGTTAGTGACATTCAGTGTTGTTCGATATTTAAAAGTCGACACGTTAAACAAATCTTCGTAACAGTTAAGCTACACTATAATTAGTACTAATGTGGGTGTGGATGAAAGTGCATCCTATGCTGTTGGTGTTTCGGATTTTAAGGACAACTGGTTTGGACATAGGGTTTAAATTTCAACGTTATCTTCATCACTACCATCCTCTTCATCATCCAGTGTCGTTTCTACAGAATTTTGCGCGGACCGGCTCTTCGCACTTTCAAATTTCTGATCATTGAATATAGGGGAAAATTGCCTGGTGCCCCCAGAAACGTCACTGTCATCATCATCATTAAAGGTCATTTACATTATCATCCTTATCATCATCAGCCCCTAATCACCATTTTCTTCTCATGCCTATTTTACTATCCCATAATATACATGATCTAATTCCACCTTAAAACAATGATGTTAAAGAGAAGGTACTGTCTCACCTGGTAGTTTAACCTTTGCCTGACCTTTGATGTTTGCCGCCAGGTGTTTATTGTTCTATATAATAGCTTACTATTGTTACCATCTTCCACAATAGACAATAGACACATACCTTCCTTGGCTCCAATATAAAATGTCTTATCTATCGTAAAAATAAAGAGAGTTTTTTAACGCCCTCGTACTACTCTATGCCTTATCAATATCATGGTTGTAATTTTATAGAAGCCTCATATCCTACTTTTTTGTATTGTTTTTTAAAAAAAAAACGACAAGTCTGCACTGTAGCCTACAACGATAGAACTTTTGTCAGGACAGTGACACAGTGACTTGCTCTTTTTCACGTTCAACCTGTCAACTATCAATTATTATTACTGATATTAGATATTTGATGCAGCGAAGTTTCGTGTTCTGATAATAAACCCCTTCGATCTGTATCACAAGAGAAACTTTTTCAAAACTAAAAAGGATAGGCCAACTCCCAAGGTTGCTACTGTTTCGTGGTATATCGTGATATTTAGTTGTTCAAATTTCTTTTTTTTTATGTCAAAGAGATTAAATAGCGAGTAATTTTATCGCATTATATGGATAGTTTATTAGTTGTCTGATTTATTACTCTCAAATTGGGTGGTCTGGTCTTATATGTAGTTTTAAATGGAAGCTGGCTACAGCCATAATAACTTATACGGAAGCCGAATACTGTCCTTATACAAAATTACGGGGAAAACTTTTATATTTGTTATACGGAAGACACCTACTGCCACAATTCAAAATTGTAAAAATAAAACACCTTATCACTTTTACGGAAGACTGTTACAACTGTCTCTCCCTCGACAGTTGGAAATCGAAAAAGAGCAGGCTAATGCCGCTGTCCTGGCAAAATTTCCCTCATTGCACCCTACATGGCGTTACCCGTCTTCATTAGCCCACATGGTGCAGAAAAGTAGGACGTAAAACTCCATTCATTTCATGTTTTTGTTACAACTGTCTCCCTTTAGGAGAGGGGTTATATAGGCGAAAGTCTGTTCCCCAACCCTTTTCATAAATATTGTTTTAAAAAAAAACCTCTCATAATTCGATTTTGTGGACCAGATGTAGCTCTTAGTATTTCTACGTTACAGCTCAATATCTCATTTTATATATTTCAGATGGTAAACTACAATTCGTTGAAAAATCTTTCAAAGCTCAAACTAATCATTGGAAGAACGATCGAGCACCTGAACAAGTTGCCTCATTAGAAGCGGAAGTTGGCGATAGCAACGAATACTCATTAGAGATCGTAGATGAACAGCGGAGTGATTTACCCCAGAGACGGTACGACGTTATAGAGCTGGGTAACGAAGAGTATTTTAGAGGTTGGGCTGATGTGCAGGGTCTAGGCGCTGCCAACGATTATTGCAGGTGAGTGTCCAATCGTATAAGAAATATATTTTGGTCCTGTAATCGTTTATTAAACAGTTATGTTGTGTCGGAAATAGCTTTATTTTTTAATGAGATGTTTTTCTTTGAAGCTGCCTCATACCAGAACGTCGTCGTCGGATTACAGGACGTATAACTCCCTTTTCTTTTCATCGGTTCAAAATAATGTAAAGAGAAGAACTAAAATGTGAGGAACTAGGCATATTTATATTTCAAAGGACTAGGCTCAGAACATGTGCGCTTAAACTTCATTGCAGTTGTTTAGGGCAATAAGGTGCGGTACATTAAGCATTAGGAGGTACATATCCATTTCTTTTCTCTTTTTAGGGTAATTGGCCGAAGTCGAAGAAAGTTTTTATCTTGTGTATTGGCTGGAAGTACGGGACAAGAACATTTCTATGTATCGACATTGGGATTTCAGCCCGGTTATCCGGACACGTGGTTTTTGAGAGACGTTGATAATGACGGTCGAGATGATTATTGTAGGTAAGGATCGGAATCACGGTTAGTCCTTTATAGTATTCAGTATTGGCTCTAGTTGTGATACAAGGGAGCTAAAGAAGGACTGGCTGTGGGCCAGTTGGTAAGAGCGTTTGATTTTTTACAAGTCATTTCCTTGGAAAGGCGGGTCAAATTGTGGTCGTGCGTTCTAATCTCGGACGTGTAATAGCCTTGTGACCCTAAATAAGTCATCATTCCTCATTATTCCAGTCTATCAAGCTCTTGGTGAGTGCTACAGATTAAATCCTGGAAAGGCCAATGACAAGAGACTTATTAGTAAATCAGGCCAACATAGAGGGTGTGGTGGTCATTTAACTTGCTATATGTATACTTTCAGATGTGTTGGTAAGCCAGAGAAGTCTCGAATATCATGTATGAAAGCAGGAGAACATGGTTTTTATGGAAGCTCAATGCAAGGAGGCAGTCAATTCACCTTCGATTTACCAGGCTCAAATGGATGTCACAATAAAAAGCTGAATCCACTTTTTGGAGCTTAATTGTTTTTTTTTTATAAAATTTGATTAAAAAAAAGTTGTTGATACATATGTTGTGTTTTATCTCTTCAAATTAAGGGGTGCCTTGATTTCCCTGAACAGTTCATATCGAGTAACTAGAAAAGTTATTCTCTTTTCCAATCCATCTGTTCCGACCAGGTAGCAATGAAGATGGGCGAATTTTGCCAGGACAGCGGCATTGGCCTACTCTTTTTCAATTTCCAACTGTCAAGGAATCTTTAACGTGCACAGTTTGTAGCACACGGGCCCCAGTTTATTGTTCGATCCGAACGACTAGACGCTTTTTCCATGTCAGCCCTTCTTACCTGCATCACTGACAGAGAGAAACCGGGTTGAAAAATCCGAAGGTATCATCTCGACTGGTACCGGGACTGGGGATTGAACCCTATTATACACATTTCTATTAGATTAGTCTACCAGTTAAACATCTTGACATTGACCATTCCAGGATTAATCATAATTTTCTGTTCGTTATTCGGGGTCATTAATTATCTCCCAGCTCTTGTCGGTTTTTCAGACAAATCACTAAGGTAGGGGAAGGAACCAAATATTGAACAATAAAAACTATTGTGGTCTGCTTCCTATAGCAATGTTCACAAATTTATGGCATACCGAAAATAATTTTTAAAATTTACATGCAATAAAAAAGAGTTTTGCGTCCTGCTTTTCTTTAATTTTTGATATATCTCTTATTTCATAACATCGTGTAACTGTAATGATTCATGTGAAAAAAAAAGTTATCACTGCAAATATGTTGGTCTTTTTTGGACTTTTTGTTGCCTTTAAAACTAATTCCTTCCGTGCTTACATTGATAATATTGAAACATTTTATTATAAATTTTAGATATCAGCCTTAGGCGATAGTGATCGTGGCGATTTGCCAATCTCAATTTTATATAACCGTCTAAGCGAATTATTTTGAGACGAAACACCTTCAAAACTTATTCTTTGTTACGAACCGTCCCGATCTCAACCTGCGTGTTGTAGACTTCCGGGTGGACCACGAGGTTTTCAAGATGGCGGCTGGTAAGGTGGATTCCGATGGAAGGAAGTCCAACAGATCTGAATCACAAAATGAGCACGATCCCGATCAATATGAAGAAGAAGAACCCGATTTTAGCGACCCCGACGGTTTTGTGGATGATGTTGATGACGAAGGTATTGTACTTTACTAAGGAACTGACCCATATGCCGGTGCCACATTTTCGGACCAAAACAAAAAAAAACCTGTTCAATATTGTCACTTTCCCTCCTTTTCCTTATTTTCTTAATTTTTGTACTATTTCAATGGTTGTTGCTGTATAGATTTACAATTGCATTGATTAGTTTATCTGCATGATATGGATATGAAACAGATTATATTGACAGCAATAAGTGAACCGAGTTTGAAATCAATACCTGCATTCTGCACTATGACAAGACTAAGGCCATATGGCATGGGCTTACTGGGGGCTATAAGATTAGGCCTTATGACACATGGAATAGACATTATGTGGAATATGGTCATGATGAACTCAATAAAGATTGATGCGAGTGCAAGTTATCAACCAAGGAATGAAAACTGCATAGCGATCAATGATCAGGTTGATTATTTAAAATTCGTTTGATGTTAGGAGCCATTTGCTCTATATTATATTATCCATGATTTCTAGGTTTCTTATATTCTTTCTTATTTTCTATTCCTTAATTCTTTATACTGATACTATTCTGACAGCTGGATCTAATTTTTGACAGCAAAATGGGTGACAGTTTCATTAGTAGTAAGCTTATATGTTGAAATTGTGCAAAATTTGCTGAATTCAAATGTAAAGCAAATGATGCGGATCTCTATGACAAAAGAAATGATTTCAGAAATCATTTTGGCAGGAGACTAGTATGAGATGCTGATTTTTCTTTTTTGTTTTGCAGAATTATTACCAGACTTGTTGAGAAGCAAACCGAAAGAATCTGATGGAATTGACTCAGTAGTGATTGTAGACAATGTACCTCAAGTTGGTCCTGAACGACTCGAAAAACTTAAAAATGTTGTGTCAAAAATCTTCAGTAAATTTGGCAAGATTAAAAGTGATTTTTATCCAGTTGATGAAAACAATGTCTCAAAAGGGTGAGTCGACAATTTTCTTTGTTTCCAGGCTTTCCAAAACCTTTTCATTAAACAGGGTTAAATGTGTGACTTGAATACTAGTACATTTCAGTTTTTATCCTAATGATGACAATGTAATTGTTGAAAGATTGTGTACATTAACACTCATAACATTGCGTCCTGTTATTTAATGTGATCTCTACCCCAAAATGTCATTTACTTTAAATGTAGGTAAAGGATTAATAGAAAAAATTAATGTCAAGTTTTAAGTATGTGAGGAACATCAAAGGTGCATAAAATAACCCAAATATTTTGTGATTGTATTTGCACTGTCTACTTGTTTCTCTATTGCAATTAAGACTCTGAAATTTTCAATCATTTATCAGTCAGAATCATGTATCTTATTTACTTGAACTGTCTTCATTATCTCAATCAGGTGCAGAAAAATAGGATGTAAAACTCCGTCCAATTTAATTTATTTGTTATTTCAGACTTATCTTTATCTTATATTTCAGATATTGTTTTGTGGAGTTCACTTCTCCTGTACATGCTCAAGAAGCTATGAAAACTGCTGATGGTTATAAATTAGATAAACAACATACATTTGCTGTCAACCTTTTCTCTGATTTTGAAAAGTAAGTATTGATATTTATTTCGGACTAGATGATATTGTTGACACAAAAAATATTGTAACTCGAATTCATTTCAAGCCACAGTTTCTCAAAAAATCTTATGATTTAATTTGTCATAACTGAGCTATTTCTAGATGTTAAATTCAACCCTGCAAAATTGATTGTATGATTTTTCAAGATAAATAGTTTTCATTATAAACTCTGAATTTAATGTCAGTTGTCAGGATATAACATTTTTTTTCGTGCTTTTAGCATTTTACGTGCTGGCAGATCTACTTTGAAACTATATTATGGCATGGAATAAATTAGTAAAATTTGTATTGTTTGTTTATAGATATTCGGCAGTGCCTGATGAAATAGACCCTCCTGAGCCCAGGCCATACAAAGATCCTGTAAGTATATTTACTTGTATAAAATCAATATTTGTATATAAAAAGGTATAGAAGTATTAACAGGTGCAGGGATAAGGCTGTCAGAAACTTTTAAATATTCATGAGGCAATCCACACATTTCTGTAGGATGGCATGTCTTAAATGTTTATACATCTATAGAAGACAAACAGATACAAGCAGCATTAATATACCAAAATACCAATTATTTATTACCTGCTCTTAAGAAGTCCAGCCAGCTGATATCATCACCTGTGTATTATCTCAACCAATCAATATCTGAAGAGACTGCCTAAACTTGCACTGGATAGTCAAATTTATTTACTGTTGTATGTTTCAGGGTAATTTGTTATACTGGCTACAGAATAAAGAATGTGTAGATATGTATAGTTGTATATTTGAGGGAGGTGAAAAGACTGCTATATATTCAAATACTACAGAACCTACTGTGGTACAGGAAAGAGCGGTGAGTTCTTTTGCTTTATATCATTGGCTCTTGAAAAATTGTGTCTGCCTGTTGTGTATTTCTCTAAAGATTTAATTCTGGAGTAAACTTTTAGTGTGGATTAGGATACTTGGTTTTCTTAATAAATGAAGTAGAATGTTAACAAACCACACCATACAAATGTATAAAAATTAACAAAAAAAAAAAAGATCTGAAAAATTGAAAAGCATCACATAACCTTGTAATTTCAATATGAAAATGATGTTTTAAATGATGATTTCAGAGATGGACTGAAACATATGTAAGATGGTCCCCTAATGGTACCTACCTAGCTACCCTACATGCCAAGGGTATAGCGTTATGGGGTGGTCCAGAATTCAGTCAGATTATGAGGTTTAGTCATCCTGGTGTACAGCTCATAGATTTCTCTCCTTGTGAAAGGTAGGTGGAGGCAAATTTATTGATTAATTTGTATTTGTAAGACATGTTTGGCACCACTATTCTGTTTTTGCATGATGTCTTTTGTTTAAAATCTGGAATTTTAATTGCAGTGCACATGTTGGTTGAAAATTGCCATATGTTGGCTCCTATATGTCACTCATGGTTCATAGAAATAAGCAAATATGTTATGATTATGATATTTAGGCTATGTATTACCACTGATATTTTATTTTATGGATTTTGAAAAAGCATTTCATCTACCTTGGACAGCCTCAAACTCTAGTCAGAGAGCTGCATCAGTAATAATATACTAGTCAGTTTAGGGTGATATATTAGTATTCACAGTAGATAACAGTGTGTTTGAACAATGATTATGTTATTATCATGAAGCCTATTGTTTTATTGTAGGTATCTGGTAACATTTAGTCCCGTACAGGAACCCAGAGATGAAGGTGATGCTATTATCATCTGGGATATTAGAACCGGGTTAAAGAAACGTGGCTTTATGTGTGAGAACCAATCAACTTGGCCAATATTCAAGTATGTATATGTTTGATTTATGCTCGGATTAAGCTTTGCATTTATTATATATTATGGTGAGAGAAGACCAGGTGCCTTAGTGGTACAGAATGATAAATTCAGTAGGAGGTACTACAAACAACTACACAAAGCAAGCAATGTATCAGCCAATGTTTTAATGGTAACTTGTGGAAATGCCATTTGCGGGATATAAATAATTTTGCTCTTGTATTTCCAGATGGAATGTAGATGGTAAATATTTTGCTAGAATGGGTACAGATCAAATCAGTGTTTATGAAACGCCAGTGAGTATAAACAGAAATTTTCAAAATATACCTTTTTAGGTTCAGAAATAGAAATATAGGGATATTATTCAATGAGTAATTTGGATTTGGAACAGTTAAAAAGACAGTGTTCTACTAGTAATTAGAAGCTTATACAGCTTAAATTTACAGTTAAAGAGTATTGGTTCTTAGCAGTATGTTTAGTGCTAGTTTAGTTCCTGATAACAGCCCTCGGTCAGCACTTATCCTGCTGCCTTCTACCAGTACCAAGAGTTTGTCACGTCTTTCACCTATTTAAAGAGAAGAAATGTCATTGTTCACGATGTTTGACTAGTAACATTAAAGAAACAAATTTCATAGGCTTTGTTAACCCCTATTAAAAACCCTGTGTTGTATATTTCAGTCATTTGGTTTGTTAGAGAAAAAGAGTATCAAGATACAGGGAGTAAGGTAAGAATTTTCTTCTTTCTTCTATGGAGCCGATGTAGTGATTTAGGTGCTTGTTAGTCTGGGGGTCCATTCTGGCATATAGGAATAGTAGTATTGGATTAAACTAGGTTTCCATGTGTGATACAGGATTGATTTGGGAAGAATGCTTAATGTGACTATTAAAGAAATTGAAACAATTTATGATGTAAAGTCCTTGATAGAAAAATTTGTCCATTTCAAATTTAAAGACACAAAAAAATACTCTTTTCTATTAGTAATATATCCAGAATTGTTTGAATCTGAATTTAAATACATCAAATATAAATAATTGTTACGGCTTTTTCAGAGACTTCACTTGGTCCCCAACTGATAATATGATAGCATACTGGACGTCAGAGCATAAAAATAGTCCTGCTCGTGTAGTCTTAATAGAGATACCCAGTCGGAAGGAATTGTGTGTGAGAAATCTTTTTAACGTAGCTGATTGTAAGATGCACTGGCAGAAGGCTGGTGATTACCTCTGTGTTAAAGTTGATCGTTATTTTAAAGCCAAAAAAACTGAAGAAACAGATCAGATTAAATATAGTGTAAGTAGAATTTATACACCTATGTAGACTCATCATGGACACTCGATTGCTAAATTCTGAACAGGTTCTGTCTGTTGAAGTACTTGGTGTCAATTAAATGACACAAATTTCCTTATATTCCTTTCTGCCCCATTACTTTCTAGGCACATGTTGAACACATTCTGAACTCTCCAATCGAGCTTCACCTGAGATATATTTGGCTTCCCCCTTCGTTACTTTTTATCTGACTAATCTGAAGTGTAATCTATTTTAGGGTATACATTATAATTTTGAATTGTTCAGAGTAAGAGAGAAGTTGATTCCTGTAGATAAAGTGGAGACCAAAGGTAGGAATTGAATTTCATATTCTTTATAAAAAAGTGTACATGTTAAGCTTACTTGTATATTTTGAGCCTTTTTCACATAAGCACGCCTTTATTATTGCAGTTAAATGATTGGTCAATGTATTTTAAATCCACCTTTGTTAACCAATCAGATTAGTCTATTTTGATTTTACATCTTATATGTAGAAATATTTCCTGTTTTAATCCTCAAACATTTTATTTTAGATCAGGTCATGGCATTTGCCTGGGAACCAAATGGTTCAAGATTTGCCTTCATCCACTCTGATTCTCCTAAAATTAATGTCACTGTTTATAAAATGAAGCCTGATGGAAAAGTTGACTTACTCAGTAAGTAATGGTTTTATTTTAATACTTAATTGAAGATAGTTCAGTCTGTTCCAAGTTGGATGTCCGTTTCATTAGCCGACATGGTGCAGAAAAGTAGGACGTAAAACATCATTCATTTCATTTCCAAGTTGGATGTTGATTAATATTTGATTATATGATTATTTGGCTTGAATTCCAATAGTTATTTCTTACTTTATTTCTTAAAAATATAACAGTTACACCATTCTTTGTATCAATTCTAACAGCAAAATGAAATAAGTTTTGATTTTGATTACAGAAACACTGGAGAAGAGAGTAGCAAATCATTTATTCTGGAGTCCAACTGGACAATTTCTTGTACTAGCTGGATTGAGAAGGTAGGATTTCGATTTGATTTGACTTGCATCATTGTCAAGGTCTTTTGAGAGGAGAATCTCAATGTTGGTTTTTGTCCTTTACCAGTTTCCCCACATGAAATGGATTTTTTTTTTTTGAAAGAATCTTGCTTTGAAACTTCTGGTTGTGATAAAGAGTGATTTCATTTCCTGTACATGTGTTTAGATTTTCCTGATGAACCTGTTGAATCAAGTCTTGAAGAATATTATAATATTATGTATTATGTTCATAATACATTTACATACATTCACTAGCATTTTTGGTATGTAAACGCAGTTAATCAAGTGACAAACTGAACTTTTATTAGAACAATTTTCACTTTTTTATATGAATTGTCACAAATCTTAGATTGCATCATTGTTGTGCTTTGACGACGTCATAGTATCACATGACAAACTACAGTTTATCGAAAAATAACTGCCAGTTTGTGTAACTGGTTCATTGACGGGAGTGATAGTAGAAATAAAAATATATCAGAATATGGGTTCGGTATTGTCAAGATGTTAATATTATATTTCTATTATCTAGTATGAATGGTGTACTAGAGTTTATAGATACTACTGATATGACAACCATGAACCAAACAGAACATTTTATGGCTACTGATGTAGAATGGGATCCAACAGGAAGATATGTTGTCTCAGCTGTCAGCTGGTGGGGTCATAAGGTAAATAAGGTTTCATTTTTATCTGGTGGCTCAGGGAAATACTTATTTGCTTTCCAACCCCATGTGAGTTGACCTGCAAAAATGATTGTGTGGTTTGATTGGATAATTATAAGCCCTATGTGCCGAATACTCCTTTGACAGTTGAAAATTTATAAGAGTTCATTTATTGGAACATATATTTTCACGAAGAGGTCATTGGTCATGGCCCTCTGTATATTGAACTTGCAACAACATATAATGTGTCTATTAAAAAAACTTATGAATATATCAGGTGGACAATGCTTACTGGATTTGGAGTTTCCAAGGTAATTTATTAACCAAACAACCATTAGAAAGATTCTGTCAGTTGCTATGGAGACCTAGACCACCAACATTATTATCAGAGAAAAAATTAAAGGTAAGAATTTTCATCATATATATTTGTCTTAATTCTGATTTTAGTATATTATGTATGTACATATTTTATATTATATCCATTAATTATGCGAATTCCTACTTATAGATCTCTCATTATATTATTGGTCCAATATATCACTAGTTAATTTCGCACCTAATTTTGCTTTAACGATTGTCACATTGAATTTTCAAACTCTGCTTCAAGACCAGAAAATATATGAAGTAAATATTTGTATAATACCACCAGAAACCTTGTAATTTTATGTTATGATTGTGATTTTTGTAGGAAATCAAGAAGAATGTAAAGAAATATTCTCAACAGTTTGATTCTGAAGATAGTCAGAAGAGGAAGACTGCATCCAAGGTAACTATATGTCTGATTATTCAAATGGTTTGCTGATTTTCTTTCCTTTTGACAGTTATCTATGTGTACACATGCAGACACATCTGTCTGGGTTGTATAAATAAATGATAACTTATAAGGAACTGTTATTCTCCAAAATTTCATGTCAAAAGAATTTGTTTGTTACAAGTTGACCCCAATTTTATTCCGCATGGGTTGTAACACATCATGTTGTGGCAGTTGTCCAAATTCATCCCTCAGTTTGCACCAAAACATTTCTTGGCTCGCCATTTCTTATTTTGATAAAGCGCGACATATTTCCATTCCTGAATACAATACTTTGTATTTGATTTTCAGGAACTGTTGGAGAAACGGCAACAATTATTGACAGAATTCGAGGATTATAGACAACAGAAACTAGAGGAATATAACAGAACACGAGATATTCGTATTGAAATGAGAGATGGTAAGTGAATAGCTGGCAAATTTAATATTTCAATTTTTAGGTTTGGCAACAATCAGAATTTTCAGGGGTTGATTTGGGCCTTAATATATATACAGTCTTCAAAGGACTGGAACTTTACCAAAAATCCATAGTGGGTGTTAAAAAATGAATAAAAGAGTGTTCTTGTCTTTATAAATTTAGCTTCTGTAATACTTGACATATCTCAATCAGATCCACTCTGAAAAATTCTGACTTGTCCTCTCAATGGATAGGTTACCATGGCGAAGAAAAATAAAACATCAAAATCCATGTGAATTGTTAGGTTACAAGTGTCCTAATTTTCTTATCATTCTATTCTAGGTGTTGATACAGATGATATAGACAGCCATGAGGAGAACTTTGAAGAAGAAACCATTGAATTCCTGCTTAAAGTTGAAGAAATAATCGTCGAGGAGTAGAAGGTCCTGAAATTACGCGTTATTGTGTGGCAGCCATCTTGAAAACTTATATCTTGAGTATTGCGATCATAATAATCTCGAGGAAACTGTTGAAGCCTTTTGACAGCTTTCCTCCATTTTGAACTTTTTGCGTGTTCCGAGTGAACAGGATTCTGGTTAAGGGATTTTTTTTGAAAATTTGAAATTGTAATCAAAAGAGGTTTAATTGGTTGGTTGAAATCACCATGGAAATATTGTCAATATTGGTTTGTATAATTTTTTTTCGCGGTCGAATTATGAAGATGCTTAAATTTAATTCTATATATATCTCACTAAGTGTAATGTTTGGCTATTTCATGTGGTATTATCCTGTACCTTATCGGTTATATCTTGTATTAATAGTTAGTTTATATTATAATCACTATACCTTCTCTTTAATTAAACTTTTAATCAAATCAATCTATTGGTTTTCTTTCTGAATTGTGGCTTAAGATCCCTCGACAGTTGGAACAATAGTTTTCATGGCAAGATTTTCAATGTGGTATAGAGCCATCATATCTCAATGGATTCACTTTGGCTTTCTCAAAACAGCATACAATGACCAGACTGAAGGAAACATAAAAATAAAAAGATCAAAAACTACTGATAAAATTCAATAACATAATATATTATACTTGTTAATATTAAAAACACAAGATACAATAACAAACACTGGGTCACATCCATGAGATTTATGGCATAGAAGAGCATCTCTAAACTATAGAAATGGATAAATATGAAAATATTTTCAACCATATCAAAGTTTATCAAGATCTAATAAAACCTCTTCTATAACAGTTACAAGTCTTATCTTGACCATAATAAAAACACAAGATACAATAACAAATCCTGGGTTAGTAAATAACACATTGAAACACATAAATGTACTATTCTTAACAAGATAATCTTGCTCCACAAAGAAAAGACCATAAAATAAATGTGCCAAAGAAGCAATATTATCTATGTGAACTCTACAAAATTGGTAACCATTTGCCGAGTAGCATCAGGAATTGTGGACGGGGAGCATATCCTGCCCTACTGTCAATTGATTTCTTCTCCAACTACCAAATAAACGTAAGATACATAAATATGAGGAGAGATTCTTATCCCGTAACAAATTAATTGAAATGTAGATCTAGATGCTTTGTTCCCTGCTTTTTCTGAGATATCCTACTAGGCACCAATAATCTGACAAAATTGTTATGCTATTCATGTTAAAATCATGGTAAAAAAATTAGCCTGCAAATCAAGGGCTCTATTCAAAAAAAAATTTGTTGAACATGTGCAGAAGTCTGGAATATTAGTTGTTAAACACTTACTTTTCATGTCAGCCCACTTTTTGATTGGTGGGTACAACTTATGTCACCTTTACAGTAAAAGGTCAAAATTTAAAGAGGAATTTTTTCACATCATGGAAGTTTGACCCACAGTAAGAACATGAACTGAAGGATCTAGATGATGTGTATCTTAATCAGATGGCCCAAATAACTAACTTAAATTCAACAAATTACCCCAATACAATAAAGCTTTTGTCATCTGTGTCGAGATAACAATAAATCACACAGTGAACCATAAATGCAAAAATTAGTCCCTGCCACCAGTCCAGCCTTGATTACACCAGGTACGAGTCCTTTATATAACCCACGTATTCCTTCCTCCAGTAATATAGCTCTGAAACAATGGCGTAATAATGTATAGTTCCGTACGGCACCAAATGAATGTCTTGCTTCCTCAAAGCCCACAATCTGCATGCGTTTTTTCACAACATCTAAAGGAAAGATCAGAGATTTGGCTGCTATTCCTGAAGCTGCTCCACATAAAAAACTTGAAACACCTGAAATTTAAACAGCATGTTCTTAACTGACAAATCCATGTCTTAAAATATATCATATAGCAAGTAAATTGCAGGTTTTCTTGTCAGAAACATAGCACCTATAATACAATTGCAGAACAGTTTGAAAAACAGATGGTTGTTATTGCAGTGATTTTATCAACCAATAGGCTCTCGAGAAATTAATTAAATTCGAGAACCATAAATTTTTACAATTTTGCATCAAAACAATGATCATAACTCGAGAGTTTCTCCTACCTTGAAAAGAATTTCTAGTTTCAACCAAACCTTCTACCATTTGAGTCAACACAGCGTAAAAACCAAATTGTAAACCCATCTGAGGTCCGACCTGACATAGAGCAGGAACAACTCCTTTATAGAAACCCTTAAAACCTTCATGTTTCATTATTTTAAAACTGGCATCCACAATTCCATTATACACCTACAATAACATACAAATACACACCAATGACCAGTAAATATTTGACCCAAAGGCATTGGTCTAGGGCAGCACATCTAAAACTTTTATATTCAGGTCAAGAACTTTTCAATAATGATTTGAATTCCAGTATAATATGGCACAAATATTAGTGAAATAAACACCAAATTTTAGAGAAATATATTTATTACTTTCAGGTTTCAATTAATATTGTGCCATAATAAGGCTTAACACAACTAGATTAAACAGCCCATTTAACAATTAGTATGCTCTGTTCTTAATCACCCCCATTAAAAACAAATTCAGGTTTAAACTAGAACTTAAAATGAATCTTGAAATTTTGACTTTTAAGGAAATATTCCACTTGCATAAAGCCTTACCTTGGGTTCTCCCTGAGCTATTAATCTAGTTCTGAGGACATCAACTGGGTGGATGAAAATTGTAGCTAGACATCCTGCTTCAAATCCACACAACGTATGGGTGGTGAATTTATACTTATTGTAATTATCTTCACTAATTAACTTCCATAATACCTGAGTCAAGACTTCATATGACGCAAACTGGAAATAAAACATGTGTCATATTACTTAACTAGTAAAAAAAATACCTGCGTGATAAATAAATTAGTTTTAATGTTTAGTATTGCTTAAAAAAAACCTTATTTGGATTCATCCTTATAGTATATTTGAATGAAATTGAAATCTATTGAATGGACAAGTCTGACCGACATATCTCTGTAAGGACATAAATTGTCGGAAATGTTCGTCGGTTTACATTCCCAACACTTCAGTGCACGTTAGCATGTGCGTACTTTGCAATGATTAGAGTTATTGCCCTTGCCCATCTTAAAAGAACACACTACTGCTCCTTTGACAGTAAGAAAAGAACACCCACCTGAACTCCTCCATAGCCTATCGATAGAATCTGGGCTGGGACATGTCCCTTCCATAATGCTTTAAAACCCTCTTCTTTTACGATAACTCTGAAAGCTTGAGTTAAACTTCTGTATTTTGATCCTTGGCTAGACTTCTCAATAGGCTCAACTTGTAACTAAAAACAGTAAAAAAAATTATTGAAAAATTGAAAATAGTTCAGCTTAACTAAAGATATTGGTATTAAAGAAATGTTGAATTAAAACCAAATAACTATCTGCTTTGCAAGAAGGCCTACGGCCTACATTATTAGTTTGTTATATGAATTAGAGCTAGAGCCAGAGGGCAAATTTAGTACTTTTTAATATTCAGTTAAGTTTGTGCATGAAACAAATGTGAAAGCTAAGTTACTTGAAATCTAATCTTCAACACATCAAATGGTTGATACAATAACCGACAAACAGCTCCACTGATACCACCAGCTAACATAAACTCTGTCCGTGATAGATGGATCTTAGCTGTCGGATCATATCCGATCATAATTTACTACAAAAAAAACAAATTCATGTGGTCTACTCCGAAGAGGAGTCTGCAAGCGCAAATCAGCAAGGTTTGACAGGACCATTTATTTGTGGTCTGAAATAAGCCCTACACTTATATGTTTCTATTTTAATAAACTTGGAATGAATGAAATAGACACCTTGGAAATGCTTAGGAGTGAGTCAGATATTATGACAGTAATATCAGATCCATAATTACATAAAATTTTCACTTGGATCAATTCTATTGTAAAAATCTTAAAATATTCAATTATTCACCTTCGTAACCTTTTCATTGAAGTTATCTCTCCTTGAGATGATTCGTACATATTTCACATCGTACAGAAGACGGAACGTACAAATAGAAAATCTTATCAAGTAATGTTGAAATCGACCACAGGGCCAATTTGATGCCCTCAACGTACAGAATATACACAGCTTACACAATCCATACACAATAGATATGTGGGAGCTGGAATTCGAATAAGAAGTAACGTATTAGAAATGTAATTTTTTGGGGGCTTTTTTGAAATGAGTATGAGGGATCTTTCGCATTCGCATTAGTCCTTGAATACCCGATACCACTCTGTGATTGGCTGTGTCAATATCCCTACAAAAAATGAAGGCTTATAACAATGTACTGGCCAAATGGTCCACCGTGAATGTATATGATGTATACAAAGCCGTTCAAAAAGATTCCAGTCGTTCAGATCGGGCAATAAACCGAAGTCCCGTGTGCTACAGGTTGCGCATGTTAAAGATCCCATGACAGTTGGAAATCGAAAAAGAGCGGGCCAATGTCGCTGTCCTGGCAAAATATCCCTGCATGGCGTTGCCCGTCTTCATTAGTCCACATTGTGCAGAAAAGTAGGACGTAAAACTCCATTCATTTTATTTCAAAAGCTGAATTGTATTATGCAAAATTTCACTTCGTAAAAACTCAATTGAGAAATGAGAATTCAATAGGTTTATATTTAAAATGAAAAAAATAGGCCATTAGATTTGATCGTGTTGAGAGCACGGTGAATAAAAAAATATTTGACTAATTAGATTTTTTGTAAAATTTTCTATTATTTTTTTAATTGTATTGTAAGAGAGTGAGTAATGTTTTATTGTGGTCAGGTTATTTTAAATCATTTTGTAAATTGAATTTCAAGATATAAAGAGTTAAAAGTAGAGGTTTATCACCAGTATAATATGCGAAATCATCCCGCCAACAACAAGTAAGTGATCATTTTCATACTTCCTGACATATAGGATTCAGTAAAGGTTTTCTGGTCTTTATATTATTATTGAGGGGTGTCGAGAACAATGTGGTTCTTCTGTGGTTCCTGTTATTCCAGAAAAACTTTACCAGATTATGACTTCGCAAATGTCGATGAGTTTCAAATTGTGCGAACCCTCAAACCCTCATCACCGGTTGCATTTGGTTGTGAGTCCGTCAAAAGTTTCGAACATAACTCTCGTGCTTCTGAATTGTGAGATGCGTTAGGAACTCACGACCCCTTTCATTATTCGCAACCATACGCTGATAATCGCTATGGTGTGAGGGTACCTTTAATGGTAATGTGGGTTGATGGTAAATGCGATGTACTGTACTGTGCGGGGTTATCGATAGAGTAGAAAAATGACTTAGCGAATCATGCGCGCACCTGTTCCGGAACCCGGAATTTGATCCTTCTATTTTTCTAGTATACAGCATGGATAATCCCGCAAAGTACTACCGTAGCGTACAGCACGGCGCAACATAGCTTACCCCGTTTATCAATCAAATCCAGTGATCATTTTTCTGGGTATTGATTGTGGCAAAGAAAAAAAGGTTTTGGCTTGAAATGAGAATTTAAAGATACATTCCTGACAAAAAGTTCCATAGGTTATCACATTTTCTTCACGTTTTGATAATAGTATCCGAATCACCAATGATCATCATCGTTATGGGTTTAACCAAGTCTGAGTGAATCTAGATTATTTTTATGGCGCTTTATTGGGATTCTGAGGACGTAGGTGATTTACGCAAGTGTTGATTATTGTTAATGGATATTTGAGATGTGGGAGACCATTAGATGCATTCGTCTTTAAAAAAAGACACAATAAAAAGATAAGGCTTCTAAATTGTTAAAATATTTTAAAACCACATACACGCAGGTTAAATGTAAGACCACCTGTTGAGGTTCGCACAATTAATAATTTTAATATTTATTCTAGGATGGTCCAGTTTTATCTAAAAATTGTATTTTTGTGTGGTAAGTACTTTTTTCTATTTTTTTACCAATTTATTTTTTGTGGTGTATGGTTATAATCTAATGAATATGTCACGCCTCTCTTTTGACCAAACTTTTGTGGTTTTTGTGATTTAGCGATATTTGTGGCCAGAAAACAATCCCTTTTCAAATGTGTTCCTTGTGTCTTTATGATGTTTTTCAATTCATTTAAAAAAGGGTATTAATATAAAAGTTATTTTCTGCTTTTTTGTAAATTTTCACAATGATTCTATACATCAAATGAAGCTGCTAAATATAAAGCTATATTTATGATAGACTGTTTGCGGAAAGCCAAAATATAACAAAAGATTTCATGGTGAGAGGAATATGGTGGGGGTAATTTTGATCATAGAAAATCTTCACGAGTCCCATTGTAATGTATGCAATGCTTCATTCTTTGAAACCATGTGTCTTTCCATTATCTTTCAAGTCCAGAAATAGCTACACGAAGAATATGATATTTTTAATATATAAATCTCGCCAATAGCAAAAACTTGGAGAATGTTAAATTCAAGAACAAATTATTTCTTAGATTTTCCAATTATTTAAGAGTAATTTTTCAATTTCTGAACGTTCCAGGTCTAAGTTTGGGAGAAATAACCGACTATAAAAGAGTATGTTACTATGGAAGCTGGGAAATCTATAAAACAGGAATCTATAAATTTACAGCTGATAATATTTCACATCTAGATCTCTGTACTCACTATATCTATTCATTCGCTGGTGTCGACCCTAAAACTAAAACTATCGTACCAATAGATGCCATAGATGAACGAGGTAAGTTAATAAGAAAAACTTTCAATATGGAGGTTGATAGCAGCCAATACGCATCTTTGCCTCTTGAAAATGATAATTATCTATTTATTCGCTTGAGTCGACCCTAAAACTAAAACTATTGTACCAATAGAATATGCCATGGATGATTGGGGTAAGATTATAAGCTATGACAAACATTCAATATGGAGGCTGATAGGGACCATTACTCGTCTTGGCATCTTAACAGTTAACACAACGCAGACACAAACGTCTTACCGTTGCTATCGCTCTGCAACAGATTCAGCTTTACGGAAACAGCCGAGGCTTGCCGAATGAGCGCAGATACAGGATACGGATTACACACTAAAGCCTCATTCAAGATTTTACTATTATATGTGAATTTTCACGGTTCTTACTCCAGTTTTTAATCCGTACCTTTCTCTTTTATCAGTTTTAGTTTCATTTCGAAGTTAAAAGTGAAATGAATTGGTGATTTACAATTTAACTATACGCCGTATGAACATTTAGTTAAAAGAATGCTTCAAATCGTACACGCGCTAATATAATTATTTGTATTTCAGTCGGATATAAGAAACTAACAGATAAAAAGAGGATCAATCCTGATATGAAGGTGATACTAGCTGTAGGAGGCTGGGCGTTTGGAGTGAAGGAATTTTCAGACTTGGTGAAGACTAACGCCAGTATTGATCTATTCTGTGAGAATGCTGTGAAGTATTTAAGGAAATGGAGATTTGATGGTGTAGATATAGACTGGGAATATCCGGCTAATCGTGGAAGTCCAGCAAGTGATAAAAAGAACTTTGCTACGTTACTTGAGGTAGGTCTGATATTAAATGGATAGAATCGTCTAAATATTTTCTTTACTACCAGATAGAGCTTAAGTTCTGTTAACTGTATCACTGTGCAGAAGATGTCTGTTGAATAGTATCTTCGTTACACCTATTAAAATCAAAATTCAGCGTATGGTTCACCTGCAATTAAAAAGTCTATGATAGAGTCAATTTTTTGTATGCATTAGAAGTACTTATGTGATGATCTTGATTTCAGAAATTAAGAAAAAGATTTGATCGTGAAGCAAGAGAAACTGGTCGACCTCGACTTTTGTTGTCGTCAGCAGTTCCGATTACTAAGTCGATCGTTGATTCTGGTTTCGACAAGAAACGAATTGGAAAGTAAGTCTACCAAAATAGTATTCTCGATGTAATTAATTTCAGTGTAAGATCTATAATACATAAGAAGAAATAGAAAATAAAAGCAGGAATCGCGAATTTAGCACTAAAATTATGCCAAAGCGCCATTATTAATCCAACCAAATAGCGATGGTGCATGGAGTACTAGACTACAGGTGTTCTGTTTCAATGAATCCTATTGGTCGAGATCTAAATCATCGACCAATCAAACTTAATGCCTTTCGTGTTATACCAGCAGAGGCCTACTATTCATAGAATTATTTTATCCACAGAGCTGTAGATTTTTTAAATGTAATGGTATATGATTTATATAATACATTCTCCAACAAAGTGGGTCATCATGCTGCTCTTTATCCGAGGACAGATGCTACTGGTGAGGATTTACAACTTAATGCTGTAAGTTATCTCCCTTTGTTCTCCCTTTTCTCTGAATTCATTGGTAATTTAATGGTATTTCAAATTCTGAAAAAATTATAGAAAAGCCGACGCTCTCGATGCCACATTGTAAGCAAAATTCCATAGACATGTGATCATTGGATGAACATCATTTGGTATTTCAAAATTTCGAAAACGTAATGGAGGAATCAACATTTGTTATGTCAAATTGCGAGCAAAAATCTGTAGTTTTGTGTTCATTTGGATTAAGGTCATCTCTTATAGTCAATTGTTTGGTAGCGATTTCGCACTTTCTCTTCAATTTTAGGAATGGGGTATGAGATATTGGGCTGAGGAAATCGAGAAAGAGAAACTTATACTCGGTCTACCAACTTATTCGCGTACATTTACTATGAATACTACGGTTAACCAACCAGGAAACTGGAGTCTTAGTTCCGGGGTAGCGTTTACTACAGTAACTACAGCAAATTATTACGAGGTAATATAGCGATCATATTAAATTTGTTGCTCCTTGGTAGCTGATAGCGGTCAAACTGTATTTGTTTATCTATGGTATGGTTACAGTCGTCACATTACGTTTATTTATCTATGGCAGCTAATAGAAGCCGAGATATTTCTATCGAAGTATGGAAGCTGATATCGGCCACATTGATTCCACGGCTCATTTGTGTTTCGTTATTTCAGATCTGTAAAAAATTAAAAGAGGGTGAATGGACAGAAGGCTGGGATGATGAACAGAGTGTCCCATTCGCCTTCACAGGTACAGAATGGTCGGGCTATGATAATGAGAGAAGTGTTAAGGCTAAGGTATTTAAATAATAATTTTATAGAAGTTTCGTCCAAGAAATATTGTTTTTCCGATCCTCTTATAAACATACGTGTATTAAATGAAACATATTTCATTAGCAATTAGGGTTGATGCAAGAGTATTAAAGGTGCAACTGATCCTCATTTTTGTAAATTGTCTCGAGCAAGGAAACGTGGTATAGCCTTTAAACAAAAACCCGCAGATTTGTGCTAAAGGGCAGTAGGGAATATCTTACAGCTCCTATTATTTTGGTGCCACCTCGCTCTAAATTTCAGGCGGAATTCGTCAAAGACAACCAATATGGCGGACTGATGGTGTGGCAGTTGGCCTCTGACGATTTTCCAGGAACAGCATGTGGGAAAGGGAAATTCCCTATCGTTAGCGCTATGAAGAAATCTTTGGAGGGTTCCAGGGGTAAGAATTCAGTGTTCAGTCGCAATTTCGACCCATAAATGCCATTCATGTATTTTATTCTGGTTGGTTGCTTGGTTGCTTGGTTGGGTTAGATGAAAGTTAACTTTCGCTTCCAGCGGATGCTGATATCTCAACAAACTAGTATTTTATTCTAACCAATCGTGATAGATTTGATGATGCACAAAGCTTTTATCATTAACAGATCATGCGATTGGCTAAGTATTTAGCGAATTAGAAATCAAGATTGGTGATGAATCCTCAGATCACGGATAGAATAATATTATAGAGACACCATAAAATGATAACAGCTATAGTATGATATTTTAATAACATTCTTTTATAGATCGGAGTATGTGAAGCTCTACTTGTATATTTCAGATGAATGTCTGCCAGGCATGTATGGTCATGTTAATAGAAAACGTTGCTTACCGTGTCCTAAAAATACCTATCAACCAGGACACAAGGCTATTTCCTGTCTCGATTGTCCAGATGGCATGATAACCAGATTTGAAGGTGCAATGAGAAGAGACATGTGTATATGTAAGAGTTTTAATTTTCATCATTGTCCTGTATCCAACATCGTGGGTTCGGGGGAGAAAGGGGGGTAGTATAATTTAGAGGTCATGAAATGCTTTCAAAATTATTTTTTCCGCTTTTAAGTTTTGTCTGGGCGGAAATTGATGTTTGTTCACCGGACGATCCACATTACCGGTTTTGAGCAGCATTGGGTATACCACAGTTTCAATCTGTGACCTTTAATTTTCAGCTGAATGTGATTTGCAGCCTAACTACTGCTCTAATGGCGATTATCGTCCCTCGCCGATTGGTATACAATGTAGATGTTGGAGAGGATATCAGGGCCGATTCTGTGAAGAACAGATGGACATAAAACGTAAGTGCAATAATAGCTCTCCAAGACTGATCCTATCCAGTTCTTCAGACGTGATATACATGTACTGATGTGATATTGTCATATAAACAAGTGATATCACATCCGTCTATCACTGATATACATGTACTGAGGTGATATTGTCATATAAACAAGTGATATCACATCCGTCTATCACTGATATACATGTACTGAGGTGATATTGTCATATAAACAAGTGATATCACATCCGTCTATCACTGATATACATGTACTGAGGTGACATTGTCATATAAACAAGTGATATCACATCCGTCTATCACTGATATACATGTACTGAGGTGATATTGTCATCTAAACGACGATATCACATCTGTATATATCACGTTTGAGGAACTGGTTATATAGAGTCAGACATCTTGGGCTAGGGTAACAAGACATTTCGGCAGCTGATTATGTGGCATCTTGCAGCAATTGTGGTTTAAAATTTCGGAACCCATTTTTTCGGCATCTGGTCTGTTCAAAGCTTCACACATGCTGATCTGTATGGTCTAATTTGGCATCTGTCAGCTAGACTGAAACATGTTGACTTGACGTGTTGAGCTCATTTATGACATTTGCCATCATCTTTTAAACTCTGTGACACGTATTTAGTTTCTACTAGTGCATTTTTTTTTATATCGATCGAAGGCCTTGTTCATTGAGCTTGCTTATTTTGCTAAAGTCTTTTTTTTTTAGAGTTAACACACATTATCCTGATGTGGATATGTATCCGAAACATGTGTCGACAGCATTAGATCGGCTCTTGTCCATCAGACGCTTTTGATTTCCTTTCTTGACTCTTCTATGAATTTTTTCTTCATCATCCCTGTCTTTATCTTATCGAAATTCAATGTAATGATATTTTCAGGTGAGCCAATGAAGCCAATGTTAAGAATGGAGATTATAACCTCATCCTTTGCTATGGCAGCCTGTCTCTTGTTGTTTATAATGGTGGTCATATTAGCTTGTATATGTAGACGGTAGGTATCGGCTTTTTATTACCGATTTACTCTGGGTATCATGACCAAGGCTCTCACCATGCCTACCAAAATTAAATTGTATTTATGGCACCGTTAATTTAAAAGACATATGCAGACATATACTGAACTTTTTTTAAATATCGTTAAACAATTCAGGCTCGAAGCTACAGTGGGGTATTTTTCATTACTTCAACTAAAGACCATATCCCATTACCCCTCCGAATATATTAGCCCCTTTCCCCCAAAGGAAAATCAAGTCTGTCTACGGATGAGGATTTGTGCATCCGAAATACGTTTCGCCAGGAAACTAGTTCTATTTGATAAGCATTAATAGATAGTATAATGCTGTTGTTTTTTCAGATTGTCGGGAACTCAAATGAAGTATGTTGTAAGTTCTAATGGTGCTTACAACAAATAGAATTGCAATTTGAACCACCTGAATTACATAGGCACCATCTTTCAAGAGCAGTACTTGCTGCATCAATTCGAATCTCGTCTGTAACCTAATGATTAATAACCTCTTAAAAACTACCTTTGATCTTTGAGTGTTGTCTGATTTCAGAAGCTCAATCAGGAGTAGAAAAGTAGGACGTAAAACTATCTTTTTATGAATTCGTTGACCAGTAGCATCACTTTACATGGAGTATTATAACCCGTCAAAAATAGAATCTGATCTTGATTTGTATATATATTTTGTATTTTGCTATTAAATTTTGAAAGAAATATATTGTTATGTTCAATACGTGACCATTTTATCACTTTTTAATGCATTGATATATACGTGGGCTTCGAGATCAATTTATTTGTTGTCTTACTAACTTAAAATAATATAGTTATGTCCCTTTAATAAGTCCCAAGATTCGTTGCATTTATTCGCTTGTTAATTATTGTACTAGTATATTCTAGGAATACTACCAAGGCCCAATTTTCATGTTACCCTATTCCATCGTATTTTTGCTTCGTTTTGCTTTTTTTCATCATGGACACCATGACAACGTTGCGCTGCCTTCAAATGGGCTGCCGATATGTGTACTTTGATCCACTTGTCTGTTCACTCCTCTTTGCTTTCGACTTCAATTGTGTCTAAAAGTTTGGACTTGGACTATGTAATAATAATAACATATGTAATAAGTCATACCATATTGAACGGATCTGTCTCTCCTTTATTAGTGTTAATAAGTCTATCGATTAGCACAGTACGTAATCTAACAATGACCGATTATTGAACAGTATCACAATGCGAAACAGTTTGACTTCTGAAAAATTGTTACAGCACGGTATGAAACATTTAGGAACAGTTTGGTCAAGGTGTTATTGGTTTTAACACTGGTATTATACTATATAGACCTGTATTTAATTACCGACTCTCAATTAACACCTTTCAATAATTACAATTAACTATTGTCGTCCTAATTATACACTAAGGAATATCACCACTTCAGGCTAATTTGTACAGAGCTGCTAAGTTGATACACATAGTCCAAAACATGTTCCTACTTATACAATGACCCCTGATATTCAATTTAGAAGGATAAACTCTACTGTCGGTAAGTGTCGTTAAGACTATTACTTTTAGGAATATAAAATTTTTGAAATAAAACCTTTTTGCAATTTATGAGCAACAGAGGTTCCAACTTTATCAAAATCATTTTTAATCCTTGAATAGACGAGATACGTAGTCCAGTCAGGTGTACGGTACGGTGTGGGATTATCGATACAGTTGAAAACAAAGAAGTTAAGACAGGAGATACGGACAAATTTCAGAAATAGGGCTGAAAAACTCCCAAGTTAATATTGACAGGCGTCTTGTCAATTTATTTTGCAAAACTTGATAGGCTACCGGTACTAAGGTAAGTCTGACAATTGTTGATTCAAGACATATTTGATCTCATTGAAATTGAGTTGGAAAGTTCATCAAAACCTACACTCAAAACTTACCGATTATTTGGTCTGAAGCCTTGGGTTAAATTATAAAGAGTTGTCTGCCCCTGATAGTGTGAGAAGACAACAGATGGCGCTCAATCAAGTACCTGCCATTTATGGCTACAAACTGAGTGGGTCAAACAGTGATGAACGTATAGGCATGTCTGCCTCAACTCATTTACACAACAATGGAGTTTCTTCAACATATCTTTAGAAGGAATAATCATGTAAGGTTTAGATGTCATTTTTTGGCATGAGGAAGTATAACACGTTGAAAACTTGAAGCTGTTGTAAACTAGAAAAACATATTCTTTGATGTTGCCGCGTTGTTTACAAGATTTCAAGAAAGCCGAGTGAATGGACGTGGGATAATAAAATGTACTATTTTCTTGTCAGTGTCCGGATGTAAGTTTTGTGGGTCAGCCCTATCTAGGACTTACTGATAACTCCACTCCTTATAACGTATATATTCGTCATTTCAATTTGGTTAGGAGTAGTAAGGGCTGTAACTGTAACGTAAGGCCCCTTGTCTTGTCCATTTTGTGAAGCCATCCATTGACCATTGAAATAAGTGGTAAGGAAAGTTTGAAGAAAAATTTGATAGGATTTTGTTAATTGAAAAATTCAGTTGTTGATGTCATTTAATTAAGGACAATGTGATGATATTTTGTCTGTTTCTTTTTCAGGTTAAAGGTTTTTCCTCTTTGTATCAATTACTGAATAGTGGAGTAGTGTCAATTGTAGGAAAATTAAACTGTAGGAACTGAAACTGAAGAAGATTGTGAAATTGTATTGGATTATTACAAGTACCGGTAGTCCTGATTCTGTAGGCTACCTTTGATACTTTCTATGAAGCAGTGAATAAAGCCGTAGCCTAGTATCAAGTGTTAGAGAAGAAAATTAAAGGAACCCTGAAAGAGGGTGTATTGGATTATTACAAGCAGTCCTGAATCTATAGGCTAAGAATTAGTGTGAAGCAGTGAATAAGGCCTATCCTTCATCTGATGATTAATTGGATCAATTGTTTGGATTAAGAGTTTCTTTAGTAAAGGATCAATTAAATGATGAGTGAGTGATATAATTAATAATGAATCACTGATACTGGTGTAGAAATATGGGTAGCAGCTCATCCATACAAATAGTGATGGTTGGTTTAGACCTAACTGGTAAAACCACCATATTATATCGTATGAAATTCGGACAGTATATGAACGCCATTCCAACAGTGGGCTTCAACTGTGAGAAAATCGAAGGAAAAGTTGGAAAGTTAAAAGGTGTTTCGTTCACGATATGGGATATAGGTGGTAAGGATAACATGAGACCATTGTGGAAATCGTATTTACGATCAGCTGATGGGATTATATTTGTTGTGGACAGTAGTGATAAGGAGCGAATGGAAGAGACTCGGATCGAATTATATAAATTTGTGAAATCACATAACACCTTAAAGTTACCGACTTTAGTGATAGCTAACAAACAAGACTTGCAAGAGGCATTAGATCCAGATGAAATTGCTAAAATGTTATCGATTCAGGATTTAACAATGACCCAACCGTGCCACTTTTTACCAGCGTGTGCAGTGACAGGAGAAGGGTTGACCGAAGCTATGGACATAATGTATGAAATGATAAAAAAGTGGAAGAAAAGTAAACATGCAAAAGTTGCGAGGTGATATTAATATTGTGTATCTGTGATCTCTATAGGATATTATGTACTCAATCTGATTAAAGTACAGATCTAAATATGTTTGTTTAAAATTGCCCTCATTGCACACTGCTTGGTGCCCCTATCTTTATTCCTATTTCTGGAACCATTCAATTTGCTTGCATTAGGTTATTTCAAATATTCAATGTTATGAGTTGTTGTAGTTGTCATCATACAAAGTTAGTTATAGGAAAAAATACATCAATATTTAATGAGGATAGATATCCAATTAGTTAGGATCTTGCGCTTGTTTCCTTTCCCCTAGAATATCCTTGATCAAATCTTTTGGCAGTGAGGTTAAAAATTATACAAAATTTTACCTCTGTATTTTAATCAGATTGTTACGAACATGAACTTTCCAAGCTGTTAAAAATTCAGTATTTTTCATGTCTAGGATGAATATCGCATTCGTTCTAGTTGCTGATCCCATATATCATCAATATGTTTATCATGTATTCATCCGTTTCGCTACTGGCATTTAGCTTGTTACTTTAAACATCATTATTGTTATTAATCATTTTAATAATCACCTTCTCATTATCTTTATAATTAATGACTCTAATTAATAGTTTGATAGGTATAGACTAGCTGTCATAGTTTCAATTATCGTTGATATAGGCCGTCACAGTTTCAATTGTTGTTGATAGGTCAAAGGCATTATAGTAAATTTGCTGATAGGTACAGACTGCCACAGTCTCAATTATTGTACGGTAGTGTTGAGGTGAAATCAGAATTTAACTCATAGTAAGCGCGCCTTGGTCCAAAGCAAGGACTATTCATTTACAAGTGTCGGTTAGCTTGGTAATGTTTGTGAGATATACTCATCTAATTCTCTTTGCTGATAAAGCAATGTATGATATTACACAGTCTTACACAGTCTCAGTCATAGTTCTGGGTAGGAAGGATTTAAATATCTAATTATTCATATTTACCCGTCTTGATAGCATTCAAGTGAATCAAACACTTTTCCGAATGAATCAGGTATATTTTGGTTTTAAAGTCAGCAGAATGTAGTGGTTTTTGCTATGGACACTTGATCGTTTTCTTTTTAAACCACAAAATTAGTCCACAATTGAGTTGATTTGAAATAGGCTTTTCCTAAATTCGACATATTTTGGTAAAAAATTTCTTTAATTGTGTTTGAAAACTGCATTTCATATAACACAAACATGTCACATGAGAAAAACAAACACAGTAGGGTATATTGCATAAATACAAACTGTGTACAAAATTAGATACAAGCATTGATGCATGCACTGAATGTAAACAAGTCAATTGCAAATTAGTCTAACCATGCACGATATCAAATTTATACTCATGAAAGATTTCCCCAAACTAATAGAGAAAGAACTCTGCATGTTTAAAGAAGTTTATTCCCATCTGACACAAATATTTCTCCAAGAAATGGTCTTTATCAGCGAATAGTAAAAGTGTCAAGTTTTTTGTACCGTATCGCTTGCTTGTAGGATCAAGATATATCATCTAAACGTAGTTGCATATTATAACTCTTTTCTACCTCCAAACTGTCCCATCTCCTGTTGAATTCACTTGTACAGTTTTCAACATGGAGCTTTTCAAGCTGCACTTATTATATAACTTGATCCAATTTATAAAGTTATTAAAGGAATACTTTGTCTTAGAATGAACATAAAATTTAAGAATTTTAAATTTGGCCAATTTATAAAGTTATTAAGTAACAAAACACAACTTTATGGCGTAATACACCTGAGATGCATTTAAACTGAAGACGACCATGTAAATTTTTTAAACACATACAATAAAACTCTGGTGTGGTTTACCATTAAATTGTGTTTTCTTATTTAATGTGATCTCTAATCTCTACCCCCTAAATGTTGCTTAAGGATTATTGCAAGAGTTAAATTTCATGATAAAACTATAACTTTTGAGGTAACACCACATAGTTTTGTGTGTTTTTTTCTTTTTTTATTGCTGAAATTTGTTGTGGAAAATTAGTTGCTCTGTAAGATGCTTACAGTTTTTCTGATCATGGATATAGAAATAATGGTTGTGCTATTTAAGAAGTTTATTTTTGTTTATTTGTATACATGTATTATTATTTATTCATTGTTCATCATTTGTAAATAATTCTCATGGTTGTGTTCAGGTTGATTTTCATCAAATCATAATATTGTTACATATATAACTCTTCTTACAATGTCAAGACAGTAGGCACTGATTCTCTATGTGAAATGTGATGTTTACATACCCTGTCTCCAGTTCTCAAAAAATGCTTCCAACAATGTCATATAACAGAAAGTTTACATGGACATAATCTTTGTAAGACATATAGAAGTAGGAAGGTTAACATTAAGAACACATGTTATATGGATATACTACTTCTAGTTTTATTACATACTACGTTTCAAAACACATACAGGTAACGTTATCAAGTAAAATATAATCTTTGTAAGATAACATCACCTGAATGTGTTTCGAAACGTAGTACCGTATGTACCGTAATAAACATAGAAGTAGTATATCCACATAACTTGTGTACTTAATAGTGTAAATGAAGTATATCAAAGTTTTAAATCATCATTGGTTATACCCTAATTCACTTATCAATAATTTAAATGAAAATTCGGTATTCATGACAAATTTATTGAAAGATTTTTTGAGAAAAAGTAGACCAGAGCTAATTAGTTATCGAAATGAATCTAGCTTTAAAAATGATTGTGACTGCTGAATAATTCAGTCTTCCAACTGATGAACAGACTGTTACTAATTTACTGAATTAATATACTGATATAAAGCATATACCAGCTCTGTATGAAACTTGGAATGATATGTGGGATTCACAGGAAATAAACACTGGGTCTAGGTTTGAAAACAGGGATGTTTGGTTATATTATTGGAAATCCAGTCACATGATTCAATTTTAAATAGTTTCTTTGATCCAACAATCTCTGCTTTCACAAATTTATCAAAGTGACTGACTATTTTATGTTGAGCCTCCTTATATGTGTTTTCTCTAAAAGTATATATATACTTATAGGCTGTACTAGGGACAAACAAAATTTTCAGCTCTTCCATAATTTGGCACAAAACCAGTATTAGGTATGAACCAATGGTTTGATTATCAATGGTCATCAGAGTGACCTGCTAATAATAGACCTATCATGAAAAACATAATTATAGAAATTTATGGATTTTGAACAGATGTTTTTCTATTATATTTAAAAATAAACATATTGACAATTAAATTGAGATAAACAATTCCACTGTAGCTATTATTCGTGAAGGCTGAAAATAATTTTTTGTCCACTTAAAGGGACAGTTTCGCCATCCATTTGACCAATTGTACTCAAGTCTCAGTAACAGGAATTTTTTAGCTAAGTTAAGCAGTAAAATAGTGTTCACAGCTCACAGTCAAAAATTTAGCCTTCAATTCCAGGTATTTCCAGAATTGTCTGTGTAAATTTGAAAATTAAAATGAAGACTCGTCATTTCATGAGACTCTGCCATATGTAGAATAGACATACATGTATATAGAAATAGAGAGTAAACTTTCTAGAAGACTATTTACATATATTCACATATGAATCAAATCAACCAAAAAATGGCAAACCTGTCCCTTTAAAAGCGCTTATGTATATATATATCAGTGACATGTACAAAGTCCGTTTGTGCCATTCGTTTGACATGATTATTTCATTTAAAAAATGCCACATTAGAGATTATTTTGTAAAATGGCTCTTGACAGTTCTAAAAGAGAAAGACAGCTTATTTACAACTTTACTTTCAGTTTCTATTCAGTACATAAAGAGAATTACAAATGACATTCCTGTTATTGCATTTGTATAGTGAAATATTGATCTTTGTAGAATCTTATTCCAATTCGTTGATGCTATTGTAAAAATAAAAATATATATTTGAATTATGTGGATGTTTTTCTTTGTTTCATCTTCTCTCTTCACTTCAGGTCATTGCATGGCATCTGAAGAGAAAATAACTGGAAATTCTACTCCTGATTAGGCTTATAAATACTGGCAGAGGGGGATGTTGACAATACCATATTACATTGGGCAATGTTGAAATTAGAAATTTTTCAGAGATAAATTCTCATTCTTAAGATTTCAAAATAATCCCTATCCATAAAAATATTGGTGTGTTGAAAATCTTTCTCTGTGATATTTTGATCTAGACCTGGCTGGGTCCCTGGCATTGTATTTGCATGGAGCAGAAGTTGGTAAGAACCTAAAGCTGTCGAGAAACAGATAGGAACTGACAGTTTCTTCTCTGATTTCTCTATTACTATTTGATGTTCCTTTTTCAAAAATAAATATTAGGATCTATCTGATTGTATGGACTTGTAGACATAGAAACACCATTCTTACGACAAAAATTATCTTCGAATGATGTGAAACAGGAACGAGAAGTTGGCAGGCTCCTATCGAACTTTTCACCACTGTATTTATATTGAGATAGAATCAGTTATAGCAGTACATGTTTAATGTAAGAATATGACCTAGTTAGTTGGTGTAAGATGTGACAGGTGTCAGTATAAAGAAATTACAGGTATTTTAGTTGACGAGGTTTACCTTGGGAGTATTTTGGTTGTGACTATAATTAACCTATATACCTATATAATAAATAGTCCGAAACAGTCTGACGCTTATATAGAATCTGTTAGCAAAGTGTCTAAAAAAAAAAAAAAAAATCTAGTCTGTAGCCTTACTCAAGATTAAGAAAACTGTGTCATAATTATCTGACTCCAAAGATCCGAGAGTTTTAAGATAAGCCACCTTCTGATGTAAGAGGGGCATAGTATTTAGTCTATCGTGTAGAGAATTCCTTTTAGTGGATGGAGGCTAATGCCGCTGTCCTGGCAAAATTTCCCTCATCGCACCCTGCATAGTGTTGCCCATCTTCATTAGCCATCATGTTGCAGAAAAGCAGGAAGTAAAACTCCATTCATTTCATTTTCATTTTTTTACTGGATTGAAAATTCAAAAACTAATTTAATTAACTTGTTTAATAGAGGCCTGTATTTTCACCCTCATTGATATGGCCTATGTCTGAGGAAGTCTCATTCCAAAATAGGCTACCACAAAAACTTAGTTGTCGATGCAACATGTTTCGGACTAATCAGAACAATATTACAGAGTTATACAAGGAAAGGTGTGAGATATTAAGTCTGGTTAATAATTCTACAATTAATACCTTCTATTGTTTACCTGTAATTAATGTATTGTGCAGGTACTTGCTGACCTTGTCAAAGGTCATTTAATACCCATTGTCCAGCCTGTTATTATGCAATATGACGTTCAAGCAACTATATAAGAAGTTGTTTATTAGCCGAGATGAATGTGTAGGTGTTCAGGTTACGTCAATGTAAATTAAAATCGTGTCGCCCTATTTAACAAGTTTTTTACCTTTAGGCATTTTTTTAACGGAAGGAAACATCAGCTAGTTTATATGTATATGACTGCTAAATATTTATCACGTTCAGCACGAAATGAATATCTTTCCGTGTTCTTCAGGTTCAGATTCGGAGCTAGTTCTAAAAATTTAAAAGATAGTTGGTTTATTAGGCGTGGAACTGCCCTTGGAAAAGTATTCCTCTTAACCCGAGTAAATCAAAACGAGGAAAGCAGGAATTAAATCCAATTTCATTAGTCCAATGAATTACAAAATCTGCAGAAAGGCACTGTTAATTGTATTGAGAGCACATCTAGAATATTTCTCGGCTTCAAATCTCTTCATATAATAAAACCCCATTTAGTAAACCAGTTTCTAGACATACAATATTGCTTAAATATTTAATCTGAACAAGAGAACGATAAGGCTGAAGTGAGAAACAGAGTTTGTTAGAAATCGATTTCTACCAGACTATCATAATATATAGATTATGCTTCTATTTCTGTATAGTATACTATACTGCATTATTTATTCTTATATCTTACTTCGCTGGCTTTATTTTTAGTCTGAATATTGCAATCTAAAATATCGTATAAACCAAAATACGTCAAATGAATTGTTCATAAGACTGATCATACAATTCATAAGACTGATCATACAATTCATAAGACTGATCATATGGTTCATAAGACTGATCATACAGTTCATAAGACTGATCATACAGTTCCTAAGACTGATCATACAGTTCATAAGACTGATCATACAGTTCATAAGACTGATCATACAGTTCATAAGACTGATCATACAGTTCATAAGACTGATCATACAGTTCATAAGACTGATCATATGGTTCATAAGACTGATCATACAGTTCCTAAGACTGATCATACAGTTCATAAGACTGATCATACACATATCAAAGGAATAATTTGTAAAAATAAGGTAGATAATTCTTCTGCATCATTATTTATTTTTATAGCTTACTTCGCAGGTTTTATTTGTTGTAATCTGCATACCGCTATACTAGCATATTATCGTCTAAACAAAGACATAAAGAGAATATGATATTGATACACATATCAAAGGCATAATTTCAAAAAAATTAACACAGACAATCCTTGTATATCATTATTTATTCTTACATTGTACTCCGTTGGTTTTACTTGTGTTTATCTGCATATTGCAATCTTTACTATAAGGATATGGATTCTTCAAGTCGTCGCGTATTACGCTATACGTCATATACTGTATATTGTATATATCACGTGGGTGGCGCACTGGCACTTTAAATATATTAGTCAACAACCAAACCAACAACACAGAATCATCCAATTTGAACCAATCCAACTACCAACTACTACGACTACCAACTACTTAGTTTGTGATATCAGCATATGCTGGAAGCAAACGTTAACTTGTCATCTACCTACCAACTTAAATATATTTAAGGTATTCTTTGATTTTAATGTATCATAAGCATCTGGATCAGATTGTAGAAATGAAAAAGTCTGCCATCTGGTTGCTATCTATATTGAGTGGCATCACAGAAGAAACCTGGTATTCATTCCTTAGATTCCCTTATCAAACCTGCCATCTACACAAAAACAATCATCACAGCCAGAACATAAATACTACCAGTTGGATACATACAATACTTAAAGGGCGATAGTCTGGATATTACAGTATGAAAAACCTTTTGAATGTAATATGTTCTATCTTAAATGGCTTACAAATAGAAATCAAAAGAAAATTTGAAGCAAATTCTGAAATCTTCGATATTAAAATGATTTGATTTGCGAAATATCTTTTTTCGTGTTTTTTTTTCTGTAAATGTCCATGATATAGTACTTTTTTCCAAGTAGAGACATAAAAGCCCGGGTTCATTAAAGGATTGGACAGTAATCGTAAACATATTAGAATCATATGATAACAGACAACCCTACTTTAATGCGAATAACTCCACACATAGTTCATCTTTTTAATAGGTCAAAGGTCAAGACATATCTACATCTTTCTCTGTATTGAAAGTAAACATAAATTGTTTGCCTTCCTATTGTTTTCACTAGAAGGGATGCTGGGCTAGGTCAGGAAGGACAATAAGGGACGCAGTCGGGGTCGAACTAGACGACGTATTGGTCAATAAAATCCAGTTGAATATATTGACCTGACATCACCTGAAAATGATGATATCAGGTGTCCGAACAATAGGTGACCCGTTTGTCAGGGGTCATTGCTTGGTCCGTTAGTCTCTCGGGTATATTTGATAGCCTTTTTACGGGCTTTACGACAGGACAAGTCATGAACATTATAACTGTAAATCTAGATGTTTACGATGCTCTGCTTAAAACTAATACGACCCTGAAATACCTGTATCTTGTACTTACTTTATGACCCTTGTTGAATTGCACAGTACACACAATAACACAACCATCAGTCAGCGGGTTTCATAGATAAACGGGTACCTGTGGTATGTTAATGGAGGTCTTTAGGTACCTTCCTCCCGAGATAACACTTTTTACAAAACAAAATAGATTAATTATCCTTTGTTTATTTAGATACATGCTGACATTTCGACGGATTATGGACAAAGATTTTGAGATTTCGAGAGAATCTTTGAAATATTAAAATAACACACAATATTTAAACTGTCAAGTTGCATTGTTTAGTGAAATATTAAATCAGATGTTAACTCGCTATCGAGATTTCTGTCTACAAAAGAATGCTTTTAGATAAAGTGCTGTTGACAAATGGTAGTTGTGTGATCCTAATTTGATTATTTCGCTTTCTTCTTACACAAATCTTTCATTTACAACCTATATGAACTCAATCGAGAGTTCTGCAACCGTATTATATTACCAGAGAGAGAACAGCCATTCACTGTCCTCTTATGTCAAATGATTAGGATTTATGTCTCAGCTACGATATCAGTTATTCCATTACTTTCCATTACCCCATCTCCATAACAGTTATCTTCTCAGTTATCATATCATGTCTCTGTCTCAGTTACTACACCATTACCCTAACTCAACAGTCTTATCGCTACTCTATCTCAGCTATCTTTCCATTACTCTAGATCAGCTATCTTACCATAACGCTACATCAGTTATCTTTCCATTACTCTATCTCAGTTATCCTACCATTTCTCTATCTCAGCTATCTTATCATTACTCAAATCTCAGTTATTTTTCCATTACTCCATCTCAGCTATCTTATCATTACTCTATCACGGTTATCTTACCATTACTCTATCTCAGCTATCTTACCATTACTATATCTCAGCTCAGCTATCTTACCATTACTCTATCTCAGATATCTTACCATTACTCTAGATCAGTTATCTTACCATTACTCTATCTCAGCTATCTTACCATTACTATATCTCAGCTCAGCTATCTTACCATTACTCTATCTCAGATACCTTACCATTACTCTAGATCAGTTATCTTACCATTACTCTATCTCAGCTATTTTACCATTACTCTATCTCCCATATCTTACCATTAGTCTACATCAGTTATCTTTCCATTACTCTACATTAGTTATCTTTTCATTACTCCATCTCAGTTATCTTACCATTACTCTATCTCATCTATCTTACCATTACTCTATCTCAGCTATCTTACCATTACTCTATCTCCGATATCTTACCATTACTCTACATCAGCTATCTTTCCATTACTCTACATTAGTTATCTTTTCATTACTCCATCTCAGTTATCTTACCATTACTCTACATTAGTTATCTTATCATTACTCCATCTCAGTTATCTTACTCTGCCCAGTTATCTGAGCCAAAGGAAGGATATTGAAGATATAAGGATCCGGATTAAATTCACTAAAAAGTAATCTTGTAATTTGAGTAAACATTGTGAAATGAAATAAATGTATTGTGTTTGAGAAGATATCGGATGTCAACGATGTAATGCATTTATCATGTTCCTTCTGTTTTTAATGGAAGTATTGATGAAATTAGATACAATAATCTCTTACAAACAGGCTGTGAATCCCTCAGCAGTTAGGAAAAAGTGGAATATTTCCACAGTCTCACACATTTCTTTATATGATTGCATGTTACATGTCGTTTTTTTTTTTATCTGTAGGACAATACTAAACACGAAATCCGCGAATAATGACACACACAGACAAACGTAACCCCATTTCCGCTAACTCCACCACGGTCTATGCAATTAAATTGTTATTTTATACAGTTTGTGACAAGTTATAGTCCAGGTTTATTTCTGGTTGTAACGAATTACTTGAACGTGGGACAATCTCCAGTTACATTCAATTCATGTTACAAGCTTGGCTGATTTTAAAGTTCTATGAAATCATTTAAAGAAACCCGACACTACCCATCCAAACTAAAATTGGTAAGTCAAGTCATTAGAGTCAATAGGAGTAGATATAAAATGAGTCCAATAGAACTTACACTTTCTTTTTTTTTTCTTTTTTTTTCAGGTCTTCGAGGTTTCCAACAGATAACAGATAATCTAACCAAACCAAACCAAACCAACGACTACCATTCAACTACCAATCAACAAGAAAGATCAGAACGAGTTTGGAAGAATGAAGGAGACCGAGTAACTCACGCCACACCATCCAGGGCCGAGTTTCACCGCCATGTCATTCGACCCGACCAGATCTAACGAAGAATCAACAACCAAACCAACAACACCGAATCATCCAATTTGATCCAATCCAACTACCAACTACTACGACCACCAATAACTACCTAGTTTGCGATATCAGCATCCGCTGGAAGCGAACGTTAACTTGTCATCTACCTACCTACCTACTTACACTGTCGTTGCGTTTGTTTGTACCATTGTTTTCAATTGAAGGCGTAGGCTATCGTACGTCGGATTTGTACTCTGTAATAACACCAATAGCCGAGATTGAAAGTAAATGCTTTGACGACTTTATGTTAATAAGAACAACAAGATTCAAGTTGCTTCAGATTATGTTACATTCTATATACAATATCATGTAAGCGTGAAATGATTTTTTAGAAACTTAGCCTGTGCATAACTATTGTATTGAAATGCATCGACTGGCGTGAAAATCTTGTAGACTATACAGTAGTTGTGAAAGTATTGTATTGGTATAAATCGCAATCCAACTGCAACAACTTTTAGAAAATCTCCGTGTATTGGAGTGAATTATCATCTTCACAATTGATGTCACGTTTACTCCACCTGTATAATTTTATGATAATCATGTTATCATGTCAGCAGACGTCAGTCTATGAGTATATATACAGGTATTTATATTATCTCATATCGACTGGTGTATCCCATTGTTTCCTCATCATGATATCCTTCCTTTCCGTCTGTAACTAGTTGAGTCATAGTCATGTTTAACCTCTGATAATTTTATTGGGCATCTTTTCTCACGATCATCCGGTTAAACTCTGACATCTTTCAAGTAGAGAGAGGGGGGAGGGGGGCACAGGTTTTTCTTTCACTATGCTATGTGGATTGATTACAATTTTGAAAATGGAGGGGGGGGGGGGGTTCAAAGCCTACCAAAGACCAAACACAAAGCTGTATTGATAGCCACCAGAGGCAGCTGGAGAGTAGTAGCCAAGTTTCAGACTGGTCGATAACTACTGTCCAGAAGAATAAGAGTTACGCAAGTTTTGCTTAAGTCAACGAATGATTAAATACGTCTCAGAGACATTGTAATCATCAGCATCTTTCGAAATAGTCCGAGCTGTCCACATACTTAAAAGAGGCTTGAGTCAACAACGCACATGATGGACTTTGTAAGAGTCAGGAACTTTCGGCTTACATGTAGGATGGGATATCGTTCCTATAGGTTATAAATAATGTAGGATATCTCAGATAGATAAAATAGTAATAATAACTGACAGTTGTAACGCACGACAACAATTTTTCTATTTTCTCAAGTTATTTTCTCTCCACTAAGAATTAGATAGAATCAACAATGTTTGAATGATTGAAACAACAATCTGAATATAGACATAGATACATCAGCCAAGTTGTCTTGTCTAAAAATTCATTTAGAATGGTCCAACACCATTGGAAGTCATGAAGTCTGAATCGTATACTTCTTCTCTATATTCCGTAATGGTATATCCGTAGTGTATCACTATAGGATGTATCACTGGGATGAAGAGGTATCAACTGGGATGTAGAGGTATCACTGGGATGTAAAGATATCACTGGGATGTAGAGTTATCACTGGGATGTAGAGGTATCAACTGGGATGTAGAGGTATCAGGTCTTGGTGAAGCACACCCTGTCCTTCCAAACCTCCAGTCTCTTGTTAATTTCTTTATAGTTGGGCACACAAGATATCTAGCAACTGTCCTTAGCTTCATAGTCAGAATAACTGTTTGGTAGCCAGTCTCATAAAGTGTATGATTCATAAAATATCATGAAAAAGGATTATTAAATCTGTTTTTCGGCTTCCTTTTACACAATTCGAAATTTAAGCGAGGCGTAGAATTTCCAACAAAAATGTAAGTATAGGCCTATGTCTGTCTGTAAGTTATTATAAACTGCATTTTGGTTCTCATTTTTAGAAATTTCTGACTTCACTTCCGGTTATTGTTATTTCATCATGAGAAATACAGAACTATCATTTCTAATGGGATATTATTCTTGTTTAAAAAACTATATTTCAATGATATTTTTTTTTATCTATTTAAGCTATCTTCATCATTATTCAACGCCTTGAAGACAAATTATATTATATTATCTGACCTTCATTAGACTCATGGTAAATATTCACACGGTTTCAATATTTCATCTTTTTTCCCTTTGTACTTCGTAGATCCAGCACTTCAGCTCAGAATATATACATGGTAGAATAGGATAAAGGAATAGATTTGTGCAGTAGCATTTTTAGGGGGTGGGGTAATTCCCTCGTAATTTTTAAATTTATCTCAGTCATCTGAAATCCATTGGTTTCTAAGAGTCTCTGCGCAGCCCCAATAGCCCTGGCCCCTAAGGCATTTTCTAGATACACCCCTGGATTCGTGCTAATATTTACAACATAATTTTAGCTACATTTATATCTTTTCAAATTTTCAAATTTTATCGACACCATCTACACTTTGCATGGAAACCCCACGTGAGATTTGTATTCTGTAAAATTCCAATTCATTTTATTACAGTTTTTATTGACGAAATGGTAACATGTGTGATTGGCAGGTAAAGGTTAGAAATATTGGTTTTTCCAAACAAATGTGATTAAGATATAAAAGTTTACTATTTAAAGATGTGGGAAAAGAGCTTTATCTCAATCGGTTATAGTCATTTGCCTTCTTAAAGATGGGTTTCCTTATTTTTTACTGTCAAATTAAGCAAACTAGTTGATTAATTGGTTTCTGGGAACCTAACTTAATGGTAAATATATTTGTTATAATTCGGCCAGTGTCATCTTATAATGTGTAGGCCTAGGATACTCCGTGAAAGTTCGTGTTTCCCAGGTCGCAATTTATATATGACTATAGCGAAAGGTACAAAATCTCATTGCATTATATGTAAATAGAAACTGTTTACTTCAGTACTTGATTCACAACAATAAGTTTAGACCATGAAAAGAAGTTGTCGGTTGAGATTTAAATTTGAAAATCACGTCATGTGAAATATCAACGTAGGTCTATTTAAAGAACACCACCCTGTTTTTCAAGTTAACGGTTTAGTAAATAAACAATACTTAGAGGCTAGCATCTGGCACACATATTAAAGGGATGATCTCAGGTATTATGATTCTGATTAAAATTAAGAGCTTATTGTTTCGTTCCGTGTCTATGGTGTAACTCTTAAATGAATTTATTTTACTTTTTGTTTTTCAAACATGCGTGGATATGTTTTGTAAGTTTTACTTTTCTTTGATGTGGCTTTTGCAAAAAGAGTACGCCATGCACTGTGCAATGAGGAAAACTTAACCAGCTGAACGCATTAGCCTTATCTATTTCGCTCAGGTGTAGTATACAATGAATTTCAAGGTAAATGCAGTAGACTACTTAAACAAGGTATTAGTCATCAAGCCAGGTGGTATAGTAAATATATGTAATCTGTATATTGCCGTGTATTATCATCAATAACTAACAGTAAAATATCGATATATAATGTGATTTATTGTAAAAGTATATACCTGTATATAGAGCCTACATACCTATCTGATTTCACATGACATCTTAGCATTAAGTCAGTAGATTATCGAGTAACTATTACTATTAGAGTTTTAATGGGATATGTATTGAGGTTTTCTAATCTTTTTATGTGTTTCGGGGATACTGATGGCTTCCTTTTGCACCATTCCAATTCCCGTAAGATGTTTGTGGCTCATTTAGTAATAGAAATGCTTGACCGTAAATTGTGTCATTTTCACTATTACACCATCAAACGCTCAAGACCAACAGACGAACAGACATCTGACTGGAAATTGGAATGGTGCAGATTTGTGCATCCTTTATAGTATGTATAGGTAAAAGTATATCCAAACCATCCATGTATATCCCAGCATAATTCAAGCTATTAGTTATTCATTAATGATTGAGAATTTGAGTTTCGCGTCATAGTGCATGGAGTATTCCCTATAGTAACTTATATTGGTATATCTATTAACAAATTTCTATATTATTGTCAAGTCCACCGCCACAATTTCACAGAAAAATGTTATTATCTTTTAGTTAGTAGTTATTAAGTATCGATAATGACGTGAAGCTTTACACCCTACTGTAAAGATTATTGTTGTAAGTACTATCTTCGCAGTTTCGCAGAAAAACGTTGGTAATCTTTACTGAGTAGTTATTGACTATCTTAATGAAAAACATAAATCATATGAAATAAAGTCGAGTTTTACGTACTACTGTTTAGAGTCACGTCTATCTATTAACAAATTTCTATATAAATGTTGTGTCTACCTACGCAGTTTCACAGAAAAATGTTAATAACTTTTAGTTAGTTGTTATTAAATAACGATTATCAATAAAGTTAAATGAAATGAAGTTTTACGCCTTCTTATTTATAACATGTCCTACGTATTTATCAACTAATCATATTAGATTATTTCTGTATATTTATGTACTTACAATATTTCTTAGTGTATAGTATATTGTATTTATAACTAAGGTGCTAAAATAGAATATATCAACCTACAGTCTTTCATAGAAAAATGTTATTTAATTTTATCAATTTATTGTACATGTGTAAAGAAACCATTTGAACAAGCTGTCGTTTCAATGTTCAAATTTCAGAAGTTTAACGATCAAATAACTACATTACTAGTAGACAGGGTGTAGATATGACTTCAATATTAAAACTAACTTCATAGTCTGCAAAATATTAGATCATGAACTTGTACAGGATCTTCTGGAAGCTATGTTCTATTTACTTGAAATATTTGATCATGGTGTAAAAGAAATACATGAAAGACGTAAAGTTTCAAATTATATTTATGTGTTTTTTGGTTTTTGGACATGTAACAGGTGTTAATCGAGCTTCTGATAAACGTTTACTATAGGTAAAGCTATACTTGATTTCTGAAATAAACTGTCAAAGCTTCTCAAACCTTTGGCAGATCAGATTATCAAAGATTGCAGACTTTAACAAGGTTGTTGATTGAGTATGAAATGATGGTATAGCTTCAAAACTGTTGTAAAGTGAATTGCAAAGCTTTAGCATTAGCCTGGTCTTCATATACTTAGCTTTGTGTATATCTTCGCAAAGGATTTTATATATACCGAAATCAAAGCAATTCATATAAAATAGTTGAAAATATTTGAATGTAGACATCCCGCCGATAGTCTGGGGTTATTTTCTGGTCATATAACTGTAAAAACCAACTTAATGCTCCAAGCATTTCACACGTTTACCACTTTTACCTTCAAGCTTCGTTTTATTATCTACTTCAATCATAAGTTATTCATTGCGATATTTTTTTTAATATCATTTCTCAATTTTATGTCCTTGATAAAAACAAATAGTTTTCAAGCCAGGCTATTTATTCTAATTTCTGATAAAATATAATAACAGACCTTGACCAAGTATAAAAGAACATTCATAAGTATTTTTGACCAACATAATTTGAAGGTATGTTTGGCCTTATTTTGAAATTACCCTTTCTGTGCTTTTCTTGCCTATTTAATTTTCTGGTCTTGAAAGGGCAAGAGTGGAAAGACTAGGACAAGAGTTTTCTCAAGCTGATTAGAAGAGTGATGCTTGCTCTAGAAACTTAATACATGGAGTCTAATACGAGACTAAAACGATTGATCAAACAGGTCTTTTCTTAATGCTATAAATGCTAAACGTAGGCGACTATCAGTGGATATCGAAGAAAGAAATTAAATCAGACATCTTCTTAAAGAAATATTGACATGATCTCCTTGTGATCTAGTCTACAACATCTTTTATTATCCAGTCGTTTGTCTGATTATCTTAGTAATTGGATTATTTTTAACAGATTCTTGTTAAATTTCACAATAAAATGTCACCTACTTGTACTCAGTTGAAAATTATAGAGAAAAACACAGCTTTTTGGATTTCTCTCATTTTATTACAAAATCGATTGTTGTTTTCCATCAAAGGTTTTTACGAGGCTTGACTTAAACAGTCGCATTAAAAGAGAACAATTTGAAATTCTAATGAAGTTAACTGATTTTTTGATTAGTTTTTCCTTGTAATTTTCACAGAAATCCCTGGTGTGGTTTAATTCTCAGTTCTCATTTAACTAATTGATCCTGAACTGACAGAGTTATTGTTCTTGTTTCAGATCGTCTGATCCTTTGTCTCCGGTCGTCTGGGTCTCAGCATGACGTTGTTATGACGTAATTTAAAACGAATAAAGATGAAATAACTCCAGACAATCTAATCAATATCATTCCAACCCCAGACGTCGTTCTTGAATATTGTAGTTGTGGTGGTTGAAATATCTTAAAAGTCCCACAGAACTTCACGTCAGATACTTCTGAAGCAGAGATCAACACGTAAACCTTGCACATAACCTTCCATTAGAATTTCAGATTCAATTCCATTATCATTTTGTTGTAGGTCTAATCCATGTCTGAAGGCTAAAAATGTGTTCTAAAACTTCATTTCTCCAGATTTCAGTTACGGTATTCTGTGGCGTTTGTAGGAAACACCAGGTGAGGAGTATGGGCATTCTTCCACCATGTAAAATGATCCAAAATTCTAAAATTTGAAAGTATGGGGCAGGGCCGGGCCAGTCTCTTTCTCGGTAATCCCAATGAGATGCAGAAATGTCATTGATAAGATAATAAAATATGATAATCTGTTGGTAATTCAAGGAATGTGTCGGATCAGAGATTAGTGGTAGATCTATTTATTCTAATAATCCGATTTTCTATTCAATCTCACAGTACGATACTCCATTATTCGTGAATACATCAGACCTTTCCTAGCTCTTATGTGGACATTTACATGGACCCCCGACTGTCGACCACGACCATAGTCCGGAACTGTTTCCATTCAATCACTCTTTACAGTTAATCTTGGCGATTAGGGTCCACGTTTAGGTTCAAATGATGCTAGTTAACTTATTTCTTTTAAAGAAAAAACTCATGCATGAAGCGTTATCATCTTTTCATAAATGTAAAAAGTACGGCGATGAATTTTAAACCATCAAAACTACGCACAAGAGTTAGAAAGCCAACCCAAAACATATCGAAAACCGATTACCACCAGTGGCTACCAGAGGCCAGATATAGGATCAGTAAGTCTCGGACTATTAGACATACTTCTTGTCAAGCAAACCTAATCAACCTTCAATAACCTCCACAGTAAATCAACACCTGATTACAGACATATTTTCACCCACTGATCCTCTTTATTTGTGACAAGTCAGTTGATGTTAATCCCCGACTCCGAGGTGTAAGAGGATTATTGGTAGAGCTGATCATATTGATGTCTAGAAAGTGAAAGTAGAGGTGATTTAACGACTTTTTACTAAGTATTAGAAAGGGGGAGCAATGTCCTCCCTGTGTCCTTGTGCTGTACTGTGTTGTGTTGTACAGTAGCCTACGTTGTGCTGTGCTGTTCAATCTCCTAACCTGTCTCTTGTCTTGATCTGTCTTCCCCCGACCTATCAATATTAGGTCCGGTCCGTAACTACAGGGGGGCAAGGGGGGCATTACCCCTCCGTAAAATGGATTGCCTCATTGAAAATATTTGACAACCAACCAATACCATTACTGCAACTGAACACCATACACCAGGCCTGTGCAACCTTTGGGGGATGCGAGTAGGCAGTTGACCAACTGGCCGTAGGTTGCACAGGCCTGCCATACACCATTGTCTCTCTAGATATATTACTTGCTCCTCCGAACAATCAAGTCTGACTACGGGCTTGCCACAAACCATTCCAACAGAACTAGGCCTTTCTTTGCCTTTGCTCATAGACCCTTCCTTGTGCTCAACCAATGAATTCCCTCCTCTTAAATTTCAATTCAAATGGATATAAATTGCACACATTTTATTCCAAAAAGGATTTGTAGCAAATATATTATCAAGATTAAAGTTAAAAGTCGTAAACAATTTTTTTTATATTTCTTGGTAAATCATTTCAGAGCAGGAAAGCTGAAGGATTATACTCCAGAAATAAATCTATTGTTAAGAAAACAATGGAGAAAATTCAAAAATAATAACTCTCAAGATTCTTTTATTTTCATTGATTTGTTTCTATACAAGACAATTTACGATCTATCATCTTCTATTTAAGGAATACTTCTATTTTCTAACAAACTAGATTGCCAGGGAAGCGTTTTGTCTTATAAAACCTTTTATTTTTATTTTAACGATTTATAACGACCTTTCATAAAAGTACTAAATGATCAATATGTGTTCCAAAAAGGGTGGATAGTTGCAGTCCATGATGTTTTAGAAGAGTGAGCCTTCCTAGCCCAACGACTGTTATTATTGCAGTGGTTCTCAAACGTCTTACTTGTATCCCTCTTCACAATGGTCAAGGTATTACGAACTGCGTCTTATACCTTGACTTCAATATTTTTATGAGTGGGCATCACAACTGGTACACCGTCCGTGTATGCACAACGAATGGAATTATCATAGGGGTTCTCAAGGTCTTACTCGTAAGCTATTTTATAGTAAATTAGCGAAATCCCTCGAGAAGCGATGACTCTAGCTAGTACCTCTCATTATGAACTAATACCACAATAATTTCTAGGTTAACCCTGTATCCTCCGGCTATTTCTTATTTATTTAATATCTAAGCCTACTTGATCAACATTATTAATCAATTTATAGGGTTAATCTTCTGAATATAAAAATGAAAAAAACAGTACACAACAGGTCAATAGCAAGGAGAACAACTTATGTTAAAAGCAATATTATAAACTGGATTCAGCTGAAACAACGCACAGTGAACGAAAAGCTTTAAAAAAGCATGAATGATCTTCAGCCTCTGTAAAATAAAACCCCAAATTTTAGCGGGTATTATTCTCTTCAGGAGTTTTCATCACAGATGCGAGAATCAGTGGATAGGTAGTTTTTCTAGAAGAAAACACCCGATTCTCACCTGAAGCATGAACTTTCTGAAAGTTATGTTCTCAAATTCATAAGATAGCAGTACGCGCATAAAATACTATAATAACAGTAGGCCTACGATCTTTGCAACGAAACAGTCGTTTCCCATATTTTCTATAAGGCTAGGATTCATTAATTGAATGAGGCGTAGTTGATTATTACCTACAAGACGTCATAAGGCCTGTTCAAGTAGGCTTGTATTATGTCATATGACATGCAGAGACTTAAGAGAATCAACCACTTTAATAACCTGCTATTGTTATCACTTGAACTAGAAACAAGAACCTATTTATAGTGATAACAATAGAACATATCTGTCTGTATATATCCAGACTTGTTATCATTTAAACTAAATTAACTGATAACACGGTAATATTTCTGAAATTCAAGTAAATAAGATGAAATGTACCACTCGTTAATCTCTATTTTCATTTTTAACTGCAGTGGAGTGTCACTGATAGCAATGTTTACAGTTAAATGCACGTAGCCAAAAGTTTAAGTTTTTCTCAGTCCACAGTGATCATCCCAGCTATATCAATGTAAGGGGTTCACAACAATATACGACAATATTCCCCTCTAACGTCGGGTTATGGTAGTGGAATAGCTTAAAATGTACCAAGCTTCTTCAGATATTTTGTTTTCGTATGACGCTGTAGAGGGCAATGAATTATAACGTAATATAGTATGTACAATAAAATAATAACAATTGTTTTACGAGGATAACAACTGACCCTTTTCCAAACCTCTTGTAATTGATCTTTCTCGGATTATCAAAAATGACTGGAAATTGCAGATTCTATTCAAACTAACAAAAATCTTTGTAGTAAATATCATCAATTAACCGACAGCTATCTCAAGGTCGCCGGGAGCATATCATCGAGAAGCTTCAACCCCTCACCCCCTCCCCAGAGCAAGGAGGATGCTGTCGAGACAAGCTACAACCCCTCACCCCCTCCCCAGAGCAAGGAGCATACTATAGAGAAGCTACAACCCCTCACCCCCTCCCCAGAGCAAGGAGGATGCTGTCGAGACAAGCTACAACCCCTCACCCCCTCCCCAGAGCAAGGAGGATACTGTCGAGACAAGCTACAACCCCTCACCCCCTCCCCAGAGCAAGGAACATACTATAGAGAAGCTACAACCCCTCACCCCCTCCCCAGAGCAAGGAGGGTGCTGTCGAGACAAGCTACAACCCCTCACCCCCTCCCCAGAGCAAGGAGGATACTGTCGAGACAAGCTACAACCCGTTATCCCTACCCTCACGTCCACTTCTTCCAAACACTTATAAAAGGTCATAACATATCTTCATGGGGTTATATATACATTAAAACTAATTGAAATTTCCATAATATTTTGTAATATGATTTGCTAGACAGTTTAGTTCTGAATGTTTACATTTCACGTTGAGAGTTTGTAAGAAAAATATACAGTGAGATCATTGTCCTTCTGTACACTTATCATTTTTCATCTTTTCTCCAAAAATACAGAAATCACGTTAAGTATATAAACTGTGTAATGGATAGTGATCGGGTTTTAACAATACAGGCCAGTTCACATCACGTCATTAAAATTTCGTTTAGATGTAGTCCGAATCTTGGCGACTCTCATCTTAGCTTAAGAATAGTTTAGCAGTGTCAAGAATATTCATCACAGACTACTGTGCTCATGCGTTCGTCGGTTTATTGAATTCCACCGATTATTTGCCTGTGAATAGAAGTATTATAAGCTTACATCTAATATAAACACACCCCCCCCCCCCCCCCCCCCCCCCCCCCATACACTTCAACCGAAAACGTCCCAATTCTGTGCTGGAAATTGTCTTCTCTTCGATGTACAGGTCACAGGTCAATGTTATGATGTGATAATATGCAGTAAAAATTTGTATAACTAACACACCCTTCTTTGAAGCATAATTTTATATTGTGAACAGTATAAAGGAGTTTGTTGGTTTGTGGTACATACCCACCTTTGATGTAAAGTGCATTATAAACAATATAAGTAATAAAATCTGCAGACCCTAGGCCTTACATCACCTGTATAAATACTTATTCATTGATTACATCTTACTGGTTAACGTTATCTACCTGCAGCTTTCACTTATAATAATGATGACATTGCACTGGTTAATGTTATCTATCAATTTTACTTTTGATTTATTTATTTCAGCATGCAGATAAGTGGTGTAAGCTATCAAACTGTTACACTATCTTACTATTACAGATTAAACTTGACGTGTGCATTTCACTAGGCAAATGATAAGAATAACCTATTTGTACAGATTGTAAACAATATCCTAATACCTGTAGTATCTGGTACAGTTAAATATAGACGAGTGACCCTTCTGCCGCCGCTTTGGCTCCGCCACTGGTCGATTCAGACTTTTAATAGAGTTCTATGTCATTCAACAGAAATCTCTGCCTTAGACTGATGGTTCCATCATTTGTATTCTAGCAGCATTAACAGATTAAAGTAAGTAACTGTAATTCGTACCAATAAATTGTTATCAGACTATTCCCAGACCCGACAGCTTATAAATCTTGACATTTCTTGGTCTTGAAGAGAAAAAGCTTGGGAACATTCTTCTGATTTCTATTACCAGATTAGTCCGAGATACCCAGAACCTATCTACAGGTACCTTGATTACAATAGCATCCCTTGTACGCCAGCTAATACAGCCAAACAAAGCCTGACAGACTGTTAATATTATGGCTTATTTTTACAGACTTTCTCTTGAGGCTCTGATTGGCTGTATTCACTTACGTACAATCTAATCAAAACGCTGCACTTACAATCTTCAAAAATACAAGAAAGGTGGCTTGTGCAGTCAAGGTATAAGAAACATTTCATGTTAGCTTGACATTTGAAAATGGTCAATTTCCTCGTCTACATATAGTGTAAGCTCACTGACATTATCAGCTACCAGGATCAGAAAGTTTCGGACTATTACCAGAAGTACCAGATATAAACTATCTTGTCTGTTTCTTTTACCCTGGGGTATAATCCACTTAAAAATTAACCATCGACAAAAAACGAGCGTCTCAAAGAACTAGTAGACATATGGGAATAAATTTGTGCAAGGGTTAAAATGCAGAGATCTTGCACTGGATTAACAAATTATTTTTTCGGCAATGTGTCCATTTGCGCTACCAGTCCAAGGCAACGAAATTAAATCAAATATTCAAAATGAATGGATAAGTGGAACGTATAGGTCTCTATTTCAAAAGTTAGTCTGAGGCCCCCAGTTTATCCAATTTCATGTAAGACAATCTTGAAAACTATGTCTCTTAAAACTAAAGAAGGGCATATCCGCATACTCTTGGAAAGTTCATAAGTGAGTTGATAATACGTTTTGGTATTTCTCACCGGTCAGCTGATTTTGATTTATGTTTGTTTTATTCCAAAAACTAATGTTTTCAATTTGAAATGGAATACCCTTGTTGTAATGGCGAGGAAAGGAGTATACAGTTTCAAACGATAAGTAGGCTATGTTTATCTCTGGTCGTGATGTACATTAATCAAAGGGAGATAATAACCTAATTATTAAGTACCAATTAAGTGATCAATATAAACATAAAATTAGTTTTATATTGAACAGACTGGTATATCTATCAATCAGACTGTATTTCGTTTTTCCTGTACAGATTATGCATTCAAGTGATACAGTCGAGCAATTCTGTTAAACAGCTGTAAGAATTCAATTTTTTTTTCAAAGTTTTGTATAGGATAATGATCGAGGACGAGTTTTTACCGAGTTGAAAAAGCCCGATAAACAAAAATGAATGCTGATAAGGGCTACGTTTAGCTAACCGTAACACTTGGACAAAAATTTTTAAAAGGTGGCTGTAATTTATTAAGGTTGGCTACGTCAATTGCACTCTAGTTTCAAGTTAACTTTATTTTTAATCCATAAAAGATACCGATGTTAGAGCTTCATTCTCAGAAGTGATACGGATAGCAAGGAAATAAGAAACAATATATCTTAACATTAATTGTAGGCGAACTCAACGTGGTATTTTCTCTGATTCAACTCTATCAATGGATAATATTGACGTCTTATCTCTTCATAAGATATATCTGCCAGGGGCCTATGGAGATGCATCAGCTGACAAATCAAATATTTAGACGGCTATATCCCTTTAAAAGTCATATTATCAAAAATGCATTACCAGCTGCCCTTCATATGTTTATCACCACAGAGAGAATGTAAAGGATTGAAAAGGCTTCTGTTGATAATGTACAATGCTAACCAGATGTTGAGGGTCTATAAAGACATGTTTAAAAATAATAAATATCAGGAAGTAATTTTAAAGTTTGATATTTAAATAAGAAATAGTAAAACGCCCTGAAAACTTTAAAAAAAAGTGTTTATTTTATTTATAAATCATTAAATATACAGCCATAATTTGGTTCACATTAAATTAAGCCTGATTTGGCCGCTTTAGACATAAGTTTTGAACAAACCAGGTCCGTAGACCAGTTTTAAAGGTTCAGGTAGGACATTTTTTGACTTGACCAATCATGCTTTAGTCTTAGAAACTGGATTTTTTTTTTAGCTGAGCAAATTAGTCATAGTGTTCGCTGCTCACCGTCGAAATTTGAGCCTTCATGTCCATGTGTGTCCATTGTCTGCGTTTGAATTTTCAAATGACGACTTGTCAATTTAAGATTCTCTGTGATATATAGAAAATATGAATATAGAAATGGTGAGTAAAATTCCTAGTTTGAAGCATGTTTTTATAAGGAATTATGTAACGGTACAATGATAATAATCAGCTAGATGTGAATAATCATCGCACGGTTCTTAAAGGAACATGGATTTTCCTAGATTTCCTCGAGTATGAGTTTTAATACACACCACCATGTCATAATATTTATACATTCATATTTTAATATCAACTTGGAAATAAACATTTATAAATAATCTGAATAACCACCAAACCCTATCAAAGTCAAGTAGGTAGATAGTCCGAAACATCTGTCTCTACTCCAGCCTATGATAGCTATTTTGACAATCTCCATAAAACAGGGCTGTATAGTTTTACTGGCTCTACTTCTAGCAGGTATTTTCCCAATAGCTATCAGAGGCTGACATAGAGGCAGATGTTTCGGACTAGTTGGTAGATGGTCTCTATTCTAATTACGATTGCAGAATAGTAAGTTATTTAGTATTTAATGCATAAAACACGTTCTTGTTGACATTTCACACTGTACTGTTTTGGCTTATTGACATCTGTATTCTCTTGTAATAATTTTATTCAACTTCCTGTGAAAATTGCATATATTTATTGCGTCATTATACTACTTTTGTAAAACGCTTACAGATGGGCACGTATTGGCAATGTATTAGATCGACAAATCTGTCCTTATTACCCATTCCTAGGACGTGATTTTCTGATGTCGATATTCCAATCGATATCACGTCTACGGTAGTAGAGGCCAAATTTTTGAGTCACAAGCCGAAACAATTGTGATTTTTAGGGCTAGAATGCATATATTATGTAAACAATAAAAGGTTCAGAGCATTAAATAGCTCAAAGTTTTTGGACAGTGGACGAAAAATTTCGAACACAAAAATCCTGGTATTTTCAAGGGTTCGTGGAACTTTTGTCAGGCTTATATAAACGGTTATGACTATCACATTGTTTCCTTTGACATATTTCTACACACGTGCAGTCAATGATATGACCTGCATTATGAGCCTGAACAAATTTAGCCTGTATTACCATGGAGTTTACGACATCCATTGGAATCCGTTATACCGTTAATATGTGATACATTGTTTGTATATTTCGAAATGTGTTGATAATTAATGCCCTCAAATAGTTTCAATAATTAGCGGCAGGTGGATTTAAACGTCGTCGGAAGGAAAGTTGCTATATATCCATTTCCATTATGACGTCATAGTATCACCTTTTGCAAACGACTTCACAGCTTGCAGTGTCCATAGCACCACACCGATTAGAGAAAGTGGAAGATTTAATAAAAGCTTCATAGAAAAAAAATGTCGGAAGACGAAAAAGGTAAAGTTGATGTCACCGTGAGTTTGAATAGGCGAAAAGCGAAGCATAATTCCGAAGGACTCGTAGAAGGTAAAATGGCGAAGGCGCAGGATGATAAGAAACAACCAGCAAGTCAAAAACTTGCGAAAAAGAAGCCCAAGAAATTAAAAGTGAAATTTTCGGAAGAAAGTGTGGAATACGATGAACAGAAAATGATCGACCAAGAAATTGACAAGCTTCTTCAAGGTGATGAACTTGATGTAAACGAACTATTTGGAATTCGTGATGAACCTAAGGAAAATTGGGATACTGCCAGCCCAAGAGATGACGAAGATGAACCTTCCATAGCTAAGCTAGTTGGTCTAGAGATTAGTGATGAGAGAAGAACTTCACAAGAGGAATGTTTAAAAAGTTGGATGGAAAGGCGACTAAATGATGAAAACGCCAAATAAACTTCCAAAATTATGCCAAAGATAAAATGAAAAGTTATGTTTATAATGTATATTTGTGTAGCCTATATACTATATAAAGAATGAATGAATTAAAATTGTTGAATTGAGTTTTACTTCTAACTACTTACTTACCCTGGTTCCGACCCGGTCAACAGATGTAGGCTACAAATTAAGTTGAATTACAAATATTCGTCGTCTTGTCTTTTGAATGAATTGAAGTTTACAGAGGGGTTAAAAAGAATAGGATGTAGTTTACAGCTCATATGGTCCGAAACATGCTAAATTACGAAAGATTGAGACTATTCAAAAAATCTTTGGAAAAACAGCATTTTGGGGAGGAGGCATGAGCTTCAAACCCCAAAAGAATGAGCAAATCTCAATTCCCTTAGATTAAGTTTTAAACAGAATTTCATGAGACCTTTGCATCAAAGTAGCCAAAGTGATTTGAAATCAACTAACATGAAAAAGTCAGGATTTAAATCAGTTGAGGCCTATATCGCGGCATGTTGATCAAAATTTCTTAACCGTTTCATATATTAATCTCAAAGAGTGAAATTAAAACGGCTTAGTTACTATCACAATAAAATATAACAATACAAATAAACTCATTCTCAATGTGGATTAGATGGGCATGAGTTAATCGTGAATAAGGCCATCATAAAACGGGTGGTAATCCTTAGGAATAACTGCTTTTAGTTCCTGCAAATGTTTGTATTTCTTTGCTTTGATTTTTGGTTTTACATCATAAAGTTTTGGAATGGTTAACTGTGTTTCGGATGCCTCTGAGTTTCGACGTCTACAAGGTAACTCTTCAAATTCTGTATCAGAATACCGTAACTTATGGGAGATAATTCCGTTTTTGTATTGGAGAAGTCTTATATTAGTAACTACAGGGTCTCCACTACCGCGACCAGGACGGATTGAGGTATAGTACTTCAATTCCGAATATTTCCGAAAAAAATCACTGGAGAGATACTTTACTTTGTACGGAGGAGAAACACGGGCAGTACCTATTAGATCTACATAATTTTGTGGAACGTAAATAGGCTTGTTGCGTAAACGCCTCTCAATAGTGCTATGGACACTGTCACACTCCATTTGGGTGTGACCTTTCTCTAGAAATTTTTGGACAATTGTAATATTCTTATCTTCAGATAGTTTTAGAAGGGTATTAGATAAGATGACGTTTCGATTTTGGTATGTACAACCATCACTGAAAATTATAAGTTCGTCTATATGTCCCGACAAATTATCGATGTAATCCGCTAAACACGAGGCAAAGGAGTTCGCGGAAAGTTCTCCCTCCCCTTCGTGCCAAAAGTAGCAAACAACTGCCTTGTGTTCAAGTCATATATTGTGTAATTGTGACAGCCTAACTTAGTTTTATAATACATGGAGCTAGCTTGAATACGTGGACTGAGGAGCAATGACTGGAGATCAAGGGTTATGACTTTAATACGATTGTCATTTTCAGCTCGTGCTTTGTCATTGGACTTTTCATTCCTCGCCTCATTTTTCAGATTAATATGGTTGTTATAATCGATCTCTGAGATATTTCCGGCTTCGAATCCACAGCAAATATCACACTGTCCTTCTAG